TTCCAACACACAATTGTACAGAGATCAAATTTTCAGCGACCACTGTCGCCTTCATCAGGATAATTAATGACCGTTCGTAAACGGCAATTCTCACGAGATCACGTTGTGAAGTGATTGGCCATTAATTATCCTGATGAAGGCGACAGTGGTCGCTGAAAATTTGATCTCTGTACAATTGTGTGTTGGAATAAAGTTCAACCTTTTACTAACATCAGGAGTATGTTGTGAACTGGGGTAACATTTCAAGCAAATATGTCATGATTACACAAGACAATTGTTACTCAAGCAACTGGATAGATCTTGAAAACTGTCAGACGATTCTTATACTTATATTTTCATCAGTCACTGAACTAAAAGTAGTTAAGTAATGGATGCTGCCTGAAACATCTGAGTTATCAAAATCTATCCTGTTACTTGAGAAACAGTTTTTTTTGTGTATTACAATAAGTAAGTACTATAAGAAGAGAACTGATAGCATAATTTCCATCAGACCAAAACAAACAGTTGTTTACCTGTGTGAGGTCCAGCAAACAAACAAATAAATAGTTGTTTACCTGTGCGAGGTCGAGCACCCTGGGTTGCACCCAGGTCATGTGAACCCTGGAGTCGACCTGATCAATGTGACCTTTGACCAGCCCCAGGGACAGCGCCTTCATCACCAGCAGTTCTACCTGAAAACAACATCGTTACCATGGTTACGTCATTACAGAACATCGTGGTAACTATGTTCATGTCTTCATTACAGTACATCATATCGTTAGTTACTTCATTTCGTTTACATGTATTTCGTTTATTTCGATACCCTTTAGTCATTTGACTAATCTTCCAGGGTTCAAAACATCATATAACATACAAACATACTGACAGCACAATGAAAAGAGAGTGAACATACATAATCATTACAAATTATATACAGGTTAAACAAATGATCATGACTTAACTTAATATATACATGGTTACATACTCATTGCAGAACAAACATGGTTACCATGGTTACATCATTGCAGAACAAACATGGTTACCATGGTTACATCATTGCAGAACAAACATGGTTACCATGGTTACATCGTTGCAGAACAATCAACATCATAGTTACCATGGTTTACAGAACAAACGTGACAGTTTATTGTGTGATGTTTTAGAACTGACCTCCTCCAGCGGCAGTTTAGCCTCAGCAGCGATCTCCTGGAAGGTCAGCTGCCGGTCGTTGGCAGGTCGCGTGAAGGTCATCTCCATCAGACACAGCAGACGCACCTTCTGCTGCAGCGACAGCTCATTGGCTGCCAGGTCAGGCTGGAGCAAAGGTCACAAGTCAAAAGTCAGATCCAGTTCCTTCTACAGCAATCACATCATAATCACATTGGAGTAAGGAATAAGATACAGCCTTTTTTTTTCAAATTAGTTTTTTCTTTGTTCTCAAAGAAAATACAAATTTCTTGTAGCTTCTCTATAATGGTCAGGTATCTATGGATCACAATAATCTAATTGTTTACAAAGAACTTTTCTTCAATGACGTTCCAAAATCATATTTAGTTGCTTGAGTAACTGCTTTTTGGCGTAACTTTTCTTCAAGTCTATTCAAAAGAAAACTTTCTTTAAGTTTAGGCAACTAGATGCAATTTTGAAAATCTACTGGAAGACATATTATCAAAGACACCCTGTCACCTGTGCCTGCCATTTTGGGCGCAGTTTCTCTATGGCTGCCAGGTTTCCTGCGTTGAAGGCGTACAGCAGGTCCACCAGCCACTGTTTGTCTGTGTTCCTCAGCGAGTCCAGCACTGGGTGGGCCAGCTGGGGGCAAAGGTCAGGGGGCAAGGGCCAACAGTCAGAGGTCTGTATGTAACTGTCATAAATTTCAGTAATGCCGAATAGCCAGTATTTATTTTCTGGAATGGTTTTATAACTCCATTGCACTGAACTACATGTTGTTATAATTTGTTAAAATTTATTTTATAAATGTATTTATTTGCTCGTTCTTTCATGAAAATAATTTGTTTTTAATATTTTTTATTCTGTACACGACATGCCTGTTTGTGCCACTAAAGTACGTGTAAAGGTGAATCAGTGAGACATGCAGCATTTGTTACAGCATCAGAAAAAGTGAAAGTCTCACCAACTCTCCGAAGTTGTACACCCCGTCGCCTAGCAACGCTGCAAGGCCAAGGTTGAAGGCCCGTTCCCGCTGCTCTTCAACTGCAAAAATAAACAAACAAACAAATAACCAAACCTGTGATTTGTTTGGTACAAAATAATTTATATGAGGGATTGTATACTGTAATTCACTATATGTTCACGGTAGCAAAAGTTCTCAGCCTGAGAAAAATGGACATGTTCATGGAACTATATATTCACGGTGGCGACAGGTGCACGAAAAAGAAAGTCCAGGAACTATTTGTTAATTGTAATGATAAGTTCACGGTACAGAAGTAACGGTGAAAACAGTGAACATAACAGTACTGTGAAAAAAATCAGGAATTACAGTATATTGCCTGTCTTGTCCATTGTAATCATGTTTACCAAAGGAAAACATATTGTTTTTGCAAAGTTTCTTCCTCCTCTTCCTCTTCTGTTCCAAACACTAACCTCTGACCTGGCCAATGACATGATTTGTTGACGTGTGTCACCATGGTGACTGGTGTTGGGTTACATAATGTTGCAATTTCATGGTCTGCTCTGCTCCTGTCACCATATACTAGTAGTACATGTATGTGAATGAGTTTGAGTAAGAATTAACAGAGCAGACCATGTCCAAAGGTAAACATTATGCATTTGCTTTGCAAATGTTACTTCTCTAGTTTGTAATTAGAGACCATTGTTCCTATCTGAAACCATCTGTCTGCTCACCAGGAATGTTCTGTATCTCCATGCAGCCCAGGAATCGCAGCGCCTCGCGGTAGAAGTCCGCGTGGGATCCGGTGATCCGGTGGTAGTTACTGGACAGGTCGTAGAACCGGCCATGAACCGTCGTCACTCCATCTATGTTGTCCACCATCGCCCCAGCCTGCTCCACTACAGTCTGGGGAGGGGGAGTTTGTATTTCTTCAGTCTCTTATTTCTTTATTATTTATTTGTTCAGTCATTTCTTTATCATTACTCCAATGTACATTAATTTTGTTGCTTCATCATCATAAATACATGTGTTAAGAATGTACTACTACAGTCTGGGTGGGGGTGTTTGTGAAGTCTTAGTCTTATTATTTATTTGTTCATTCATTTCTTTATTACTATTCCAATGTACATTTGTTGTTTCACCATCATAAATATATGTAGTTAAGAATGTACTACTACAGTCGGGGGGGGGGGATGTCTTAGTCTCTTATTTTTCTATTAATTTCAATCAATGTACATTTTTTCATTAGGTGGCGTGCGTTGTTCCAAACTGACCTTGACCTCTGTGAGGTTGTTCTGACTAAGGTAGATGGTACCCATGGCCGTCATGCACAGGATCACAGCTTCTTCATTTCCCTTCACCTGAAAACCACAAACACAGAAGTCAACACAGAAACTGGGCATCTAGTTCCTTGTAGTCTACATCTGGGACAAAACTTACATTAGAGTTTTTTCTGAACCGGGGAATAGGGGAGCTGCTGACCCTCATATAACCAGTCAGCTCCCTCATATCAATTCTCAGATTGAACACTAGGTAGCTACTTACAGTACACAACATTATAGTCTTTCTCAAAATGATCTTTTCTTCCCAGTGAAAATATAAAACAAGACTTTGTAACAATGCATTACAATACATTACAATGTGTTACTCTTTTAAAACTTTGCTTCGCTCTCTCACCATAGTAAAACAGTCGCAAGACACTCGTCTCCAGTCTTACCTTTTCCTTGGTCTTCTCTAGAAAGGAGATGGCTTCTGCTGGAACTGAAACAGAAATGTGAACTCCGGCCTTTAGCCTCTCACCTCTAAGTTTTTTGGGCAAGGTGAAACTTGGTACAGTTCCTATAAGAACTGCCGAGCCTTGGTATGTACTCTCACAGCTGTATAAACTTTGTGACAACTGAAATGTTCGCATGGTAGTAGATTTTTATACTAGGTTGTGCATAACGGCCATTGTAGTGTGTAGGTTTTTGAACTTTTTATAGGAAAATATGGGACTCCAGAAGTATATTATAATATTAAATTATATTACATCATATCCTACCTTTTATTTGTTTGATAATAATCAGGATGATTTCCACCAGTGACAGGGGATTGATTCTGGAAAACAAGAAAATTCAGACACTGAAGTTAGAACAGAAGTGTCATGGTTATTTCAATTGTGTGAAAATAAATGGGCTGACTGCAGGATTGGGTAAATGAAATTAAATAATGTAGGATTCATAACAATACACTATTACTGACCTGTGTTCAAAATCCACCAGGAAATTTTCATACAACTGCAACAAAAAAAAAGAACAGGTTAATAAAACTGTTATACCAGTAACTTGTAAGGGACCTCTGAGTGGCAGTTTGGTTCTGCTAGCTAGAATATTGAAACTTGCTTTCTTTATCTTTTTTTTTATTTTAATTTTGGGCTTTGGAAAAATCATTATTGATTGATTGAACTCACCTTGAGCAGTCCATCTCCTTGGGCGAAGTGGGGACTGTTCACAAATGTCGTGAGCTGGAGGGTGAGCTGGTGCCACAATCTGGGGGTGGTACAGATGATATTATAAGGGGGGTATGGGTGAGTTTGAGGAACTGAAAAATTATTACCACCATTCGGCGTAACGCACCAGCTTCGCAGGCACGCGGCGTGGCGGCAGCTGGCTACATTACACCGATCAACTTGTTACACCTAACCCTTGAACAGTATATATATGTATAGAAGATTGTTCTCGAGTGGTCATAGTAATTTACAGAAGCATTTGGGGGGATCAAGGAGGTTTGAAATCAAACTTTTTTACCTCCTTGGGAGGATCAATGATGTTCAAGACAGACTAAAATCTCCGTAAATCTTCTTGGGAGAATAAAAAATGTATAATTTTTTTTATGTCAGAAAGTAGTGACTTGCAAAATCAGATACAGTACCTGCTACTAACTAGAATAGGAAATTATAATACTTTTGAGTAGAAAAGGCGACCATTCAAACAAAATTACACAGAAAAAACATACAAATATACAACACAAATAACTTTGAGGCCACTTTGATTGTAAGAAATCGTATAAACACCCCCAGTTATAGCTGAAAATCCAAAACTACTTTCACAACGTGTGGGGAGGGGGGCATGCAGTGTGTTTTGATGACTCACACGAACGGCAGTTTTTAGCCAAAATTTTTGGCGATTTTCAGGCGGAAAAGCGAGTAAAATCACACCTACTTTCTGTTGTACAATTCCTCTAGTTTTTCCCATTCCGCGGACAAGTCGGGAGGGGTCTGGGCCTTTTGTTGAGACAGGAAAGCCGGTACGTCCCGCATGGTTCTGTATCTCACATGCACTGTTTCCACTAGAAAATGGCGAGTCTCGCCAACTCTCGCCGGGACGCAGCTCTCGCGAGACGTCGTGTGGAATAACACACTTTTGGTTTCAGGGGTGTCATATATTTTTCATGTGTACACTCAATTTCATATCATCTCGGATTTGGATTAAAAAATTTTGATAAAAGTAACATTATACAACTTTTATATGTACTATTATCATGTCATTATGAACAAAAATTGATTAAAAGTTAAATTGATGTAGGTTGTCCCCTATCAACCTACTGGAATAGTCCATTGTTATCGCCGGTCAGCTGAGAGCTTCCACGAGTTTTATTTTCGAGGTTCTGAATTTACTTCGTTTTTTTCGGCGTTTTCCTGTTTTTTACAGGGAAATTGTTCAACAGTGTCTACACTTGGAGGTCCAATGTCTTCCACAAAGCAAGAAACCCACGTTTGAGAAAGAAGAAAAGGCAATGCATTTTCAAGAGAAACTAATTTTCTATAGCAGGCCCGTTACATTTAACTAACCAGGTGAGTCTTGCTTTAGTTTTGGTTTAATTAAAATGATTAAAATGGTTATAATGAATTAAAAGCCAGACGTTTTATTGTTACCCATTTGTACAGCAGTGAAAAGTTAACTGGAAATTTTGTCATCAATCATAACTAAAATTATAATGATTTATGTGTTTACCACAAAGCGACCACTCCTCACTCACCCCACCCCCCATGTCATGAGCCTTCAACCTAATGAAGTTTGACATGTACTTTGAAGAAGAAGAAGAAGAGTTAAAACTTATGATCCAACACAAAGAAGTTCTCTCTCCTAGAGCTTTCGACCAGTCACTCTGGTATTCCTCAGTAGACTGACCCAGTGAGGCTTGTCACATGGCTTCTTTAAAATTATCATGTGTTAGCCTTCTTCACTTATATCTTCAGCATCAATGTATTCTCAAGGGTGTGTGTTTGCAAGTTGCCATATAGTTACCATGGCTACCGTTGTTCTACACGTTACAGGTGCATCCGTTGCCATAGCAACATGCCTGTCCATCTCCGAGTGCTGACCTTGAATTGCTGGTAGGTCTGAATGTTACCTCAAGTTTGCTACATGTGTAATCTTTGTGTGTAGGTGTGTATTCTGTAGTGTGTGTGTGTGTGTGTACGTGTGTGTGTGTGTGTATCTGTGTGTGTGTGTGCGTATGCCGTATGTGTTTGTGTGTGTGTGTGTGCATGTGAGCATATGTGTGTGTGTGTGTGTGTGTGTATGTGGGTGTGTGCCTGTGCCTGTGTGTTTGTGTATGTGTGTGTGTGTGTGTTTATTCTGTGTGTGTGTGTGCGTGTGTGCATGCATGTAAGCATATGTGTGTGTGTGTGTGTGTGTGTGTGTATTCTCTGTGTGTGTCCGTGCGTGTATTCTGTGTGTGCATTCAGTGTTTGTGTGTGTGTTTGTGTGTGTGCTTCCTTTGTGTCTGTGTGTTTATGTGCATGTAATTGCAAACATAATGTTTCATGTGTGTAACTATGAACCATGGTCATGTTAGAATGTGTGATCTGTATACATACATGTAACGTTATGTGTGATGTAACAGGAAGTGCTAACAATAACAAACATCAAACCATCATAACTTGTACATTTTTTGCAGGGGGATCTCGTTTGTTGCTCCCAAAGTCTCGGAGCGTTTCCACGCCATCGGAGAGGAGCTGGCTACGGGGAAGTACGACCTGGTCGCGCTACAAGAGGTCAGAGTTCAGAGGTCATTTATGTAGAACTTCAGGTTGCTGTCCTAGAAACACTTCCGGCATCACACAAGCACAAGGCACCAGTAGAGTTAAATACCTAGTAGAGAGACAAGTTGACTCTGAACTTAACCGAGTTAACAGTTTTATTATTTCTGTAAACTGGGCCCCACTGAAAATCAACTTGTCAAAGCTGAGTTGGGCTACCCAGGTGTGTGAAAATGAAATAAATAAATAAAAAAAAAACAAGCGTAAAACAGCACCAAGAGACTACGTCTAGAGATATATTATTAGACATCAAACAAGGACAACAACAACAACAGTTTGGTGTTAACAATTATTAATACAGGACTTGCATGGTGTTCAGTTTGTTGGTTATGTAAAAATGGTTTGGGTTCAGGAGTTTGATTTGTCTTTTTACTGTCAGACCACATCAATTTGGCTCCCTGACACTCTATATAGTAAAACTTAGCAAGCAGCCACAATGAAAAGAGAAGACAGGGAGGTACACTATGTACACTGTGTATACTTATGTATGCATGTATGTGTGTGTGTGATACTTCCTCTTTCTCTTCTCACCTTTTTGTTTGTTTGTTTGTTTTTTTTGTTTGTTTATTGTTGAATGTTGTTATTGTACTGCCCAGGTTTGGAGTGAGGCCCTGTATGAGAAGCTGGTGTCACAGGTGGAAGATGTGCTCCCGTATCATCACTACTTCTACAGGTATGTGAAGCTGTATAGCCAATATAACCGCCCCTAATTTTTTCTAAGGGTGCACCCAAAATGTACGTATTTTTGCAGTACATATTAAATGCCATGTATAATAGTATACTATAAATATTCTTGGCAGTTAAGCCTCAGAACAACAGAGATGAGTGGAAAAGAAGAACCCATAATGATTGTTCCCCGTGATGGCATTATTAATATCACCAAACGACAGCTTTTTTTAAAAGCTTGTTTTCTTTCGCAGTGGCTGGAATGGGAGTGGTGTCTGCGTGTTCTCCAAGCATCCCATAATAGGTGCGTGTCAGTATCGCTTTACGCTGAACGGCCACGCCCACAAACTCTTCCATGCAGACTGGTACGGCGGAAAGGTTGTGGGGTTGTGCCGCATACAGTACGCCGGGACAGAGATCAACTTCTACGCCTCACACGTGAGTACCCTGGGAAGGAGACTCAGTGTCTGTAAGCTTCATCACAAGAGAGAAAAAAATTTAATATATAATCACCTGAATCCTGGTCAATCGGTACCTTTTCCAGGGTAATGAGTAACTGGGGGCACACAAATATGTCTGAAATTTATGCAGATATTTTGGGAAGGAGACAAACTTTTTTTTATTGACAGAGCCTTTCCTCACAATGCATTACAAGCAATATTTCAGTGTTGTATGTTTTGCACAATGCTTAGTTGTATCTAATGAACACATTGAATTCATGCTATTTTGTTGAAGAATAATGTAGAATTCTCTTCTAGACATTGTAAGACCCTTGAGATCATTATTGATAAAAAAGATCAGTGAGAAATCATTGCTCGGAGGACCTGTGAGATATTGAGCACTATTTAAGAGATTTTAGAGAGACCTGGTGTTTGTTAAACAGTCTAGCCTCTGTGTTAGTTTGTTTGTTTGTTTACCTAAGCCTTTCTGTTCCAGACCCATGCGGAGTACAACCACGACAATGATGAGTACAGGGCACACCGAGTGTCGCAGGCTTTCGAACTCAGTCAATTCATCCGGTCAGCCATTTTTAATTTCTGAAATACTTAGTATCATAATGATTATTACTAAGTATGCTTACCTTTGCAGAATGAAACATATTGTTTTTGCTCTGTTGTTTCTTCTTCTCCAAACACATAAGGTCAATGGCCTGGACAAAATGGATGTTACCATGGTACATGTAACGGGTGCTGTAGCTGTCACCCTGTGGTGTGGGGTTGCATTATGTAGCAAGTTGCAGGACAGAGTTGGAGGGGCTGGTCACCATGTACATGTATATATGAATCACAGTGTTTGAGTAAGAATAAACAGAGCAGTAGTTTGTTAGGCTAGAACAGGCGAAGGAAAACATTATGCACTTCCTGTGCAAAGATAGTGCAGTTTCAGTTTCAGTTTATTACGATACCCTTTAGCCCGTTAGGGCTAATCTTCCAGGGTTCATTACACATTACACACACAGTACAAATATACACATATGACTACAAATTTACATACACATTGAGGTCACACGTCAGACAAGGCACTAATTATAGCTGAAGTAAAATCATTGAACGAGCAAATTATCGGCTAAGTATTAGTGCCTTGCAGTACTTGATAGCAGCAATATAATTTTTTTCCTGGAAAAGGTGATGATTATTTGTTTGAGGCTTTATATTGTTTATTTTTTCCCCAGCTACACAGGCCAGTCAGCAGATGTGAACATTTTAGCAGGAGATTTGAACAACCAGCCGTTTGAGCTGGGGCTGAAAATCATCCAGTCCAACTCTGGCATGGAGGATGCCTGGCTAACAGCCGAGCACAAGGTACGTGTTTGTTTGTTTGTTTGTTTGTTTGTGTGTTTATTTTGGGTTTCCTCTCTTTGCCCCAGCACTCTCGCTCACTATCGGGTTTAGCATCTGTTTTTCTCCATCTTCTAAGAGACAGACATGCTAGAAGTCTGCCATCTCTGTTTGCCAATGGTTTTGTTGTCTCATACGATTTTTCCCCCTCACCCTGCCTTCTGTACAAAGTTAGCTTGTCATGACACCAGTCCATTACTTAAACATAGCAATTCTCTCTCTAACTTCGTACATTGTACACCCTCACCACGCCCTCGGTACAAAGTTAGCTTACTACATGTGTACATCACCCGCCTATTGCTACGTCATATGGTATCTATGTCATCATTTTATTTCTGACATCCACATGAACTACTGTTGTTACAGTTACTGTAGTAAGCTCTAACTTTGTACAACATAGTACATCTAACTTTATATCATTTTACCCTAATGCTGGACTTTTTTCCCCTCAGAACTCGGAAGACTCAGGCATGACGTGTGGCTGCCCTGAGAATGAATTCAACTCTGGGTGTGGTCATCCTCCCATGAGGATTGACTACGTTTTCTACAAGGTACTCTTACTTAGAAGTAAACCTTTATTGCAGATACATGCTCGAGGGCTAATTGCAGATACAAGCAACATGTATGAAAAGGAAAATACAATGATATGGGAGACTATGTACAAAGTTATACTACATTCTACAACATACTCGGTACTAGGTTTGTTGGGTTTGACTTCTTCTTACATATTCTTCTTCTTTCTTATCTATTAAGTACATGTTTATAACTGTTTAAGGTCATCACAAGGGACCTGGAAATGTCCCTCAGTGGCAGCATTTAAAAACATGTAAACAAAGGTAGTGCTGCATACCTAAACCAAAATTTAGGTCCAGGTCCGGATTCAAGTCCAGAAGTTTAGGTTAAGTTCCAGACTTGTAAGTCCGGACCTAAACCCATGGCATATACAAAATTGCATGTTGCAACCTTGCAATGTTGTCTGGGTGAAACTTTGGCCACATAACATGGAAGTCGACATTTGACGATGCCCGATGGCAATGTTTTCTTCATTTTGCAGCAATCTACGGAAGGTTTTAGGTGGTTTGGAAAGAAAAGGGATATGTGAAATGGTCTTTTATGGTAATAAGTCCGGACTCGGTTCTTGACCTTTAGGTTTTTTTGGACTTGAACCTTAACATTTTTACAAGTCCGGATCCAAGTCCAGTGAACCGGTATGCAGCACTAAACAAAGGTAAATAAAATAATGATGCTATCAGTTTTATATTGTTCGTGGCTCTTCAGGGGTCTGCCAGGTGCAGTGTGAAGTGTGTTCACTGTGAGACCACCATGCACAAGGTTCCTGGAAAACCCTTTAACTACTCCGACCATGAAGGAGTGCTGGCTCACCTGGAACTGGAGATGGGCTCAGGAACGAGTGAAGGTGAGAGAGAAGGGAAAGAGGAAGTATCAACAGGACTTTCCTGCTATGGTAGCCATTTTGGCACCAAAGTCAGAAGGCCCTTGCATGAGTACTTACCAAGAAAAAATACAAACTAGAAAAGTAACATTTGCAAAGCAAATGCATAATGTTTACCTTCTTACTCAAACACATTTTCATATATATGGTGACAGCAGTCTCCTGGTCAGACAGGATTCTCCTGCTATAAAATTGCAACATTATGTAACCCAACACCAGTTACCATGGTGACAGACATCAACAAATCGGGTCATTGGCCAGTACAGAGGTCAGGGTTTGGAATGGAAGAAGAAGAAGAAACTGAGCAAAAACAATATGTTTTCCTGCAGTAAATATAAATATGTAAAAGGTAAGTAGACTTGCATCACAGGTAAATATCACGAGTCCCATTTTTTGTACATGATTCTGTTTTCCCGCTGCTCATAAGTCAGCAGCACTCTAAACCCAACAACACCTTCCACTAATAATAATCAGGCTGTTGATATGTTGGAAAGTATAACAAACGTTTGGTGGTGTAAAAAGTGTTCTGATCATTGTACATCCGGTTTTTATCAGAGAGTCCAGCAAACTGTGCGAATCTCGACGACGTTCCTCTACGCGACGACCACCTCCGCGAAGCCATCACAATCATGGAGGAGGCAATCGCCTGTACAGCATCCGTCAGGTGGTTCTACGCAGTGGTACTCCTCCTCTGTCTCATCCTCATCCTCCTCCTCCCCTCCCTGCCTCTCCCCATCCTCCTCACGTCACTTCTCAACCTCCTGTCGGTTCTCGGGATTGGCTGGAGCTTCTGGATGGGTGCGGTCGTCACGGAGACGGAGAGGAGGGGTCTCCTAGCAACCAGGACCAGCATGCAGGTCCTCCTCCGCGGGAGTGGGAAGAAAAGGAACTGACTGGTCTTTGATTGGAGTTGTGAAGGCTCTTAGATGTTTCCTAAAACTTAGATTTTTTTTTTTGACTGACTGAATAAGTTTATTAGCTTCCAAAGACTCTGAAGAGGTTTCTTAGATGCTTCCTATAACTCAGTGTTTTTGTCACTGACTGGTCTTTGAAAAGTTGTGAAGTGTCTTAGGTGCTTCCTAAAACTTAGGTGTTTTTTTGGACTGACTGAAGAAGTTGTGAAGTTTCTTAGCTTATTCCTAAGACTAAGTTTTCTTGGAACCGACTGAAGAGGTTTCTTAGATGCTTCCTGAAACTCAGTTTTCTTGGAATTGACTGAAGAAGTTGCGAACTACTGAAGTTTCTTCCTAAGACTCAGTGTCTTAGAACTTACTGAAGAAGTTGTTGTAAAGTTTCTTAGATGATTCCAAAGACTCAGTGTTTTTGGAACTACCTGGAGAAGTTGTGATTCCAGAAGTTTTTTCCTGAAACCCAATGTTTTTGGAACTTACTGGAAACGTTTTGAAGTTTCGTACATGTAGGTGCTTCCTAAACCTCAGTGTTTTGGGAACTGACTGGAGAAGTTGTGAAGTTTCTTAGCATCTTCCTGAAACTAAGGTGTTTTTGTCTTTGAGGAGTTGTGAAGTATCTAAGATGCTGCCTGAAATTCAGTATTTTTGAAATTTAATTTGACAAGTTGTGATAATTATGATGAATAATCATTTTTTCTTAGGTTATGAAGCTAAGAAAAACATGATTATTTATCATAATTACCTACTGATACTATAGGTTGTAAAAGTGTTATCAGAAAGCTTATTGTAAGTGTAATAGAATTATAATTAGATTAGTATAAATTATTCAAAACAACAGAATGATTTGTCCATAAAAATTTTATTCACAATAGGGATATTTCTTAGCACGTAACTTTCCATTTTGGAAAACACATCTTTTAAAGCAAACATACATCCACTAATGTACAAGATGTTTTAATTCAGAAGACAGGACTGACTTGTTGCTCATATTTCAAAGCCATGTCTTTGAAAGCATAATTACGTACGTAAAACATGTACCAATCATAGTAATGAACAAAAATTTGATTTAGATTTGAATTCAGTAAATACGAATTAAAATCCTGAAATATGAAATTTGATTTTGATTTGTTCTTTTTGTACGACTAGTATATGTTTCTTTAAAAACGCCCCTTACAAATGTATACTAATTATAGTAATTTATACTACATTAGAACACATTAGTTTTAAATTAAACAAACCCTTACAAATCTCTTGAAAGTTTGAAATGTAATAAAATACAAAAAGTACTGAAAATGAATAAAATGTTCTTGGTTACAATCCAGTGACCAAGGTTTTTTGGAGTCTGACATTCGGTAAATCATAACAGTCCGGGTCTTGTTTGGTTTGCTGGGAATGCTTGAAGGTCATCAGACAGTGATCACTAAAGTCTTCTACCTAGGGGGTTAAATCCTTCTGCTGAGTGCTGTTATGTAGTGCTTTTTGACGTTGGTGAAGATAACATCAAGAGCCGCCTCCACTGGTTTGGATGTGTTCACGACTTGGCTTGGTCTATGGGACAACATCAGGTTTTGCTCTGATACTGGGGGTTATGTGTTAACTGCACATAGGGTAATGGATGACATTTGAATCACATCTGGTGCAATACAATTTACAAAAGGAACACTGACTTTAGTTACTATTGATATAGAGTTAATCAGTTCTGTCAAGAAATGGTACATAGTCATGATGCAACTGTTCAGCAGAATTGCAAGTGCACAGGATGTGATGATGCAACTGTTCAGCAGAATTGCACGTGCACAGGATGTGATGATGCAACTGTTGAGCAGAATTGCGCGAGCACAGGATGTGATGATGTAACTGTTCAGCAGAATTGCAAGTGCACAGGATGTGATGATGCAACTGTTCAGCAGAATTGCAAGACGTAGTGCACAGGATGTGATGATGCAACTGTTCAGCAGAATGACTCCAGAAGTTTCTTCCTCCAATCTCCTTCCTTTATTCTTAAGAACCTTGATGATTTGTTGCTATTTCATTGAGCGATTGGGATGGGGGGGGGGGCATGTATGCATGGCTGAATGAGCCATGTTCTATGTTTGCTCCAGTCAAGTAAGCCAACATTTTGACGGCTTCATCGTTGCTTTTGATCTACATGATTGGATGGTCAAACTCTACATTGATTCTATTTCTTTGTCATTCCCATTTCCTGTAAAATTGAAGACTGTGGTTGTGAACAAACAACTTTACATTCAAATTCAGTTGAGGCCAAATATTTTGGCGAACTCGCTGTGTGATTCATCCCAGTACCTGGATGCCAAAAGCCTTTCCTTCAACATTTTTGCAGCGTCGAACTCCCTTTTTCCATTCGTCAGTACATTGATGATGCGGTTAGCCAGTGCTTGTGCAGCTTCATCATCATCATCATCTTCGATCCTTACAATCGGACGTTCGAAGTCGGGATTTTCTTGCAAGAACTTGGCCAGACCAGACTTGTGGGAGACCAGGACTGGCACCCCTGCAGCAATGGCCTCCAGACCAACCAGTCCGAATGGCTCTGCACGTGACAGCATCAGGACGACATGGGCTCTGCTCATCTCTTTGCACAGCTCTTTCTGTGTGCAGTACTTCAGGGGAGTGAAGTGGATTTTACCCCTCTTCATGTTGGCTTCGATGAGTGCCTTGCTTTCTGGGAAATCGTCCGGACTGATGCCACAGACTCGCCAAATTGTGTCGGGCAGCCGTTCAATCACCTTGACCATGGTCTTCCCAGCCAGATCGTAGCCTTTCAGCCTCTCCACGCCTTTGACCCTGCCGATAGACAGCACCACTTTCGTATCCGTGTCGACGTATTTCACGGGCGTGTTCATGAAGATGTCGGACGGCTCAGGCAAAAACTCTTTATTACGTTCTTCGTCTCTTGTCTCGCTTTTGTAGTAGTCGTACAAGCGTGGGCCCACGGAGACGATCACATCAGCATCCTCCAGGTCTTCCAGAATGCTTTTCATCACCTCTTCTATGCTCAACTCTCTTCCTTCCTTGTATTGTATGACGTTTTCTGGGATTACGTGAGTGACCTGGACGACTTTGGCATTAGGAAGGCGGCCCTTCTTGATCTCCCTTGCTGCACGGCTTGTGATGTGGACATGGCCGACGATGAAGTCCACATCTGCAGGCAGGTTTGGGTAACGCCCCCAGTGCTCCCAGGTTAGCCAGTTAAGGCCAGACGGGGTCGGGTCTCCCTCCTGCCTTGTTGGGAAGATCAGGTTCACCCCATCATTCTTCGCATCTTCCTTGTCCTGTGGTGTGGCATCCAGGACTGTACTGTAGACCTTTGCTCCTTTGGAAACCAGGCAGCGCCCCATCTGGCGGTGGATGGTGGATATGCCCCCCTTTGCAGTACCATACTCGTCATTAAGCATCAACACGACAGGATGGCTTCCAGATACTGAAAGTGATTCAAAGCAAATCAACTCACTTTTCTAATTTAAGGACAGATGTTCTATGGTTTGCTTAATTAAAAAAAACTGTCTTCGGCAAGAGGCCCAGCGTCTTGCATAACATTGTATTTATTAAATTGATTTTTTCCACAGTTTTTCTTAAATTTCGTCACGTGTACCTTAGTCAAACAAAAGTGGCCGTAATTTGCTGATGTCAGTTTGTGTCCTTGAAAAGTGTTAGGGTAGTCAAAGTCTTTGCGAAAAAATCATATCTTTGATCTCTTAGAGGTTTCTATTATTGTTATGATGATACATTTGTAGTGAAATTGAATGATTGTCGTATTTTCGAAGAATGTTTTGGATAATTTTTTTTTGGATAATTTTTTTTATAATTCTCAGATCGAGTAAGTCAGATAACTCATATAGAGATTAACACTGTTCTGCACAAATTAGTGAGGCGAATGCTGAATACTTTCATGGGTTCATGTGAAACCCTAATGTGAGGCAAATGTAGTAAATTAAAGATCGATGTTTAATATATACCAATGGTTTACAATGTATTTTCATCATTTTTGGTGTGTAGGTAGCTGGGCTAAAAAGTTTGGATACAGTCTGACCTTTGTTACTGTTGTCGGTCTCAGATGGGTGCTTCGGTCTTTCCTCCTGTGAAGTCAAGCAAAACGCAAATGTAAAGCCCTACATTTTAGGACGGCTGGTGTAAACACATATCAGTGATTCTTTTGGAAGAAATTGGAAATAACATTTACATCCAAGAAATGGTGACAAAAAATTGTTTTTGCTACAAGTACAATTGACTTTGTGAGGACATTGCAGATGGCAAGTGCGCAACAATATGATACTAATAGTAGTATGGCTTTTTGTGCATTAGTTTAACAGCATTAGCTTGTTACATGTACCTACATGTAGGACATTATATTTGACAACTGGCAAGACTATGTTATTTAATTGAATACTTTTTTCCCTTCAAATTCAAATTGAAGTATAAAACTGAAGATGACTAATCACATACAACCCACCCCGGGTGTCTGTGGCAGCAGCTCTGCCAGCTGGTGAAAGTCCAGATCTCTCAGGTGCTGCTGCAGGGCGGGAAGTGTGGTCGCCTCACCTTCCTTCTCTTTCCACTTCACCAGGGTCTGGTACACCTGCTCAGGAACGTCGTCTGGGGCGGAAGCCTGAATAACAGGCGACAATTTTCTACTTGAAATGATGTGTTTTAGCGCCTCTTTCCATGAAAAGTAGTTGTGCGATAGTGATGTGTTATATTGCAAGGAAATAGGACCCTAACATGTGGTAAGTAGATGACGAAACCTTTAACTGCTGAATTACTCTGAATGGCAATAATACCAGTTGAACATATCATGTTCATGAGGATTATCAGTGAGGTATTTGTTATAGCTCTGCATGTGTGCAAAGTCACCTTGATGATGGACTCTATCTCCGAGCTGCTGAGCCCTAGGCTCCGGGCGAGCGGTTTCCACTGGGTTTGCGTCACCTTCACGGACAGACGGTTAAAAGCCTGAAGAATTTTCTCATCTGAACAAGGAAAATACAACATTATCAGGGTTTGTTAATCATTATCTATATAGAATATATGACACTCAAAGCAACATCTGCCATCCTCTGTTATACTCGAAGATGTGTGTTTGTTGCTCACAACATCTTCACAAAACTTCAAACACCAACTTTCTAATAGTTAAAAGCAGATGAATGCCAGTCAACAAATAGCAGCGTGCTAATACAATGGTATCCGTTCCAAAGAAATAAACCTATTTGATTTAAGCCGTTCTTAATTATGGAAAAGGACAAAATCTTTATAATAACAAAAAAGTTGCTGTCCAACCAAATAATAGTCTGACCTTTTTCAGCCTGCTGCTTCATGAACGTCATGATGGCACCAGTCCCTTGTTCACACACATCCTGTGGAGGGTATGTCAGGGGGTTTCCAGAAACATCCAAGTCCCTCAGCTTGTCTGCTCGGTGAAGGGCGGTTGGGAGCATGGTGATGTTGTTCTTACTTATGTGCAGTTTCTTCATGGCAGGCAGTTCACACAGGACTTCTGGGAATGTGTCGAACTTGTTGCCATACAGGTAGACCTCCCGTAGGTTGTGCAGGTGACTCATGGTGCTCGGCAGGGTTCTGAGGAGGTTATGGTCCAATGACAAGTACCATAGGTGCTGTAAGGTTCCCACTTCATCTGGGACAGTGTCGAGCTTGCAGCCTCCAGCATACAGTTTCTCCAGTGTCTTCAGCTGCAGCACCTGTCTGGGGAACTCTTCAAACTGACAGCGTACAACGTCCAGAGTCTTCAGCCTGGTGAGTCGTCTGACGTCATCGGGGAGACATCCGATGGGGTTTGGACCGATATCCAACACCTCAAGGTTGGACAGAGAACAAACCCCTGGTGGAACCTCTGTCAGCTGATTACCATGAATGTACAGTTCTCTCAATTTCTGCAGCTTTTCCACACCGGGAGGTAAGGTGGAAAGTTTGTTGTTACCGATATTCAACACCTCAAGGTTGGACAGAGAACAAACCCCTGGTGGAACCTCTGTCAGCTGATTATCATAAATCAGCAACATTGTCAATTTCTGCAGCTTTTCCACACCGGGAGGTAAGATGGAAAGTTTGTTGTTACTGACACTCAACACTTCAAGGTTGGACAGAGAACAAACCTCTGGTGGAACCTCTGTCAGCTGATTATCATGAATGAGCAATCTTTTTAATTTCTGCAGCTTTTCCACACCAGGAGGTAAGGTGGAAAGTTTGTTGTTACCGACATTCAACACCTCAAGGTTGGACAGAGAACAAACCCCTGGTGGAACCTCTGTCAGCTGATTACCATGAATGTACAGTTCTCTCAATTTCTGCAGCTTTTCCACACCGGTAGGTAAGGTGGAGAGTTTGTTGTTAAAGACACTCAACACTTCAAGGTTGAACAGAGAACAAACCTCTGGTGGAACCTCTGTCAGCTGATTACCATAAATGACCAGTTTTATCAATTTCTGCAGCTTTTCCACACCAGGAGGTAAGGTGGAAAGTTTGTTGTTACCGACACTCAACACTTCAAGGTTGGACAGAGAACAAACCCCTGGTGGAACCTCTGTCAGCTGATTATCATCAATCAGCAACATTGTCAATTCCTGCAAGGACCCGATCGCCTGAGGCAAACTTGTCAGCTTGTTGCCGGAAGTACCCAAGCGGTAAAGTTTCTGCAGACGGCCGATCGCTTCCGGGATGCTGGTGAGTTCATTGTTGGAGACATCTAGAAGCTCCAGGTCAGTGATATCAAACACCTCCTCCGGGATGGACGTCAGACCCTGGTTACTCAGGTCCAAGAAAAGGCGACCGTCGACGTCCCACTGAGGCTGGAGGTTCAGACCTGCCGCCATGTTGGATCCTCCGTTCCCTGTGGAATAAGGTGGTCCACAATTGATTACGCATGCCCTGAGTGTCAAAGGTAAGTCCCTTGTGACGTCAGGAAATCACGCCATGAATAAAAGAATAGAGGAAAGCCAGACTATGCTTTATGAACCTTGAACGTGGACATCAGTGTTGCTTTATAATTAGTCCAGTTTCATGTTTGTTTGGAAAAGGGAACGTTCTTATTAGATGGATCATAAAATTACTCGAAGTTAAATAAGGGTTCATCTATTTCTATGACTGCGAGCCTGATCTAGGATTTTTCAGGAAACTATCGACTTTGCAGCTAAAAAGAGCGTGACGCTTCAGACTGAACTTTGAACCGGGGGGGGGGGTGTCGGCTAGCGCAGCAAATGGGGTGTTTGCTGAAGTAGTATACAAATATAAGTAAACACTTAACCCCTAGCATTATTTTCGTACGAACCTACATATACGAAAGTAAAGCTAGTCCTAAAGGCAACCGAAATGTTTTAATCCATTACTTACAACCGATTTTTTATTCTAGCTGACGTTATCCATACTTGACCTTTAAACCCCAGCGGGAGGTGGCGCCAGGTACATTGAACAAACATAGCTGCGCTACCAAATGTTACAAACATAGGGGTACTAGGGGTGCCGGTTTAGGCGTGAAAAAGTGAACAATTTGCTACAAAAAAAATCTTGAATTTTAAGCAGTGACACCAGGACTACTCAGTGTGTAGGTAGAGTGACTCATAAATACCTAATTTTGTATTAACAAAGTAAGGATACTCACTGTTCAAATAATATACAAAAGTATTATTATTACAATGCATTACCGAGCCTTTGTGCGACACTGCTCGGTGGAAATGTCAAGAGTTTGCTAAAGAATATGCCATCTCCAATTCCTACCAGTCACACCAGGACTATCTGTATATGTAAGTACAAGTAAAGTTACTCAAACTACAAGGTACTGATTACTTACGGCTTTAACACTCGGGGTGACGAAGAAAAGGTGATGCAATATTATTCTTGGTTTCTTCTCCTCCGCTAACCAAGTCAACTTCGTCCCATCCTCGTGGATCTAGGGTTGCTTCCAGCAGACGATTCCTCTAACCAACTACACGTCCTCTCAACGTAGATATCTCTGTCCAACGCATGCGCATTTCCCTAACAGTTAGCTTTTCTCCACAAGTCACGTGAGGTACGAAACCCTTTCAGCGGTTCAACTATTAAATGCCTGTCGAAAAAAACTAGTATCAAAATGAGCCATAAAAGTTGGAACACAGATACTGTACTGATAACTAGACGTTTCTTCACGAAACCTATAAAAATAATGGGTAAAAGAATGCTTACAGTAAGCTCACCTGTTGTACATACGTGTTACTGTGTAGTTGCTAACTCCGGGAGGGTGGGCACCCTTAGCAATGTTAACTTAACAAACATATGAGGCGAATTAGGTAGAAAAGTGTTCCTTTGACGTGTTTGTGGAAGACACTTTTGTAGTAGCCTGTTAATCGTCGCAACAGGAGAGAAGCAGTATCAACACAGATCGATAATCAGAGTAGTTACTTCACAAAATAACGATTCGTTCTGGGGGGAGGCTTTGAGAAGTAGGAATTGCAACAGGAAGGATTGCTGCAACAATTCAGACAGAGGTACTTTTAACAATAAAATGTTACCTACACGTACACGTACACGTACATAGTCGTAAAGCTATATCTCAGAAAGTAACATGACATACCTGCACACCCTTGTTGTGTTCGACCTCACTTGTTAGTTACCTGTTTGAGAACGCCAACTGCCAGTAGGCGGGTTGTTTGCACAAATTCCTGCATACAGACTGGCTAACGGTGCATGACGGCAAGGTTGTCAACCTCAGTACGTACAAAGGATGTTTGTAATATGTCTGTAGTTGTAACTTTGTGAATACTGGGCTACCTGTTCTACATTTAGTAAGAACAGAAAGGCAAAATTACCGCATTCTTAAATATAAAGGAAAGAGTGGCACAGGAGAGACGATTTCAGCTTAAAGAAAGTAGAAAAGTTAGACGGTGTGTTGTTTTGGTCGGGCTGCCATGGCGGACAGGTAACTAGCTCACTGTTCGTGCCACCTTTGACACAGGTAGTGTTGGGCGTGTCAAACTGTGCACTGTGCCCGTCAGGCACTCGGGGTGTATTTTTAGGCTGCGGAAGGATTGAACACAACCAAATCAACACTTTCAAAGGAGACAGACTCGATAGTGAATAAATGAACTCTGTACACGACAGTTGTACATGGTACAATATGAGGATAGCAGGAGAATCCTTGTTGTCGTTTGTTTTCACATTTTCATGATTAACAAAGTTGTCTCTCTGACTCCGCACAAACGGCCCTCGCTGGGTACACTGTTGACTCTGTGCAGTTGAGCGCGGAAACTTTATATAATTAGCTTTGAATAAACTGTCAAAGACCCACCAAAATCAACAACGTTTGTTTGAAAGAGGTAGATATATGAAACCCTAAGTGGTTTAATCACATGTTCCGAGTCTCATAGCCTCTGTTGAGTAGCCTCTACCAGGCTTCGGGAGGTGGCTGGGAAGTGGAAAGAGGCAGACTATACTCTTTAAGTAATCTCCAAGCAGATATTTTGGTGGGGTAAGACGGTATCAAATTGGCCAGCCTGTACCCATTTCTTTCCTTTCCTAAGTACAGTTATTGCATCACAGAAGGGATTCCCCACCTTTAAAGTAAACTCTTTATTAAAATTTGGGGATTCTAGATAAATTAACCCTATCTAGACCGGGGGGGGGGGGCTTAAAGTGCCCGCGGCAACTTTGATGTCACCTAGCGTCTGAACGGCTAAAAGCTAGAACCGCCAAATTTGGTGACTTTTCCTAAAATATTGTTGGCAACAAATCTGTATCAGTGGAATAAGATTATGATTTTTCTTGTTGCCATGGCAACGGGTTTCTGACAGGCATTTTTTGCCAAATTTAATTATTTCCATTTAAACAACAGAATTCTATGGGTTTTATGTCAAGTTACACATTGTTTCTAGCATTAATAACATCACATATAATTATATGTAAATTTTATCATTAAAAATGCATAATTTATGCTAATTTGATGACGTCATTGGCCAAAATCCAAGATGGCGGACCATATCATTAGATCAGGTAAATGCAGCTTATTTTCCTTAAAATTTCATCAATACTCCCATTTTTTTTTACAAAAAAGGTTCATATGAATGTCTTTAGTCTGTTTACAATGTATTTTAGGCTTCATCCTGAAAAAAAAACTATTTTTCAAAATTCAAGATTGATGATCCAAGATGGCGGATATGTAATATATGTATGACGTCATTTTATGACGTCACCGGTGTTGCTATGGGCAACATAAGACTTAGTACATCCTAATATTCTGTCATAAACACTTTTGGTAAAGTTATGTCGTATACTGTTTAGTTTTCAGGGAATAACCTATCTAGACGGTTTTGGCCAATAAAATCACATTAATGACGTCATAATGACGTCATATTACGCCACAACGACATAAAAATTGAACGTATGATAAATTTTTACTAGTACATCATCCTCTGAAAATTTGGTGGTCCTACGATATACCGTTCTCGAGTTCTGAGGGGGGCCGAATGAGCCCCCCCCCCCGGTCCCACCAAGCCCAAAAAAGCCCGGTCTAGATAGGGTTAATATATATCAATATAGCCTCATGATGAAATCACATTACATAATATTCGTCGAGTTTCAGTAATGAAACATTGTCAGATGTTTTTTCAACAAAGTTTTATTATCTCTTTAGCAGCGAGAAAGACCAAAACTGCAAGCTGCAAGCTTACAATAACACCTAGTTCTAGCAAACACACAATACATATGATTTTCGTGTGTCTTTAGGTAATATCCAAGCAGATCCTAGTGGCATAATGCAGTATCAAATTTTCCAGAGAAGGTGGCATGTTGGAATCTCCATGGCCAATTTGATACAGTCTTATGCCACCCTAGGATCTGCTTGGAGATTATTCTTAGGAACGTTTCTAGCTAGAATTATGTAATATAATATACCTGGTGATAATATGATATATGAAGGTCTTGTGCTGAGAACAGAAAACTGTGGACAGCCGCCATGCATCAGCACAAGACGCCTGTGGAAGGTTCATTGATAGATAATAATCTATGAATATATCATAATCAATATTCATGCAGAAAATACATGTTTAAGCACTAGTCTAACTTTCGTTGTTTATCGCATGTATTGTTAAAAATTCTTTTGAGATTTTGAAAAAAAAATGACATGGTGAAATCTTTTTACAATTTTACAATATTAATGCTCAATTATTGAATGAAATTCCTTGCCAGAAACGTAACAGCATTGTAATATAGATCCTTAGCAACCCTAAAATGCTTGACTCAAAGTATATTTTATCCTTCATATTCTATAATGCTGGACTATTATAGTTTCAATGATCCTCGCTTGGCTCATATCCAAGTAATTAACACAATTCTGCGACTTCAGAAAAATTGTCTAACAAATATGACCTAATCACACCATGAATATGAATCTTAAATCCATGTTCAGCTGTCACTTGACTTGACTTGGTTGCAGAATATCATGAAATGCTTGAGTAGAGCAAAATGCATGTTGGTCACAAAAAACTACGAAGTCAACACTAGTGTCGTATACTAGTCCTATCCGAATTTAAAAAAAACACTAAACCTACCAAGTTTACATGTATATACAGCACAATTTTGTGGAATGCTAGAGTCGAGCAAAAGTCACATTTAACCTCTGATTACCCATCGTCTGGTTCTGTCAATGAAAGAATTGGCCACAAAATATTAAAATCCTACTTGAGTGGAGCCAAATGTGGATAGCAAGTCACAATAAACTGCGAACATTGTCGTTATACTAGTCCTATTCCAATGCTGGAGTAGAGCAAAATGTTGGTAGCAAGTCACAAAACTACTAATTATCCATGTTCATCGTCTGGTTGGGTCAATGAAAGAATTGGCCACAAAATATTAAAATGCTAGTTGAGTGGAGCCAAATGTGGACAGCGAGTCACAATAAACTACACACACTGCAAGTATACTAGTCCTATTCTATAAACTACTAAACCTGTCCATATTACACCAAAAGGACATAGCTCGGAGATCCAGGTAGAACTAATCGAGCATTAGTGCCTTTCCAATGCTCACATTGTTGAGTTATCAACACATCATCAAGACTACACAAACCTTATTTGATAGTTCATACAACATTTCGAGGTTGCCCGCGGCAACTTTATTTGATGTCGAATAGTACCTGAACGACTTGCGCTAGAACCACCCAACAGGTGACTCAAATATTGTTGGCAACAATTTTGTATCAGTAGAATAAGACAATGATTTTTCCTGTTGCCATGTCAACGGGTTTCTGACAGACATTTTTTGTTAAATTTAGTAACTCGTTTCAACAATAGAATCTTATGGGTTTTATGTCAAAACTATAAATGGTTTCTGCTATTGATAACATCTCATTTTATTCAAAGTAATATTTATAATCAAAAATGCATAATTTACACTAATTCGATGACGCCATTGCCCAAAATCCAAGATTTCCATTAAACTTTTATCACTACTTCCATTTTTTTGTTACAAAAAAGGTTCATATGAACGTCTTTGGTCTATTTTCAATATATCTTAGGCTTTATCCTGAAGAAAAACTATTTTTCAAAATTCAAGACAGGTAATTTCCATTAAACTTTTATCACTACTTCCATTTTTTGTTACAAAAAAGGTTCATATGAACGTCTTTGGTCTATTTTCAATGTATTTTAGGCTTTATCCTGAAGAAAAACTATTTTTCAAAATTCAAGATTGATGATCAAAGATGGTGGATAGCTTAAATATCCATGACGTCATTTTATGACATCACCGGTGTTACTGTAAGCAACGGTCTAGATAGGGTTAGAAGTCTAGCATGATGATGTTGTTCGTAGTGGCCATTGCTTTGTTTTACGTAGCCTTCAGGCCCTTTTCACAAAGACATCCACCATTCTCACCAACTCTTCAAACAAGGGTCCCTTCCAGGGGTCGTCATCCTGACTTTTGGTCATGTTGATGTAGATGAGTTGTGCGAAAGGGATGGACATGGGTCCGGGCGGCGGCCATGTTGTCTTCTCGAGCATGACGGGAATGATCGGCGTCTTCAAGGTGTGTGCAAGCGCCACTTCGTTGCTGCAGTTCGCAGACTCGGCGTATGGTGGCGTCACGCAGCTAACCACGACCTGGAGGTGAAACACACAACAGCAGATTTAAATCAACTTCTACCAGACATTACTTCCCCATTACTGTTTTGTGAATCCAAGGAAGTAAAAACGGTAAGTCAATGTAGGCCTTCATAGATAATCTGGAAAGGCTTACCTGGCACAAAAATGTCATTCATACATTTCTAAATTATCTTTTGATGTTAGTCTCTTCACTATTTTCGTATCAGGTTTTAAAAAAATTACATAATCATGGCACTCCATCCGTAAATCAATCAATCAATCTCTTCTCTGGCAACCATCATTCCTTGATACATTTTCAAGATATCATTTAATGCTAGTCCTTACAAGGGTATCGGGTTTTAAAAAAATGACAATATCAAGGCATGGACTATACCCACTCAAACAGTCATAACTCACATTCAATCAATCAATCAATCAATCACAGTCACTACCTCCGTCAATTAATCAATCATTCATTCAGTTAATCAATCAATCAATCAATCAAACAACCTCTGCTCTGGCAAACCTCGACTTGGGGTCATGGCGTAACGGCAGAGTGCTCCACTCAGAGCCAAGAGGTCCCGGGTTCGAGTCCTGACATTCGAGTCCTGATCCTGTGCCCTTGGGAAAGGCACTTAACACGACTTTCCTCACTTAACTCAGGTTAAAATGAGTATTGCCTTGTCCTGTATTTGTCCTATATCTGCGTTGGTAACGGCATAAAATTAAGTTGATATAACTTGAGTTTGCCGTCCCCATGTCTAGTCAGGAAATGTTGCAATAAAAAACCCCTCGCACCTTGGCTCCCCGGATGCCCTTGTCCATCATCTCGTACAGACTGTCCCCTCCCCCCATCTGCTTGATGTCCATCCAGCAGCTGTAGCCTCGCTCCTGCAGGCGATCGTGCAGCAGCAACACTTTGTCCTGGTGGTCCCATTGGTACGACAGGAAAACCGACTTTTTCTGAAAAAAAGGAAAGGCATGAGTTGATTTTGTACAATGGTTCACGTCTCTGTAGGTTCTATGCTTTTGGAGTATGACTATCATAGTAATCTCTACTGGACTACTTTGCATACTAAAAAAATTGATGGAATTTGCCAAAACGAGTTGAATAATCTGCCTGTAACTGCAAATTCTAATATTTTCAATCTCTAATACAAACACGTATGATACCGTCAGATACTGTTTGGTTATCACTTTTCAAACTCGGATAGTCTGTATATAATGCATCGAGAATTGGGGTCTTAATTTTCTTCCACAATACCATAATATTTAGTTTCTAAGCATTTTTCGTCAATGGAAAAGTTGTAACAGGCGGACAAGATGGTCCAACGGCCCCAAGAATATCTGATTAGGAGGAATACATGTAATTTTACTTACGCCGGCTCTTGTCACGTCTGTGCGGACCGTTGGCTCAACCCGGGCCGTGAGTGCAGCTGGGGTTCTCGCATCGGAAGAACCACCCTTCTTAACCAGGGGCACAGCACCTGCAGGCTAGAAAAAATATGTTACAATTCTAATGTTCCTACTGTGAATAGTTTCATCAGGTTGGTAAGTCACTGAGTAAAGAGACTCGTTTTACACAACCAAGACTTTTATTCAGCCGACGTTTCGGTGACCGTCTCTCTAGCAGTGACACCTGTGCTGCAGTGCAATGTGAACCAGTCAGAATTGCCCTGAGGAAGGTGACAGACGGTCACCGAAACATCGGCTGAATTTGGTTGTGTAAAAAGAGACTCATTACTCAGTTTTAATGTTTTAGAGATTTTGACCTTGATGAACTTAAACTTGAACTTGAAAATAACTTTCGCATCAGAAAGTATCTTGTACCTGTGTTTTCCTGACAGCATCACTTTGTTTCTGAGCATGAGGCCGCCCTTCTGCAACTGTGAGGCGAGCCAAGCCTCTCTTCACATCCGGCGTTTCTGCAAGGGAAGCGAATTGTTAACTGTTGGTAAACTAGTCAGTTTCTTAACCCTAGTAATGGAACGTTAGATGTAAAACCTAGCAATGTAGCATTAAATGTACAACAACGGTCAATATTGTCACCAGCAAAACTCAAACTTCTACGTCCGTAAAATCCTCTGCTTTCACCAACTGTAACATGTAGCGTAACTGCGGCACATACACACAATCATACAAGCATACATACAATGAAGCTTTCATGAAAGTTCATCTGTGTTGATAGTTACATGTTTAGAGTTAAAACGTTTGATGCAACACAAAAAGTTCTTTCACCTAGTTATAGAGATTTCGACCAGTCATACAAGGAAGCTCACTGTTGCGTACGACGCTTTCAGTAAGCATCAACTTAAAGTAAAGCATCTCAGAATGCAAACAATTCATACCTGCCATCAATGCATGTACTAAGAAATAGTTAACAGTGGGCACAAAAGTTTCAGCTTATGAAAATGTATGAAAACCCATTTTATGGAAGCATGTCAAATTAAGATCTGTTTCTTTTCTTTGTTGAATAATATGGGTATCTACAAACACTACCAAGAACGTTTGAATAATCAAAATCTTACCTTTCTCGTCCTCCTGTTTCAGGAAAGCGATGATGGCACCAGTCCCTTGTGTACACACATCCTGTGGAGGGTATGTCAGGGGGTTTCCAGAAACATCCAAGTCTGTCAGCTTGTCTGCTCGGTGAAGGGTGGTTGGGAGCCTGGTGATGTTGTTGTTACTTATGTCCAGTTTCTCCATGGCAGGCAGTTCACACAGGACTTCTGGGAATGTGTCGAACTTGTTGCCATACAGGTAGACCTCCCGTAGGTTGTGCAGGTGACTCATGGTGCTTGGCAGTGTTCTGAGGAGGTTATTTTCCAATGCCAAGAACCACAGGTGTTGTAAGGTTCCCACTTCATCTGGGACAATGTCAAACTTGCAGCCGCCAGCATACAGTTCCTCCAGTGTCTTCAGCTGCAGCACCTGTCTGGGGAACTCTTCAAACGGACAGTTGGAGACACTGAGAGACTTCAGTCTGGTGAGTCGTGTGATGTCATTGGGAAGACGTCGGATGGGGTTCCGACTGACACTTAACACCTCAAGGTTGGACAGAGAGCAAACCACTGGTGGAATTTCTGTCAGCTGATTACCATTAATGTACAGTTCTCTCAACTTCTGTAGCTTTTCCACACCAGGAGGTAAGGTGGAAAGTTTGTTGTTACTGACATCTAACACCTCAAGGTTGGACAGAGAACAAACCTCTGGTGGAACCTCTGTCAGATGATTATCATGAATGAGCAATCTTTTTAATTTCTGCAGCTTTTCCACACCAGGAGGTAAGGTGGAAAGTTTGTTGTCACTGACATTCAACACCTCAAGGTTGGACAGAGAACAAACCCCTGGTGGAACCTCTGTTAGCTGATTATTATAAACATACAGGTATGTCAATTTCTGCAAGGAACCGATCGCCTGTGGCAAACTTGTCAGCTTGTTGCCGTCAGCGTCCAAACGTTCAAGTTTCTGCAGACGGCCGATCGCTTCCGGGATGCTGGTGAGTTTGTTGTTGGACACATCTAGACTCTCCAGGTCAGTGAGATCAAACACCTCCTCCGGGATGGACGTCAGACCCTGGTTACTCAAGTTAAGAAAAAGGCCACCTGTGTCTAACCGCTTAAGCTGGAGGTTCAGACCTGCCGCCATGTTGGATCCTCCGTGTCCTGTGGTATAACAGTTGGTATAAGGTGGTTCACATTTACGATTGCGCATGTCTAGTGTCAAAAGTGAAGGCCTCTGGGACGTAAGTCACGCTCGGCCATGCTTTATATATGCCCAGACGTGTTTGACACAGGTACTGTCGGCTTGTGCAGTATTAACTGTCCACCTCCTCATGATCCCTTATCTATTAGATGATGCACAAAATTTTCATGCACAAAATTACCTAACGTTAAATATTGGTTCATGTATTTCAATGACTCCAAGCCTGATCTGGGATTTTTTTAGGAAACTATTGACTGCCTTTGAAGCGGCAAATAGCGTGTAACCCTTCTGACTGAACTTTGAACATGGGGTGGGCTGTTATGCTGGGGTCACATTTCCAAACCGGGGCCCGGCCGGGCAGCTTTTGGGAACGAAAAGTACGATATAAAAGTAAACAAAACACAGAAACGTTTCCGATGATAATCATGGGCACTATATCTATATACTCTTGATATGGATTGTTAATTTTTCGTTCATACAGACAGCCCGGCCGGGCCCAGGTTTGGAAATGTGACCTAAGCATTAGCAGGCGCAGGAAAGGGGCTTTTTGCTGAAGTAGTATAGAAATGTAATTTGAGAAAATTTTATCACTTATTTTTATTTTTTATTTTATTACTTATTTTTATTTTTTATTTTATCACTTAACCGCTAGTATCATTTTCATTTTCGTACGCACCTACACATGGTATTTCGTAAGTGAGGCTAGTCCTAAAGCCACCCGACATATTTCCACAGATATCATCCATAACCGACCTACAATTGACTTTTTTATTCTAGCGGACGTTGTCCCTACTTGACCTTTAAACCCCAGCGGGAGGTGGCGCCAGGTACAGTGAACAAACATACCTTCGCTACCAAATGTTGCAAACACGTCAAACTAGGGGTACCGGTTTAGGCGTGAAAAAAGTCAACAATTTGCTACAAAAAAAATCTTGAATTTTAAGCAGTGACATCAGCTGCAGGACTACTCAGTGTGTAGGTAGAGTGACTCATAAATACCTAATTTTGTATTAACAAAGTAAGGATACTCACTGTTCAAATACTAGTAATATACAAAAGTATTATTATTACAATGCATTACCGAGCCTTTGTGTGACACTGTTAGGTGGAAATGTAAAAATTTTGCTATAAAATATGCCATCCCCGATTTCTAGCAGTCACACCAGGACTATTCTAAGGGGGTTATTCAAAGCTACAACATAACAAGGTACTATGAAGTAAGTTTAAACTGTAATTTCCAACACAACAAAAATTGGACTCACCCAAATTTTCGACTGGTACAAGGTACTGATTACTTACGGCTTTAACACTCGGGGTGACGAAGAAAAGCTGATTTTTGGTTTCTTCTCCTCCGCTAACCAAATTCACTTCGTCCCATCCTCGTGGATCTAGGGTTGCTTCCAGCAGACGATTCCTCTAACCAACTACACGTACTGCTCTCTCAAAGTAGACATCACTGTCCAGCGCATGCGCATTTCCCTATCAGTTGACTTTACTCCACAAGTCACGTGAGGTACGAAACCCTTTCAGTGGTTCAACTTTTCAAAACCTGTCGAAAAAAAGTATCAATGTTGACATCAAAAATTGGGACACAGATACTGTAGTGATAACTAGATATTTCTTCACAAAACCCATATAAAAACAGGGAGTAGAAGAACTGTTTTAAGTTCAACTGTTAAAAGAACAAGAGGGCACCAGCTGAAACTAAGTAGGATGCCGGCAAAAACAAACACACGACTTTACTTTTTCACCATAAGAACGGTATCCTGGTGGAACAGTCTACCGGAAGAAGTGATTACAGCTCCCAGCGTGAACTGTTTTAAAACCAGATTTGATAAACATACGAGACTACATCCAGTAGTATATAACTACAGAGCCCTGGATCATCCCATGCGACCTGAGATGACTGTCTGCTGAAGTCAAGAGCGGCCCAAACTGGAAAATATCCCTACCTGGCCTGAAGGAATCTACATCTACATCTACAAGTTCTCCTGTTGTGGCTACTTGTTCCCACCGACCTTGCTAACCCCGAACGGGGCCCGAAGTGATTTTAACTCGATTCGAGTTAAAATCGATTCGGCGACCGCGCGGGGCCAAAAATAGGCCGGCAGCCGTCGGGAACGGCCCGCCGGTCTCCGTCCAGGTCCCGTTCGGTAGTGCCAAAAGACACGCCGAACACGCGCCGAGCGGGCCCCTTTCTTGAATTGTGACCTAAGCATAAGCAAACGTTCTCTTGCCGCATTCCAATCTAGCTTTAGGAAGCTTTAGGAAGCTCACCTGCCATGCCTACGTGCTCGTACCGACCCTGCTAACCCCGGGAGGGTGGGTACCGGCACGGTGTTGACGTAACGAACGTGTGACGAGATAAGGTGGCCAGCGGTGCCTTTGATGTTTTTGCGCAGGCGGACAAGTTTGTAGCTTATCTTTCCAACAGCAGAGATACAGTATGTGAACTTTCACACACTCACAACTCTCTCCCATAGCTTATGCTACGTGGCCCGGCCGGGCAGCTTTTGGGAACGAAAAAAATGCGATATAAAAGACAACAAAACAAGGAAAAGTTCCTAATAATAATCATGGGAACTATTTCTGTATATTCTTGATATGATATAATTTTTCGTTCATACAAACAGCCCGGTCGGGCCCCGGTTTGGAAATGTGACCTAAGCATAAGTCAGCCGTCGGGGCAGCAATGCATTCCACTATGAACACCTTGGAGAAATATAAGTACTAACTCGACGGATACACTGTTGATGCGTGTGGGGGATGTTTTTGTGTCATTAGCAACAAATTTTGTCCGAAAGGTTAAAACTCTGTGCTCACCTGCCGTGCCGCGTGTTCTTACTGACCCTGTGACCCCACGGGGGGCGGCTGTTTACTAGGTACGGTGTTTGCTATATACGGGCATGTCAGGTGAAGAACAAGCCACTTAAAGTTGTAGGAGAATAGGTGGGGGGGGGCAATATTTTGCGGGAGCGGGTGTTTGCTATATACGAGAATGTGAGACGATAAGATTGAAGAACGGCCTATTTTAATTAAGTTAAGGAATAGTAAAGGAGTTGGGGTCAATATTTTTCAGTATTGATACCTGTTGCTGATTTTATACGAGCCTGTTAGGCGATAGGCTTGGGGAATCGTTACTTCGATGGAAAGGATGGTAAATGTAAGCATTTGTTACTTTTGGCAACATGGGGATGCAGTATATGGATACCTCGGAGAAATATCAATAGTAACTGGACAGATACAGGGTTGATACGTCTGGGGTATCAGTATCAACATGTTTGGTCCAAATGGTAAAAAAAAAGGTTTCCACGAATTTGGTTGAAAAGATGAAAACTCTGTGCTCACCTGCCGTGCCGCGTGCTCTTAATGACCCTGTGACCCACGGGGGCGGGTGTTTGCTAGGTGTTGATTTTATACGAGCCTGTGATGAGCTTGAAGAACGGGCCACAAGTTTAAATGGAGATCTTTTTAATGCGATTTTGGAGATGCGATTTTGATACCTTTATAAACGCACAAGGTTGCTATTGAATGGATGAATTTATGTTTTTATACGTTACAGTTGCTTGACATAAAACACCACCAACAGATATGATGTTTAGCTTTGGACGGGCATCCATATGATAGTATAAACAACATCTGTCTGAATGTTGTATAGAGTACGTAATATACTACTTCAAGAGTTCTGCTTGTCCGTAAGGCCGACACTTTACACAGCAGCCATTGGCCATAAGTAAGACGTTGAGATACAGGCAGATACAAAAGCAGCTCCCTAACTACTTCACATACATGTAGGGCTGATTACTGTACCAATATACTAGTACCTGAGACAATGGGTGGAAGGGTCACAGTTGTGATGTGGGAGACTAAACCTAACCTAACCCCAATCGTAAGTTTAACCCTAGCCCTGAACAATGATCCCAACTCTAACCCTAAACCTTACTCCAATACCAACCCTAACCCCAAGACCATAAGCCTAACCCTAACCCCAATACCAACCCTAACCATCACCCTAACACCAATACCAACCCTAGCCCTGAACACCTGACCTCTCACGTATGTGGCAGCTCAAGGATTTGGCTCAACACCGTTGTCGGGTTGATTCATGTACATATCGATAAGGCCTTACGGCCGTACGTGAGGTTATGCTCCTGTTGCTGTATTTCAATGAGTATTATACTTGATTGTAAAAGCAATTAGCCTTCGGGCATGATTTTGAAAATAAATAAAGTTTCAAAGTATAATCTTATTAAGGGCGGCAAAACGAAAAATATTCTGAATGAGGAAATCAGTCTAATATTGACATTTGCTTCCATTTATTAGCACATATTTTTCATTAGTACTTGAGGCATTTGATTGATGTAGCCCCAAAACAAGCTACGTTAGGCGTCTCTTTATGTTTTGGGTACCACCCATAAATAGCTTGAACCAGCCTTTGATACAAAGCAGGCAACCGTTTTCCGTCAGTGACATCGCATTTTTGCCTCACAGATATCAGTAAGCTATGGGATAGGATTGATTCAGCTTACAACATTGAAAGAATGACCAGAAAACTTACATTGAAAATTCAGTTTTACCGCCTTGAAAATGCATTTGATGCCTTTAAACAAGCGGTTCATTTCATGACTAGAGAAGGGCTACTTGTGTAACAGTGGGGGGGTGGGTTTAAAGGCGCTACCAACTGATCCGGCAAAGGGATCTAGACCTTTTAGCGGAGTAGTTAGAGCGTCTGGTTATGAAGCTCTGGTGCCCGGGAGGTCGTGGGTTCGAACCCCACCCCCGGGGACCCAGNGGGGGTTTTTTTCTCAGCTTGCCCCCTGTTTCTTACAGTAGGTTCCCGCACCGGCCCTGGGAGTTCTGGCAAAGAGTGCTGCTCCAGGGATGTCGAATTCGGAAGATTCGAGGACGAATCTTGACAAGAAAAGGGGAGTAGTGTAACAGTGAGGGGTTTATAGGCGCTACCAACAGATCCGGCAAACGGGTCTAGACCTTTTCGGTTAGAGTGTCTGACTGGGGCCCGGGGGGTCGTGAGTTCGAACCCCGGCCCGGGACCAGTGGGGTTTTTACTAAGTCTTGCTCCTCCTGTTTCTTACACTTGTGCTAAAGTATCACCAACAGAAGTAGACATTACCTTACGAAGGATGTCAGGACATCTTTCCTGGTTACTTCAGGAATGCAGACATTGGTAGATGATCTTACGGCCACAATAACATATGACGGTATGCAAAGCAGCGCCAGCTCAACCCATCGAGTTAAACTTTACTCATTTGTGACAGTTTTCTGATAAGCGCGTCCACATTGTGGCGACTTTTACTGGGTGAAAGGGTACTAACCTGCGCTTACTCAGTTGAGATGAACTTTGTTCATTGGTGGCAAACAGTTTCTGATAAGCACCATTGTCTGCTGATTTTTTTACTATTTGACCTGGCGTCTGTACAAAACTCAGCTGTGATTGCAACTTGTTTTGGCGTTGTATTAGAGGAAGAGCAGCCGGTGTTCCTAACAACATGCCCGAAACACTGCGTGTTCTAACTCTGAACTGTTGGTGAGTACATAATCTGCTGACTTCTGACTATTTGACCTGGCATCTATGCATAAATTAGCTGTGATTGTTACACATTTCTTCGCGTTTTTTTCTGAATAAAACGGTGAAAGATCATCCGGTGTTCCCAACAACATGCCCGAAACACTGCGTGTTCTAACTCTGAACTGTTGGTGAGTAAATGATTATCTTTATTCTTTATTTCAGGCGCAATTGGCCCATAGTAGCAGGCAATTAAAATAACAAGGTGCACACATAGTAAAAACGGTAGGGTTCGGTACATATACAAACGAGAAGGGCCTTACCGGTAGACTAGGCCGATATAGTGATCCCAGTAGTGACTGGTGGATGATATGTCTGAGTGGATAGCTAGATTTATGATTCTGTTATTACTGTTGAGGAGCCGATTGGTGAAAGAGTGTGTTAGTTTACGTCTGCGAGCATCGAAGGTATCGACAACCTCAGTCACAAACATTATACAGTAGCCTAATTCTAACAAATATGTATAGGGTTTTTGTTGGGGGGTGGGGGGTGGCCACTCTACTGACTAAGCTGACCACAGTTAAACGGACGGTTACTAAAATAAATATATCCTTGTTTGGGACCTTTAGCTTTCACTCTCGGGCTCACGCACAGGCTTATTTGCGAATTTCCTTATTGACATGATTATGCAATTGCCCTCTGGCAATTGCCTAATTCTAACACGGGGGGGGCACTCTACTGACTTTCAGCTATTAAGAATAACAGTTCTATAGACGGTTACTAATACATCCTTGTTGACAGTATCAGGGGCCTTCAGACTCGGCATGCACTGGCTTATTTGTGAATCTCATTATTGATAAGATGTACCTGACAATAGCCACTGTTTAACAAAAAGTATATTAGTATATTAGGGTCAGAAAGTAACGCTTACTGACTTGTAGACATAGGTTCATTACATTCTGACCCTAATATACATATATCATTAGTCAGAATCCCGAGATGCTATATTGCAACAATGTTATAACACGTTGTACATGTACCTGCTCCTGTAGGGACGATGCTAGCTCTCCTCTTTAGTTTGCTGTCGCTGGTAACTATGTAATATATATATTCCAACATGTTATCACCAGACGTGGTGACGACACACTCAAGATTTTTTCAACTTATATTAATGTCGCCACCAACACAGGGGACAAATACATGATAGGACAATACTCATTTACACCTGAGCTAAGTGAGGAAAGTCGTGTAAAGTGCCTTTTCCAAAGGCACAAGATCGGTGGCATGACAGGACTCGAACCCGGGACTCTTAGTTCTCAGTCGCGCACTCTGCCGCTACGCCACACGACCCCACTGCCGCTACGCCACACGACCCCACAATGTAGTATATGTAGTATAGCACTCAGGCTACTGACACTCCCCCCCTAACCCCCTAACCTTTTCCTGTTTTTTTTCCAGGGGAATCCCCTACTTCAGCTCGGACATCCCAGCTCGGTTTGAGGCTATCGGGACGGAGTTGTGCACCGGAAGATACGACGTCGTGTCCCTGCAAGAGGTTCGGCATGTTCTTTGCTTAATACTTAATCACCTCCATGAAAAATGGAGGTATTGTTTTTGGCGTGTCTGTCTTAGGGAACACGCCAGGTAGGGGGACCAAGTGGTCTCAGCAACCACTTGGTCCCCCTATCAGCTTGTTCTGGAACTGCAGGGCACCTTCAGGCGAAATCTTTAAAAGCCAATAAGTCCAGACAGGAACAATGTATTTTCATAATTTTTGGTGTCTAGGTAGCTTAGCGAAAGTTGTACATAATTAAATGCAAATTATGCAAATGAGTCATGAGGTCTCAGAATTCTTGTTTTCAAGATGAATTTGAAGACTTGATTCATATGTATTGTAATACTATACTAAAAAAGTAACCCTGGTAAAGTAAATGCTTAATGTTTACCTTCACATGGCCCAGCGGATCTAGCCAGCAAACCACTCATCTGGTATTAAAACACATTTCATGTATAAGTTTTGGTGGTCATCCCATGCAACTTGCTACATAATGTAATCCAACTTCTCATGGTGTTTGCAGTACCAGTTACCATGGTGACAGCCGTCTGGTCCAGGTCATTGACCTTATCATTCTTCTGTATCACAGGTTTGGAGTCAAGATGTCTACGAGAAGATGGTTTCTCAGGTACAAGACGTGCTGCCGTACCATCACTACTTCTACAGGTACTGGGATCTATGCGTCTTGGTAGTCACTCATAACCGAAGATTACTGTGGTCTAGGTATGTTTGATATGTAGATACGACAGTGTGATAGAGTCAAACTTGGTATCAGCAATCACTAAAGGGACGAGGAAGAAATTGTTGGTGACTGGAGGTGGTTCAATGGCTAGTCAGATTTGACTGGATTTGGATCTATAATACTGGTGATCCTTCAATACCGAAAATTACTGTCACAGTGGTTTATATATGTTTGATATGTAGATTAGACATAAAGAATGATACAGTCAAACTTGGTCTCAGCAATCGAGGAATGAGGAAACTGCATGGTTGGTGACTGAAGGTGGTCGGCTAGTGGACTGTAAAAACGACTTAAGATCTGTTAGTGACATTGGATGAAGAGTGATGATGTGGTGCAAGACTAAGACTGCGTTGCTAATTTTTACAAACATCAGTTTTTGGAGGGTCGCTATAGCTACAACTGTACAAAAGATGAACAAATGAAAGTCATGGATTATTCCCTTTTTCATATGAATGGTGTCAATTTTCTTCCGTTTTGATGCCTTACTTTTTCTCTTCCATGCACTTTTCTGTCTTCATCATCATCATCATCTTCGCCGCTCTCATCTGTCGACGATGCAGGTCTCCACAGCTAGCCACTGTCTTCTGTCCTGTTCTTTCCTTCGTGCCCCTTCCTAAGGAATACATACTAGTATACGTCTTGATGTTAACAAAAAAATTCTGATTCTTACTCAAACCTTTATACTTAATACCCAACGATTTACAGTTGCCGAATGATTTATTTCGCCGTTAGTCTTGTATATACGAACGCTCATTTGTTGTTTTTGTCATTGTCATGCCTGTATTTTGTATTCTATGTCAGGGGTGTGATTAATATTAGCTTCGGCTAGAGTTTCCACATCTGTGCCTTGTACCATGTCTTGTACTTTGTTGTTTCAATAAATAAAAAAATGAAAAAATAAAAAGTAATACAATAATAAAAATCAGCCTCTACGCCTCACATCTAAGCACTTTTCTGTACTCCACAGTGGGTGGCACGGCAGCGGCGTCTGCATTTTCTCCAAACACCCGATAGTTGGCGCGTACCAGTACCGCTTCACGCTGAACGGCTTCCCGCACAAGCCTCACCATCCGGACTGGTACGGGGGGAAACTGGCCGGGCTCTGCCAGATACGGCACCCTGGGGCAGAGATCAACGTATACGCCACACATGTAAGTACCCTGGGACAGAGATTAACATCACCCCCCCCCCGCATCACACACACACACACACACACACACACACACACACACGCACACACACACGCACACACACTCACACACACACACACACACACGCACACACACACGCACACACTCAAACACACTCAAAACTATATTTATTTTCCCATAACAAAGAGGCTTTTTTCCTTTTTTTTTTACAATTCATAGCAGATATTATCCTGCATTTCCATGTACTGATAAAATATATTGCCTGCATTCTTCAAAATGATGCTTGAGTAACAATTATTTTGTGTATCTCATTACCTGGATGTCTAGCCTTCATCATTATATATATAATTATGTTTTTGCAGACCCACACAGAGTACAACCACGAGAACGACAAGGACAAGGCACATCGGGTGTCGCAGGCTTTCGAGCTCAGCCAGTTCATCCGGTCAGTCATCTCTGTCATTTCAGGAACATGTCTGGCATGTTGGCATCAAGTTTCCATAGCATTATGAAATAAAGACTAAGATTTAACGTCCAACACTTAGATTACAGAATTGGGACTTACCCCAAGGTTGATGGAGTCAACCGAAAATTTGGGGTAAGTCCAAATTCTGTAATCTAAGTGTTGGAAGTTAAAGATTAGTCTTTATTTCATAATGACTTGTACCAACACAGATGAACTTTCGTGCTAAGTCCATAGCATTAGTTTAGATAGCTGCCAAGTGTTCCAATAGCACCCTAAGCTAAGGCACAAGGTCTTCTAATCATGCAGCATTTCGGGCGAGTAGCCCCGAGTAGGTCTTTGTCTAAGAGAGTTAAAATTTCTGCCTTCAGTGATTCGTTGGTTACTATAGTACAGTGGCCCATAAGTACAGTGTACTAGAAAGTATAAAAACTAGGGATTCTGACTATGTATACAAGAGTCAGGGGGTAATGCACATTTAACAGTAGGTGTTGACCCTAATAGTAATATATAAAGTCAGAATCTCTAGATATTATACTTCAACAGTGTTACAATACATTGTACTTGTCGGCTACGGTACTCTAGGTCTGTTGTAGTTGGATACTAGAAAGTTTGAGAATATGTTAGTAGCGAGCAGCGAAACTAAAAGATTGCCAGCTATATTAAGCATAAGGGAATCTAAAGATTGCGTTCCCCAATGTCTTGTTTTTCTATAAAAAGATGTTTGTTATTGTTTTGTTGTTTGTTTGTTTGTTTGGGCATTTATTTATTTGTTTATATTTTCTCCAGCTACACAGGCCAGTCTGCAGACGTGAACATTTTAGCAGGAGATTTGAACAACCAGCCGTTTGAGCTGGGACTGAAAATTATCCAGGCCAACTCTGGGATGGAGGATGCCTGGCTAACAGCCGAGCACAAGGTACATGTTTGTGTGTTTGTTTGTTTGTTTGTTTGTTTGTCTGTAAAATTATCCAGGCCAACTCTGGGATGGAGGATGCCTGGCTAACAGCCCAGCACAAGGTTTTTGTTTGTGTCTTTTTCTTTCTTTCTTTCTTTCTTACTTTTTTCTTTTCTTTTCTTTCTTTCTCTCTTATAGAAACTGAAACAGGCCTGGAGGGCCAGGAACTTATCTCTGTGATGTATGACAAACAGTTTTGGCGTTCTAACTTTGTATGCTCCACCTCTTCGGAGGATGATAGATGATGATGATGATGGAAATGCAAACAAAATAGACACACAGTGTTTTTCTCCCCAGAACGCAGATGACTCCGGTTTGACGTGGAATCTCGACGACAATGTTTACACCTGTTACCCTGACTACCCACCATGCAGATACGACTATGTGCTTTATAAGGTGCGTTTATCTCAATCTGCACGCAGATTGTATGTGTGGGAAGTCTATATTGGTCGCCAGCATACATTGGTAATGGTGGTTACAGGTGGCCAATGGATACAGTTTGAATGAATAAATATTGATATGAATTGATTTGATCTTATTAGGCTATATGAAATGGCATGTTGCCAAGACTGCACAACGTTAACTAGGCAGAAGCTATTTCAAATTGGTAGCACTGGTAACTGGACAATGTACATGTATAATATACCATGAATGAATGAAGACCTTTATTGTACATACCCAGCTGCAGGTTAAGTACAGGTGAAAAACACAGAAGTAGGTATATACATACACATGGTCAAAATAGCACTATCTATTGTCTATCAATAGGAACGAAGTCATACATAATTGTTCTTTGGGCTCTGTAGGGGTCTGCCAGGTGCAGGATGAAGTGTGTTCACTGTGAGACCACCATGCACAAGGTTCCTGGGAAACCCCATAACTACTCCGACCATGAAGGGGTGCTGGCTCACCTGGAACTGGAGAAGGTCTCAGGACAGAGGCAAGGTGAGACTTAGTGAAAACAGATGCAAGGTACGAGTCTCAGAACAATATTCTGTCCAGAACCGTTCTTTATCCAGAACTATGCCCAGGCACCATCCTGGATAGTCCACACCTATCCAGAACCGTGCCTGGGGCAAATCTACGTTCTTGGATACGCGGAGACTATCCAGAACCGTGCCTGGGGCAAATCTACGTTCTTGGATACGCGGAGACTACCCAGAACCGTGCCTGACCCTTTATTTCATATTCCTGTCCAGACGGACTATATGTACATGTGACTATATGTGTGGTCTATTGTTGTTGATCTACTAATAACCATTGTTTCTTCTAGCTTTTTGAAACACATAGAAACATATCTACATACTTTATCTACTACCCGTTCACTCTTCTATGACATAAGGTAAAACTATGTGAAAGTGTCCTGCTTTGCCACATTTTCTTGCATTTCTTGTCTAATTGCAGTGTCTTGAATAACGATCGGCGCTCGTGTTCATATAGGGTACAATCGAGTAAGAAAAGTGTCTCGTTTTCAACAAATAAATTATAACAGAATTTGCATGCTCGTGTAAGGCCATGTTGATTTGATTATATGGATGACATCCTCTGGGAACCTCAAAACTGATAGGAGCGTGCCTTCATTATGAAATCTACGTGGTCATGAAGGTTGAACAAATAACTAATCATAACTAATATAGAAAATCCGTTGAACATTCTATTGGGTGATCATCATGAAGCAGTACCAATTATATGCAATCTCATAATATTACTGGGAAAGGTGTATATTTTCAAGAATCGTCATTCCGCAACTATTTCATTGTATAGTTTTGAATCCTTTGTAAATAATTTTAAAGCCACAGAAGAAAGCATCGCACGTAAACAAAACAATATGATCAGTCATTACAGAAAATGGGGGGGGGGGATTTAGCAAATATATCGACTGGGTAGAATGTTTTTACGTAATTCAGTGTGTGTGTACTCTTATGCTATATCGTTTGTCTTGTTGTACGCTCTTTTGTTCTGTTGAATAAAGATTTGTTAAAAAAAAAAAATAACTAATCATACAGACCCCCCAACAGGGTATGGTATGGTATGGCGAATAATAGACTCTTAATTTTCATTTCTTCGCATTTTCTTCTTTTCCTTTGAAATCGATTTCTAATTTCATGGCATTCTACGTACGATATTAGTATCGTTTTCCAATATTTTGTTGACAATTTACGGCACACATTTGCTCATTTTGCAGGTGCCTTGTGCGATTTACAGTACGGCCGAAAATTCATGCGCGCGCGGATGTCATCCATATAATCAAATCAACATGGCCTAACGTAACTCAACAGTTCGTCTCCTCTTCATTTGCCTCCTCAGTCCAGTCTGCCGGTCCGGACCAGTCGGAGCGTGACGCCGCCCTCCGTCATGCGGTCCATGTCCTGGAGGAGAGGATCAGCTCCTCAGCCTCCAGCCGCCTGTTCTACACGTCAATCATCCTCATCAGTCTGCTCCTGATGCTCCTCAGCAACTGGCTCCATCTCCATCACCTGCTGACGTCACTCACGCACCTGCTGCTCGGGCTCCTCATTGGCTGGAGCTTCTGGATGGGCGTGGTCGTCATGGAGATGGAGAGGAGGGGTTGCCTGGCAACCAAGGCTGGCATGGAAGTCCTCCTCAATGCAAGCCCGAAGAAAAATGTATAAGATGCGATGTGACCGCAATAATGGGGAATCAACCCGTTGTTGTGTTGCAAACTTACTCAACTAATGAGGTATTGATGAATAAACTACTGTTATCAGACTTTGTTGATCGTATTCACTGACAAACTAAACTATGGGCAAACATAAACATACATTTGTTTATATGCTCTTTCTGCATTTCCAAATCTGTCGGTTGATGAGAGGATCTGAAATAATGAAGATTCTTCCCTTAGGCCACAGCAAGGTAAATTTTATGGATGACATCCTCCGCAGATTGACATAAATGTCACAAAAGGGAAGCATGTGCCGACTTGGCGTAAACTTCGCGATGTACTACGGTGACCGCAAATTCACAGCTTTGTATTCCTGTAGTTTAGCTGCATTTTTTTCTGGGTGGAATCTTTTATTCGCCCGTTCACTCGTTTGGAGGCCTTCAGAGGTGTCATCCATAAAATAAAGACAGTCTAGCCTTATATTGTATATCACATTGTAGGGTGAGTCTGCTGCAGTTCAGTTGACTCCCGCATGATGGCATGTGAACACGTGAAGTGACCGTCTGAGCCCATAGTTCAAATACTCTCGCGCTACTTTTATATTCGTGGTTTTCGTCGTCACTGACTTCTGTACCGCGAACTTATATAATTACCGTGAACAAGTAATTCGCCGACTTTCTGCTCACCGCACCTGTCGCCACCGAGAACATATAGTTCCGCGAACATGTCCATGTTTCTCAGACCGCTAACCTTTTTTTGCTGCCGCGAACATTAAGTGATTTGCAGTACTGTGTTTTCTGCCTAACATCACCTGAGGGCACTGAGGTGACTAATGCCACTGGTTCAACTACGTCTGTATTTGGCATATAGAGGGCTTTCATGCTCAAGACAACAATCATGGAGGACCCCGACAAAGAGGTTAGTGCAATTTTTCTGGACTCTTCTGTCTTTCATATAAGGCCGGGACAATTTAACGTAACGTATCGGTTCTTGTTATCTCAAAGACTTGGAATTTTCCATAGAAGATTCTCTGGATAGAACAGAGAAACTGGGAGATCAACAGGAAAGAAAAGTCCAGTGGAACGCCCGCACCTAGACATACTACTTATCATAAACATAGCCAGACTCAAGTTGTGCTTGCAACCTTCTGTTTTTCATCTTAATATGAAATCCAGTATATCAGAAATAAATGTCTTAGGACCAAACAGATACATTGGTGTGGCCTTAACATTAAGCGCTGAAGCTAAAAACAGGAGCAATGTAGTCATAACGTTGTTCTTAGTACAGGGGAACCAAACGGCCCACAACAACGCAGTAAATTATTATTAGTACTGCCTGTTCAGTTCAATTGTAAAGGCTTGAAAATGACATGGTAAAAGAACGAACTATTGGGTCTTTCTGTGCGGACCGTTGTGATTGTTGTCTTATCAAAGTGGATAGTTCTCCTCAAACATGCCTTTCAGCAGTTCTGTATTGAGACCTCTGACCTCTCAGCAGTTTTATACCCTATGTTGTATTCTTATTTCCCATGTCGTATTTCATTTGCTATGTTGCATTTTATTTGCCATGTTGTATTTAAGTTACGTTATGCTTCTTGTATATGTATGTATGTATGTATAGTATTCAATGCGACTCCAGGAAGACTAGTGTTGTATCATTGATTTGTACACACTAATGGAGATCTACCAAATAAACAAAAAACAAGTTCTATTGTGGTAATTTCTTCTCTTTCATTGATTTTATAGTTGGCAGAGCAGGTAGTATTAACAATAACAACAACAACAATGAAAGTTTTATTGCAAATTCATGCCCGAAGGCTAATTGCATGAACAGAAGAAACATTTGTATAAAAACAAGTAATACGTACACATAGAACTACTGATAACTATTAAGAGACTACTAGTAGAAAAACTACTGGGTTTGACTTCTTTTTTGAAGACAGAGGAAGACAAATGATCCACTTTTTCTATAATTTGTGGGTTTTCGGATGTTAGGAGGAGAGTAGTTTTCTTTTCATTTGTATATGCGTGAAAGTTTGGGTAGGATTTGGAGACTAAGTCAAAGAGTTCATTTCGTTCATTGCCATAGAGGGTACAATTTGATACAATAATAATAATAATAATGATAACTGTTCTTGGTCGTAAATTAGTAGTAGATTAACTCTAAACTACAATTGACAGACCAAATCAGTGTATGTCTCTGTACAGTTCAATCCATCTTCGTTTGTCTCTTGCTAAGTCTCTACATAACCTCCTTGGTCTCTTAGACATTTCAGTACGTGAGACTCGAGTCTGATGTTGTGATTGAGACAAAGTTTACAGTCGTCGACGAGGCTACTAATGAGACCTTCACGTGGTCTTCCTTGTCTGGGTTCGAGTTTTTTTTTTGCTGAAAGAGGCACTGAGGATCTTTTGTGGGGGTGAGTTCAGTAGTCTTAATGGTCTGTACATTTTTATTCAGATGATCAGACTGGAATTGCAGGAAAATATGGTTGCTCAACTGAATCAACTCAACAATGAAGTGAAGCACATCAACAATGAAGTGAAGCACATCAACAGTTACCTGGAGAGCAGCAGCGGACAGAAATGGTACGTCAGCAGAAAGGGACATGTGAGTTGTGGACGTCTTACTTTTCAGGCCAAGAAAAAGTTAATTTGATGGACCTCTTACTTTTGAGGCCACGACAATTTAATTTGATGGTTGTGTGACATCGCTTTGAACTGATACATAGATCACATGCTTATGCTTATGCTTATATGTGAATAGATTACACTAGTTTACAATCCTGTATCTATTATGACAAGACGTTAGAGTTGAAGGACAGTTGTGAGAGTTGTGACTGTCCTTCAAGTCCTTATGGTGTTCTGTACCAAGACAGCCGAGTGAACTTTCTTGCTAATGATCGTTTCCCCCTCCTCACAGATCCGAGTGCTGATCACCCCCACCCTGTTCTCCCTGAGGGATGTGGACACCGTCAAACAGGAGTTCTCCGCAGAACTCTGGTACGAAATCTTCTACAAGGACCAGACGCTGAAGGGGACTAAAAACCGAGACGTAAGGGCGATTAGGCTAGTGGCAACACAGATTCAATTCTCTTAAAAAAAAAGAAGCTGAATAGAAATAGAAGCTTAATAAAAAGAATTAAAATAGATGAGATGAGATGAAATTTGATGCAATCAGCTTTGTTTAGTACACACACACACACACACACACACATACATATATATATATATATATATATATATATATATATATGTATATTGAATATACTTTTGTGTAAGATTTTTCGTACAATACGAACATTTTCGAACAATTAGTACAGGTTTGACTGTATCAATGGCCAGGTGGTCCTTATGTAAAATCAGTCATTTGTACATGTTTGACTGTTTTGTTTCAGGATGTAGACTGGGATAACCAGTGGGATCCGCGGATCGTGTTGAGGAACACGACGAGCATCGAAACGGTGAGCTCAGCACAAAACCTGATCCCGGTAGTCGGGGAGGACGTGCCCATCGTGCACGAGTTCAGGAAGGTTCGGGCAACCTTCAAGGTGGACATGGACCTCACCGACTTCCCTGTTGACCACCAGGTATGTTCTTATTGATAAGCCCTTTAACAGTTCCGAGTGCGCAGATGCAGTTGCAGTCCTTAGACAGAAAGCATCATAACTGCACTTACGTGCAGAACTGTGCCATAGGGCATAGCTTAATTCTTTATAAGTCCACATGCACACGAACTTGATTTGTCGGTTCTCACGTTCGGTCTCCTCCTTTCTATTAGAGTTGATAAAGGAAGAAAAGAGGGAGTCAATGTCGCACTTCTCAGCAGCGTGCATATATCGGGTGAGCCACAACAGCAGGGATTAAAACTAGCGTCCTTTTGGTCTATATAGTAGAGGGGATTCATTCCGCAAGCTACCGACATCTCGCACACGCAGTCGTCCCTCAGTAAGACATCTGGAGCCGCATAGTTCCCGTTTACAACTTTTATTCAGCCTGTCACATGACCGGTTTCGCCTGTGTGGCTTCTTCAGAGGCTAAATGACACAAGTACATGAAGTTCTCACTTATATATCGCGTCCTATTGGCCTCAATGCAGGGTAACAAACCATTGGATTATGCACCTGATTTTTTTCAGGAACTGACCGTCCAACTGATGTCAGGATGGCCAATCAAGAAAGCGGACCTGAGAAAGAACTATGGGTCTAATGACACCATTACTGATGAGGACTTTGCAGGTATGCTGTTGTCACATTTTCCGTAGTAGCCTGGTTACCAAACCACCAAAAATTTGCTGAGAGGATGTAGGATGTAGGCTATATTAGGTTTGGTAACCAGGCTATTCTCGTAGACCATCATATAATTTTCATAATTCGTAAAATTCATGCAATGTCATTTATTATGAGAATAGAAAATGTTACCATAATGACTAATATTATGGGGTCGTGTGACGTAGTGGCAGAGTGCTCGACTCGGGACCAAGAGGTCCCGGCATCGAGTCCTAACATGCCACCGATCTTGTGCCCTTGGGAAAGACACTTTACACGACTTTCCTCACTTAACGTAGGTGAAAATGAGTTTTGTGATGTTAAGTTATATATATGACTAATCAACGACTAATCGACTTAACCAACAACTATTTTCTCAGACAAAGATCAGTGGACAGTGAGCAAGTTTCTAGAGTGCAAACATGACAAAAAAACTAACATTCAGTCCGAAACCTTCGGCGAGTACCCCGTGTACAACATCACCGCGCATGTGCAGAGGAAATCGTCTTTCTACTTATGGAACACCGTACTCATCTTGGTAAGTGCAGTACTTTTTTGTTTAAATTCAAAACTCGGATTTGACTAGCTAGCACTAGTGGAAGCAGTTGCTTTTAAATGTTGATCTACTGAAAAAAAACAACCACACGTCAAATAACTCAAATTTTACTCAGTCTCATCCTCATCGTTAAGATCAAAGACCAATTGGTAGCTCCTACACCCATCCATAGGCTTGTTTCAATCAGATAAAGCAGATTCTGATACCAGGTCTGGTCTGTAGAAAAAGGTGGGACACTACGTCTTCCATGGTTTACAGACATAGTTTTAGACATAGATATAGTTTTAGACAAATACATGTCATTATGTATATTTTGACGTTATTCTATACTCTGTTTCAACGTTGTTTTATGCCTTCGGACATAGATTTTCAATAAACCTCTCAAATCTAATGTTGTTTTTCCCTACAGTTCATCATCATTGCCCTCTCCTTCACGGTGTTCTCCATCCCACTGGAAGACCACAAAGACCGTCTCGGCATCACCTTCACCCTGCTGCTCACCACAGTGGCCTTCAAACTGGTGGTTTCCCAGTATCTTCCCACTGTCTCCTACCTGACTCTCTTGGTGAGTAGAAACACGCTTTTTGCATTTCAGTTGCATTGGTATTGTATTGATCACTATCTTAGTTAGGGAGAAGAGATGCTGTTCAACTAACGGAAACTTAGTCCAGTGCCTCACGTGGTCTTGGCCTTACCTTACCGTAGACCTTAGGTCCTCCTGTGCCTACAGGCACATTGGGCGGCAAGCTTCCACCTGGGTCTTTATTCACCACCACAATCACCGTATGCCGAAGAGCTGATCATTGTGTGCCGTCTATGTCATTGTAAATGCCTGCGTGTGTGTGTGTGTGTGTGTGTGTCAATTCAGACTTATTGTCTGCAAGAAGGTGTGTGAATAAAGTTTCAAGTTTCAAAGTCTAGTGGCTGCTGCCTCCTCATTGTAGTAGACTGATGTGGTAAACAGACTTAACTTCATACAATGTTGTTATCTTTATATCACCATGTTTAAAGTTAAGACTTTTGATCCAACACTAAAAAGTTCTCTCACCTAGACCTTTTGACTAGTCACTCTGGTCTTCCTCAGTAGACTGACCCATTGAGGCCTGTCACGCGGTTACTTTGAAGTAAATATCATCATAATCATCATTATAACAGGCTTCACCTTCTATAACATCCCTGATGTACTTTATTATTGTGTGGTATTTAGTCCTCTGATTATTCTCAAGCTTGTCTCCAGCATTGATGAAAAAGTGTAACGTGGGCATAGAAGTTGGTACCAAGTCCTATTTCGCAGTAAAGGGGGTTTGCACGGTGTTCATAATCCATTGCCATCACCTATGTCATCTTTCAATTGTTCTTAGGACAAGTACGTGCTGGGGTGCGTCATCTTCCAGTGTGTGGTGGCAGTGCAGAACACTGTGGCCTCGGTGATTAGGGACAAGGAACACGCCAGGCTGTTTGACGGCGTGTGTGTGGGCCTGTTTGGGGCTGCAGTCCTCTTGGCACATCTGGTCATTGGGATCTACGTTTGGATGAAGGTACGCAAACAGACAAAATACAAAAGAAAAAAAAAATCATTTGTGGTGAGGGCCATGAAAGATATACAAAATCTAGACTAAGGCCCATATTCCATGCCATAGGAATGCCCGCGCACAGTACCTTTTTTATCATTGTTGTATCCATTATGTCAGAGGAAGAGGTTTTTTACTGTTAACATATGAAATGGTTTGACTCGTCGATGCACTTTTACTATTGTTATCTAATGGTCATAGTCAAGTCAAGTCAATCTTTATCGCACAACAATTGTAACGGGTACAATGCATGGCAAACTCTTCAGTACTACATATCTAGCTAGCATCTACTCTCACGTCTACAGTATTACCTACAAGTTTTATGTATCGAAAATGAAATACTTTTAACTGAGAGAATGTTGTTAATTGCCAATTTTTTTTACAATTCAGTCTAGTCAAAGCAGCCAAATTGATTGAATACAGTTTGATTTGATTTTGAATGAAATGCATCTTTACCTTGCCAACTACATTAATTTTTGTTTGTTTTCTTGGCAAAGAGTTGATGTGAAGAATTGAGTACATACACAACCTGTACTCAGTCCTGGGAGCTGGAAGCCGTAGGGGCAGTTTGACTGTCTAGAAAAGTTCTCTATTTCTGGCAGTCATCAGCCTATACAGTTATGTGGAAATTATTAAGTGGAGCTCTATGCTGAGTTTGTTAATATTTTGAAGTATCATATTATACTTCCTGGGGTCTAGAAATGTTTAACATTTAATGTAAAGAATTAGGAAGACCTGCCTCCAAGATGTGTTCCTTCACATGTGTCAATTAGAATTCAGGGTGCGTTTGGGCGAGAATGTATGCCTCATGGAATGTGACAGTTGACCACATATCTCCTCTTCTTCTACTCTATTAGCGAAAAGAGAACAGCCGAAAGCTGCAAGAGGTAGACAAGAAGTTCGGGGTAAGGCTTAATCTAATGATAGACCCTCTCCTATTTGAGGACAATTCAATCAATCAATCAATCAATCAATCAATCTTTATTGCGCAACAATTGCAATGGATACAATGTATGGCAAGTGTTTAAATCAAAAGATAACAACAATACTAAAATCTACTTCTAGATACCTTATTCTAACGCTACCCTAAAATTGTGCGTGATGGAATACAATATATATGGAACATGGATACAATGTTAACATCAGTTCAAAGTGTCACAGATAATATTGTTTCTTTTCCGAAGAGCAGAGGATATGAATTGGATATTGACAGAACACCAATATGAGTCTGACACACTGTGCATTTTTCTATTCATGAAGGCGAAGGATTTTGTAAATTGTTCCCTGAATACTAATGTACATAATTGTATGATGAATAAATACTGTTGTTTCTCCGTCAAAACTGCAAATTTTGACAGGATTCAGACAACAATGTTATGATATTTCTTTGTCAACATTTGAAGATGATGTACATGTAAACGCATCAAAGTGAATCCTTGTTATTATCTTGATTCTTATGTACCATCAGGGGCTCAAGGAACAAGTTGACAAAGCTTACGACGAGCGTGACAAGAACGCACCGGGGAGCACCAAGACCAACATGATCATCAAGGGCTTTACCGCTGAAGAGGTTCGAGGGGTAATTTGAGGTCATTTGAACCTTCAGTGTGAACACGCATGCACTCACACAAGCACACACACACACAAACACAGGCATACATAGACACTGACATTCGGACACAGCACACACACATACATACACACATACATACACAAACACACACACACACACAAACACACACACACACACACACACACACACACACACACACACACACACACACACACACACACACACACACACACACACACACACACACACACACACACACACACACACACACACACACACACACACACACACACACACACACACACACACACACACACACACATGCACACACACACACGCACAGACACACACGCACAGACACACACGCACAGACACACATGCACAGACACACACACACACACACACACATACACACACACACACGCACAGACACGCACAGACACACACGCACAGACACACATACACAGACACACGCACACACATACACAAACACACACACACACACTCACACACATACTCACACAAACACACACACACACTCACACACGCACGCACATACACAAACACACACACACACACACACACACGCACACACACACATACACAAACACACACAAGCACACACACACACACAAGCACACGCACACGCACATTCGCACACACACATTGACACACTCTTCCACAGGGAAGGAAATATAGCAGCATGCACAAACACACAAACACTGAACACGCACAAATACATTCAATTTGCATTTTCTGATGTTCCTTCCTCTCCTCCTTCCATTTTGATCATACAAAATTCTACGCGTATCATTTAAAGGGCAATTTCATATTTCCGAAAAAGTGACTAAAAGTTGATATGGTTGCACATACCCGTATTTTTCAGTCACCTTTGTCTTTGTAAGTCTGAAAGCTAATTGCTACACAATTATAGCTTTAAACCGGACTCCCCTTATGTTTAATGTCTTTGCTGGTAATTACTCACAGTGTTTTTCCTTTCATCTTCCCACCACAAGTTTAAGCCAAACTACGAATCGGATAGTGAAAATACACCACTTGTGTAGGACCTTCTACACGACCTATGGCTGGGGAGACCTGTGTGTGCCCTGCCGACTGAAGCGTACTCGGACGCCCATCCTGGTCTCAACGTTTTTTTTGCTTCGTTGGTTTCAAAAGTTGATTCCAAAACATTAAAATGTCGTATGCATATAATTGTTAACTGGATGTAATGGGCGTAATAATAGACTCATGTTTACCTTGGATGTAGAACCTTCATCTTTGAGCTTGCATGGTATTCTAGTTTTTGTTGTATCACTTCTGACATATATTTGTAGAATAGTGTGCGCCCTTTATTAATACTAGGTAATGTATTAACAATATATAAGTATTGACAAGAGTAAGGGTCCATCTTGGTAATTGTGTTTACATTATAACCAACCTATCAGTGTATGATAATTTACAACACTGGTGTGTTAGGTAATAGCTCGTCAAAACGGTTATTTAGAGCTGCAACTGTACTAATGATTTTAATTGCAATATTTGTTCCCTTCGTTTTATACATAGAAATCTGAATCAGGAATCTGGAGTATTAAAAAGGAGTTGGAACTGGGCTCGACTTCTCTTTTCTCTTTTAATACTCTCTCACTACTCATATAATATAAAATGACAAAGTACATGTATACATTGAAATTTAAAAAAAATCAGTTCTGGGGACTTCCTACCTAAAATCCTATTTGTAAGAGGTTATTTATTGGTTTCTACCAGTCCCAGAGCAAGCAAAGGCGAGTTCTAAACCGTAACGCTTTGGCCGCCAAACATCTCACTCACTCACTCAAGGCCGCTTGCTTCCGAACATCTGCTTGGAGAATACTCCCAGTCACAAGGTCACCTATCGGTGCCTGATAAAAAGTTTTCAAACACCAAAAAAAGTTATGAATTTACATTCGTAACGTTGAAATGCTCTAGATATTCACTAAAACATAAACATTTCTCAAATCATACAAGCAAATATTAGATTTAGTCTAATGTGTTAATTTTCTGTAAAGTTAAACGTTCCTGCGTGTTTGTAAATTTGATCAGGCACTACAATAATTCCACAGGACAGCCTAGCTCTTAAAGTTACAAGCGGGAGTTCGAAGTTTGGACAGACGAAGAACTATGGAGATATTTCAACTTTCACGACGAACCAAACGTCTTATTTCGGATCAGATAAGACGGAACAACACCTTAAAGATGAAGATCAATGTCTTGAGCCGAAATTCGGACGACTGGGCATGGGAAACCAAGTGGAGAATCGAGAAGTGAGTACTAGCGCACCCCTCCCCCTTATAACTTAATATAAAGGCATCCAGTAAATGCATAATTTTTCAAGGCGTTAAAACCAACAAAATATATTCAGGATGAGGAACTCTGTCTGATATTGACCTCTACTGCCATTTCTTTGCACTTTTTTTGCCATCGTTTTAAACTGGAATCATTTGGAATAGCCTCAAAACAAGTTTTTAGGAGGGCCTGCATGGTGGGAATTACGAATTAGTTTAAAATTTCAGAGCTGATGACGACTTTACGCTGCCTTTACGATTTGCGGCTAATGTACTATTACGAATTACATTGATTTTGGAGAAGGCTGCCTACAGATTGCGAAGACTAAAAAGGCCTGATTACGCCTTACGGAAAAGGGCACGCAGGCCCTCTTTTAGTTGACTCATTATCTTTTGGCACTGCCCATAAATTATAGCAAGTAACCTTTTTTGTAGGGCATCGGATTTTTTTGCCCCACAGATTATCTATGCTGTAGGATAGGATTAATTCTTACCACGTTAAAGAATTGACCAAGAAATTCACTTTGAAAATCCAGTTTTGCAGCCCTAAAATTGCATTGGATGCCTAAAAATTAGACTAAAAAGAGCCTTACACTGTTACGGTTGAGTGCACAGGGAGGTCGTAGATTGGGTAGAATAGTAAGCCAAAATGGGTTGTTGGTCTGGTTTATCAGACCGAAGCTAAAGGCGGTAGCGTTTTGGTCGTAAATGTTGCACTGTGGGGCGTGAATTGGGCCAGACTTGGTCGTAAAGTCTTTCCAACCACTTCAGGACCTTACATACATGTGTATGTATGTATGTATGTATGTATGTATGTATGTATATGTATGTATGTATACTTTATTTCCGTGTTGTGTGCTTCATGTATGTATGTATGTATGTATGTATGTATACTTTATTTCTGTGCTGTGCGCTTCATGTATGTATGTATGTATGTATTTATGTATGTATGTATGAATGTATTCTTTTATTTCCGTGTTGTGCGCTTCATGTATGTATGTATGTATGTATGTATGTATGAATACTAAATTATTTCCGTGTTGTGCGCTTCATGTTTGTATGTATGTATGTATGTATGTATGTATGTATGAATGTATGTATGTATACAGAGTACTTTATTTCCGTGTTGTACGCTTGATGCGCCCAGCCCGCATAAAGCACCACCATCCGACACCATTTGATGAATACAATTTGTAAATAGTACATAAACAAGAGATCATCAGGGGCACAGAGGTAACAAAACAACCATACAGTGTATACATGTAAACATAAAAACCCCTGACTCCCGGGACGCCGGGAATCAAACCCGCGCCAAACCCAGGCAGCCACCGTAAGCTAGCTTACAACACCAGTGTGCTAACCACTACTCCAAAAGGTCCTATTCAGTTAGTGGTGCTTGAACCACACTGTTACATTTTATAGTAGAAACGTGGTACACTAGTACATTGGACCATATAAAAAACTTACTAGTATATCACAGCATTACTAGTCATGTTGTATATATATTCTATATCTATATATCGTAGCTGGGTTCAGATAACGTTTCATGCGATAACTTGCGTTATAACTTATATTTTACCCAGGCCATATATAATAACCTTCGATAATGGTGTTCTGGACCGGGTTATACTTTAGGGTATGGCCCAGGCGTCCACCAGCTTTGTATTCCTGTGGTCTAGCAGCATTTTTGGGGCCAAAATTTATTTTATACGCCCGCGTGCACAAGTTTAGGGGTCTTCAGAGGATGTCATCCATAGAATTAAGTCAGTGTGGCCTATCAATAAAGCTAAATTCACATTAATGCCCCCCTCCCACCTGTACCATTAGTTTTGTATACATCAAGTCCAAACTGAAAAACTGTTTAAAGCAGGAATGACACATTTCATGTAGGGCTTTGTTTTAATGGAAACATCGATATCATGAAATGAAAATGTTGAAATAAGGTTCTGAATGTTGAAGAAATTACTCGCATATACATGTAGTACTACTGCAACTCAGTCTTGTTGACAACAGGCCAACTCACTGCAGGTGATTAGTGTTCTGATTTATGTTGGCTGCAGGCCTCATCCGGTGTTTGACGTCGCAATTATCTCGCCGAAGGCAACAAACTTTTCAGCCTGAAAAGACTGTTGTAATCAGCGTTCACGTTTATGGAGTCATTGAGAACTTTTAGTAGAAGGTACACCAACAGTGATCTTTAAGGAAAATATGGAGACGTCTTGCAGAATTTTCACATAATTCAGAGCAGATAATTAGAAAGGCCGTGACCTCTAGGTCATCCCTACTGCCAGGTGTACTTTTGGAGATATAATTGGGATCAGAAGTTAGTATGAAACTCCCAACAGGAAACAATAGTTGTCAAGTTACCAGCCCGGCATGTAAGTTAGATAAATGACACCACAGGTAGATAAGAGCATTACAGCATGGCTGACTTCATCGTATGTGATTCTCCCACACCGTGAGTTAAACTTAGTTCCCCCAGCCTGTGAAGCAGTCTTACTGCTTGGAGATAGGACTAGAATATTAATGAGGAAATGGCAGTCACCAGGTAATTTGGAAGGATTCATCTGATACATTTGAAAACTTATAATGAGATTAAACATGAAAATCATAACATAAAGAAATGAAGCACACTTTCAAGTAACTTGGTCAGATTTTAGATTTTGGATGCTCTGCGTGTGAAGAAGAAAAAGATGGTTTAGAATTAGCCTTGCAATCAAGCCTTAGTCACCAGGCAGGGTGAAAATGTTTATACACACTGGAAACAATTTTCTTAGCTTTTCATATCCTTATTTTTGTAGTGGTTGTTTTATAATAGTAATAAATAGTCAAGCTACTTTTTATAAACACAGTAGCGTGTTTCCTGTGCACTTTTGACGCCATTGAAACGGGCTGTACATGTATTTATTTATTTATTTATTAAGTTTTACCACATACAATATGCACTGTGGATGGCATGGCAAAACAGGTGTTTCTGACATGAAACACCTTTTCAAAGCCGCCATACCAATAAAATGACAACTGAAGACAATTTACAAAAAGTAATCAAATCACATAATACAATTTGAGAAGTAATTGTGTGGCACGCTTACATAGCTCAACATAGAGTGGTGTATGTACAAGTGGTAATTGGAGCCCTATATACAGTTTTTTTAAATAATTTTTTTGTCATACCAGGGCCACAATGATATTCAATGCAAGTATTTTGATTTTTGGCCCATGTGATAACTAGCCATATCACACTGGGTTATAAGGGTTATCACACAGGATTCCAAATGTGCCATTCATTAATTGGAACACGTTTCCAGTGAGCTGCTTTTGAAAATTTGAATACCGGATTTGGATGTTATTGATGTTGTTAGTAACTTGTTACTGTACAATTTTTTGTTTCAGTCAATCAGTCAATCATCTGCGGGCATCCCGTTCTGATGCATGGCGGCCACAGTCATTCACAGGCTAGGTAGAACAAATTTTCAGACTGTCTGGCACATTTCACATTGAGATGTGTGTTTTATTTGGATTGTTATCTACATGTAAGTGATGTTCACGGTCGATGTTCAATTCAGAACTTGCACTTCTTGTTCCGCCGCTCAGAATCTTTCAGCGTGCCACTATGTTCTCTTCCAGTTCTCATCAATACACCGTTAACATACCTGTCTCCTTGTCATTTTACAACAACAGCTTCTTTCCCCGGACTGCAAAATTATGGAACTCTCTTCCAAACAGCTGCTTTCTGTCCGACTACAATCCACAAAGCCTGAGACAAAACAAAGGTCCACTGCCATCTCCTGACATAACTACATTATACTCACTTAAGGTACCTCTAGCTCTATGCCGAGAAGTGGCCAAAAATAATTGGCCTTGCATTGAGCGACACCGTTAAAAAAAAAGAAGTGTTAGTTACTAAGTCTTGTATAATCTTACATGTAGTTCTTCCTTGTAATTCTCTCCAGGTTCAACAGAGTGGCCACAGTTCTCTGTGTATGTCTTCAGTCATGGTCGAAGCACAAGGTGGTGAGAACTCTATCTCGAATGTACTCTAAATCTAATGACTTCTGAATCAATGCTGGCTCTAGATCCAGTCAGTGTCAGCATTATGACTTTCAAAGTGTTTCATTAATAGCTACATGTATGGATGATGCTTTGCCAGATTGAGAAGGTTATGTTTCTGAGCATTTTTGTTTGTGTGTGTGCTGTAAGTGTGTGTGTGTGTGCGTGCGCGCGTGTTTATGTGTCTGTGAATATGGGCTGTGAGTGTGTACGTATGTGTGTGTATGAATGTATATAATGTGTCTGTGTATGTGTGTGTGTGTGTGTGTGTGTCTGTGTGTGTGTGAGTGTGTATGTGTGTGTGTCTGTGTGTGTGTGAGTGTGCGTGTGTTTTGTGTGTGTGTGTGTACATGTATGTGTATAATTTGTGTGTGTACATGTATGTGTATAATTTTGTGTGTGTGTGTGTACATGTATGTGTATAATTGTGTGTGTGTGTGTGTACATATATGTGTACATGTATAATTGTGTGTGTGTGTGTGTGTGTGTGTACATGTATGTGACTGTATAATTTTGTGTGTGTGTGTGTGTGTGTACATGTATGTGTATAATTTTGTGTGTGTGTGTGTGTGTGTGTGTGTACATGTATGTGTATAATTTTGTGTGTGTGTGTGTGTACATGTACATGTATGTATAATTGTGTGTGTGTGTGTGTGTGTTGCGACAGGAATCGGCGAATTTTGGTCACAGTGAAATTACCAGCGATAAACGAAATTATTAGCCAAAGAGCGATTTTTCTTCTATTTTGCAAAATTAGATATTTTTATTTGAAGCTTCCAAACAATGTGAGCTATCAATCAGTTATACTTGGGTTAACTTGGCTGAAGTGAATTGCGAGGCACCTCCAGGCTACACACAGGTAGGTGGTGTGTTTTGCATACTTGATCAGCGAGAGTCGAGGTTGTCGGGCAACTTTCTGGGCGTAGCCATTTTGAGCGGCGACCAGAGAGGTACAGAACCCACGACGGTCTCAACGAAGACTTCAGAAAAAGGTCTGTCACATTTTCTTAACTCTCTGTTAGTGTGCTGCAGTGGTTAGGAACCATTCTTCTGGACACGAGGGTCATTTAGGGTTTGAATCCTGTCCTCTTGTCGCTTGCCTGACTTGCCGGTTGTGAGAAAAGATTGTGTATGTCGTGTACTGTGCGCTTGTTAAAAAGGACAGACACAATTTTTCAGCACGTTAAATCTGTACCTGCTGTACTAGCACAGCCTGTGTCCTTTACTCTGATCAGTGTGGAGAATCTTGTTCTGTAATCTTAACTTGCTATATAGGTTGAGATATAAGTGACACTCATTACTATTACCTTGGGTTATGCTAATATTAGGACTAAGTGAGAGAGTAGCCTTGACCGGAGGTGGTGTCAAGTTACTCTCCCGGTACACACAGTTCTAGCGTTAAAGTTGAGTCTCAGTAATCTTCCACTTAAAAGGTAGTATATTTAAGAATTCTAGTGTGTCCTTATTAATGTGCTGTTTTTAATAAGAAGCACTTTTCTGTTGGAACCAAATCCCTTGCACTCTAAGAGTCAGTGTGGCCGGTCCCCACTGAGGAGGAAATGCTATTTTGGACCCAGTAACATTTGTTGTGAAAACACATTTCCTGCACATTGTGTGGTGGTTGATGCCTTGGTCCTACTAAAAATAAGCTGTGTTGAAATGGAGTAGTGGTGAAGCCGCATCGCAGAAGAAAATCCCAAACTGTCATGATCAAAAATACCCCACTTTACAGTACTTGAAGGCCCCCTTTGTTTTGTCAAAAGGGGCGTATCTCAAAAGTCAAATCAAAGGTCAAATATTTTGCAGTTAAAGAATTGAACCATTCTGTCCATTTTGTGTTGTAATATATAAAGATACAGATACTTCCACGGTCGATGTTCAGGAGAACTTGCACTTCTTGTTCCGCCGCTTAGAACCTTTCAGCGTGCCACTAGGTTCTCTTCCAGTTCTCATCAATACACCGTCAACATACCTGTCTCCAAGTCATTTTACAACAACATCACTCAATATCAATATCACTCAATACAGACGCGGGATTGGCCGCATAACATCACACGGTAGGTGGACAAGAGTGCCCGGTTGCTGACTAACAGCCGATGCATGTGTTATGCAGAGAATGTTTATCTGTGACAGGATTTCTACTGCATTTTGTTGCATACATCACAGATGCTCAGGGAAAAAACAAAATGAGAAAAAAAAACTCACGGGGAATCATGAGGGAGGGTGCAAATTATAAAGGGCTTTGTAGTTCATTATAAACAACTGCAAGAATAATAGAATGTCTTTAATCCTGCTTTAATCAACTTGAAGTTTCCTCTGATGTCAAATTCAGTTTCACCGGTAAAACAGGAGTCTTTATCAATTGATAAAGACTCCTTGTAGACTAGCAAGCAGACATCAACTCAGTTTGCTGCTTTTAGATTTCCCGCGCTGAGTTTGACGGAGATTTTCGAAATAGAACAGGGGATTCAATGCATTCGATCTGGAACGGTCTATAATTGCAGACCGGCTTGAACCGGTTCAGACCGCCTGAACTATTCTGAGCGCGGCAGTAATAAATTACTGTAGGGTGTGGTCTTGTCCAAGCTGCCTCAGTGCAGTGGATAATTGGGGTTCAAACTAGTCTGAGTGAGCAGATTACTCTCATCTGCCAAATAAACATACGGGTACGTTTATTTTTTTGGGCCCAAACATCCACCCAGTACGTTCTTATTTTGCACAGTACGTTTATTAATTTTTTGAAAACCAGTAATTTTTTTCAACTTCGTGTGAAAAAAATTGACAAATCATCGACGTGAAGACGTTTATAAACGCATATTGTAGCGAGAAACTTGTCATTTTCGGGCCGGTTTTTGCAATCACCGCGTGCATAAATTCGTCTGAATGTTCTATTGTCATGGGTGGTGCTTATCAAAATACAAAATATTAAATGCTCTTTTTTTTGTCTATTTAAATTCCTAATTGCAAATAACAGTTAAAGATTTGTGCATATATCAGTAAGGGTGCATTTTAGTACAAGAGACACAGGTTACCCGTCAATTTTGGTAATTTTCCGGGGGGTACGTTTATTCCGGGGGTATGTTTATTTGATTTTGAAGATTTGTCCGGGGGGTACATTTATTCCGGGGGGTATGTTTATTCGGCAGATGAGAGTAGGCACCAGGAAAGGCAGAATCTTTGCAGAACAGTGTGAGTGTACATGGGTGGTTCAGGCTACATTGGGGAGCTCAAGTGGTTCCAGAGATACAGTAGCATGGGTGCCGTCCAATTTGGCTCCTTACACTCAGTGGCCCCCCCCCCCCAAATAAACAGCCAGCGAGTGTACGGTATCTTCAAGCAGATTCTAAGGGTGGCAAATGACAGTATCAAATTGGCCAGGCAGTATCCATTTGCTAGAAAGGGTCCATACACCACTCAGCATTAGGATCTGCAGAAAGTCGCCAGCATCAAAGCATCATAAACCTATTCACTCCAACACATTACAGTCCGGAATCTCCCTTGTCCTAAAGTGACGGAACAACCACATGATTGTACATCTGTGCATGTCACTCACTACTAGAGTACGCCCAGCGCGATCGGTTGTTAGTACTTGGCTCAATGTTCCTCGTTTACCACAGAGCTTGTACTTTTCATCAGTTTCCTTTCCCCATCTCTTGAGATTTACGGGGGTGGGGAGGAGGTCGTACACTGACTTCAGTAAGAACTGTGTACTGAAAGCAAGAGGAAAATTTAGGTGAACAACAGTCCACTCACAGATTACAAAACTTATTTTCAAGATCATGCCTGGATTTCGTAAGAGCCACCAACTTTTTTTGGGGCACCATTTTTGAATCTTAAGTATGGGTTCCATGGGATGCATACCAGAGATCAAAGTCAGTTTTAGGAAATCCAAATAGATAACCAATTGACAAACAACTATCCAACTTGATAAAGTTATAAATTGACAAAACGTATCCAGAAACATGATTTTAAAGTCTTTTGAACCCTTCTCAAGAGCCGCCCCTTGGAAGTTTGTCTTTCCCCTGCGTCCCTTTTTCCTTCATGCTTTAATTGTCCGTTCTTTTCTTGCTAAAGGTGGGTTGTTCAGAAAGTTACTGTAACTGTTACAATCATATTACAAACGTCCTTTGTACATAATGAGGTTGATGACCTTGAAGCCACGCATACATGTTCATTATATCCTTATTTTAGACCTATATTCAGCCTCCAAGTCTGTTGGAGACTATAGAATGATAATGAATAACAAACTAAAATGTAACATGTACAATGTACCAGGGACCTGCAGCTGCAATTTCTACCACAAGGTTAGCAATATATTTAGTTGTTGTTACAGTTGTATATTGTACCTTGTGTGGAAACCATTAAAATGTGTTTCAACATTTTTAAAAATCACTATCATGTTAGTAGCCCCTAAATAAGTAAATGCGAGATTAATAATAGAATGGTGCTATTTCTTTGCTGATATCAACATTTACTAAGTGTGTCTGTACATGTTCTTATATGACTTTGTGAATGTTTCTGTGTGATTCCATCTATAAAAGAACTTGATGTTCTTGGAAACCATCTTAATATGCTCACTGTTTCACTACACAGAAGGAAAGATCCAACATGGCGGCAGGTCTGAACCTCCAGCCTCAGACGGTCAACGGTCGCCTTAAACTTGACCTGAGTAACCAGGGTCTGACGTCCATCCCGGAGGAGGTGTTTCATATCACTAACCTGGAGATTCTAGATGTGTCCAACAACAAACTCACCAGCATCCCGGAAGCGATCGGCCGTCTACAGAAACTTTGGCGTTTGGACGCTGACAGCAACAAGTTGAGAAGTTTGCCAGAAGCAATCGGTTCATTGCAGAGATTGACACACCTGTACATATATGACAATCAGCTGACAGAAATTTCACCAAAGGTTTGTTCTCTGTCCAACTTGGAGGTGTTGAATGTTGGCAACAACAAACTTTCCACCCTACCTCCTGGTGTTAAAAAGCTGCAGAAATTGACACTCCTGTACATTTATGATAATCAGCTGAAAGAGGTTCCAGCAGAGGTTTGTTCTCTGTCCAACCTTAAGGTGTTGAATGTCGGTAACAACAAACTTTCCACCCTACCTCATGGTGTGGAAAAGCTGCAGGAATTGAGAGTGCTGAACATTTATGATAATCAGCTTAAAGAGGTTCCAGCAGAGGTTTGTTCTCTGTCCAACCTTGAGGTGTTGAATGTCAGTAACAACAGACTTTCCACCCTACCTGATCATGTGGAAAAGCTGCAGAAATTGAGAAAACTGTACATCTGTAAAAATAAGCTGACAGAGCTTCCACCAGGGGTTTGTTCTCTGTCCAACCTTGAACTGTTAATTGTTGGTTCAAACCCGATCCGACGTCTCCCCGATGACGTCACACGACTCACCAGGCTGAAGACTCTAGGTGTCCCCGACTGTCAGTTTGAAGAGTTCCCCAGACAGGTGCTGGAGCTGAACACACTGGAGAAACTGTATGCATGGGGCTGCAAGTTTGTCAATGTCCCAGAAGAATGGGAAAAATTACAAAACCTGAGGCTCTTGCATTTGGACCGTAACCTACTCAGAACCCTGCCAAGCACCATGAGTCACCTGCACAACCTACGGGAGGTCTACCTCTGGAACAACAAGTTCGACACATTCCCAGAAGTCCTGTGTGAACTGCCTGCCATGAAGAAACTGTACATAAAGAAAAACAACATCACCAGGCTCCCAACCGCCCTTCACCGAGCAGACAAACTGAAGCACTTGGATGTTTCTAACAACCCCCTGACATACCCTCCACAGGACGTGTGTAAACAAGGGACTGGCGCCATCATGACGTTCATGAAGCAGCAGGCTGAGAAAGGTCAGTGAGTCATGATTGGGTTTATAATAATTTAAAAAATGGTGACAGTGGATAGTATAGTCTGTTACATAACTGAAGAAACTCCTGTTTATATAATGTTTTCTTCTGTGTGTTTCGTAAAATGTGTTTGCTCAGTACAGACCCTGTATGTTTTTTTTAAATCTTAAACGTCATCCCCTGTATGCTAAGGTACTGTATTGATTGGCTTCTTGGCAGCTACATATATGTATGGTTATGGTCCTAAGCTGATGACAAGCGGCTTGTGCAGGAATTGGCCAGTGAGATACAAGTTAGAACTCTACACACAAGAAGTCACAAGACTTCAGCAGTCTTGGTCACATCAATGGGGTGCGGGTGTACGATGTACGAAGTTATTTATTATTGAGAGAGACTCGCTATGTTTAAGCAATGGGTGGGGGGATGTAGTAAGCTAACTTTGTACAGAGGGTGGGGTGAGGGTGTACGATGTACGAGGTTAGAGGGAGACTTGCTATGTTATTTAAATATGAAATAGTAAATTTTTTTCCGCAATCTAGCGAAATTTAATGCGCGCACTGAAGTCATCCATAAAAATTTCTTGCTGTGGCCTTACATGTATTTAATATCCATAACTGCCTGTCTTCACTAGCCCCTGACATCCATTGACGTATACATGATACAGCATATATATGACTTGTGTGAAACTGGAATTAATAAAGACGACTTTGTTTTCATTGAGCTACAACAATTCTGCAGGAGGGCGAAAGTTTTTGTGTGCTAGAAGTGCCCATTGTTTGGCAAGTACGTTGGTCAGGATTTTTTTGTGGTTAATGGCTTTTGAGGCATGGATGAAGACATGGTGGAAGTTTGGGCCCCTCTATATCAGCTTGTTTTAAACTGCAGTGGGCCTTTTCATTTTGAAGTTTGCATGCTGATAGCCAGAGAACAGGTGAATGGTTTAAAATTTGCATTGATTTTGGCAGGTAGGTGCCTTAGCTGAAGATTACTAGTAACATGAGAAGCACATTATGTAAGTCAGGACTAAATTTACATAAGAAATGAGGTAAACATTCTCTGATGGCCTTTAATGCTTTCATCTATTATCTAGCATGACCTAGAATCAGGGACAAACATGTGGTGTTGGAATCTAGGTCAACTAAAATATACAGTAATGTCAGTGAAGGTCAATACCAATTCAACGTGGCCCTGAGAGATATCTGCAATGTCTTTGGCACCCACAACATTAGCCAGGATGCAAATATGACTACATTCAACGATAATATATTGGTAGTGAACCCTTAATGACCTCTGAACATGTACGGTGATATTTTTCTGCATGAGTAGAACGGCCCTTTGGCATAACACAACAGCTTCTGTATCGGTATAGCCGGTATAACCGCCCTTTGGCATAACACAACAGCTTCTGTATCGGTATAGCCGGTATAACCGCCCTTTGGCATAACACAACAGCTTCTGTATCGGTATAGCCGGTATAACCGCCCTTTGGCATAACACAACAGCTTCTGTATCGGTATAGCCGGTGTAACTGCCCTTTGGCATAACAAACCAGCTCCTGTATCGGTATAGGCGGTACAACTGCTCTTCTGCGCAACACACCAGCTTCTGTATCTGTATATATAGCCGGTATAACCACCCTTTGGCATAACATACCAGCTTCTGTTTCTGTATAGCCGGTATAACCGCCCTTTGGCATAACACACCATGCCAGCCTCTGTATCTGTATAGCCGGTATAACTGCCCTTTGGCATAACACTCCAGCTTCTGTATCTGTATACATGTATATAGCCGGTATAAACGCCCCTCGGCGTAACACTCCAGCTTCTGTATCAGTATAGCCGGTATAACCGCCTTTCGGCGTAACACACCAGCTTCTGTATCTGTATAGCCGGTATAACCGCCCTTCGGCGTAACACACCAGCTTCTGTATCTGTATAGCCGGTATAACCGCCCCTCGGCGTAACACACCAGCCTCTGTATCTGTATATTAGCCAGTATAACCGCCCTTTGGCGTAACACACCAGCCTCTGTATTTGTATAGCCGGTATAACCGCCCTTTGGCGTAACACACCAACCTCTGTATCTGTATAGCCGGTATAACCGCCCTTCAGCGTAACATACCAGCTTCTGTATCAGCATTCTGTATACCCGGTATAACCGCCCTTTGGCGTAACACACCAGCTTCTGTATCTGTATAGCCGGTATAACCATGGGCGATAGGCCACCGAGTTTTTGTTGAGAGATCGCTGTTGCTTTGTTTTATGAACATACGTACAGTATACTGTGCACTCCGTACAAGATTCCTGATAATCATACACTGAACACAAACACTATGAACACGGTCCGTTGAAAGGATCCGAAGAGTCATGCACATAACACCGTGAACACTGTCCGTCGAAAGATTCCCGAGAATCATACACTCATCACATACATGGAACACCGTGAACACGGTCCGTTGAAAAACTTACCTAGAATTCTACGTACAATACAACCATACATATATAATACATACTGCTGGTACTTGGTCCGCTGAATCATACAATAAAAAGCACACTCATTACTCAGCTGTTACATCGGCGTTCATGGTTAGGAGATTAGATAGCGCAAAGGCCGACGGGAATAGAACAGGTTTCGCAAACTCGAATGCGTTCGCAAAACCGCTGCTCGACTCGATAGAACCCCAAGCCGGGGCTAGCGCTAGCGGTGATAACTTCAAAAAGATGACAGGGTAGGAAACACCTACCCGTGAACTGCGTTACCAACTGGGGTGGCAGCAAAAATGTGACTTAGAATCACGTTCGGTGTGAAGTCCCTGCCTCCCCAGACTCAGAAAGCAACGATATAGTACATTTTAGAGATATTTGGCACAACTACACTTTCCAAATCTCGTGCCTGGGAGACATATGTAGAACTGAAAACATGTCGGTGGGGTTGGTGGACGTGTTTAGAGTAGCCTGACAGTACATTTACATATAGCATGTCAAGACTCTTGTCGGGTAATGTAGCCAGTTGTGTGCGTTTATATTTTAGAACCGCGCGGGAAATGTGGGCCTATCGTGCGTCTGATTGGCTAGCGATGATGTCATTGACCTGTACAGCAGCGACCTGGTAACGCAGTTCGCCGGAAATTGGACTTTACAAAATGCTTCATATCTTCTTTAAAATATGGTATCATATCCCCCAAAAAGTTTACATGGATACTTAGTTACCCATTGATTATAGATAGTATCAAGACTTTTATTTTCCTTGTGGCATTTCGCAGAAAATAGGGTCTTTTGAAATGGCATTTCGCACCTAGTGTATACTAGTACTAAGTACCTAACCAAGCTGAAGCGTTCGGAAGTCGCTGTTTGGCTCTCGGCAATCTTCGGGAGACTTCGGTATCTGTTCGTATGGTTCTTTGGAATCCTCATCAGTTTGTGACCGTGTTCAGTGTACGTATCATTCTCGGGAATCTTTCAACGGGCCGTGTTCACGGTGTTATGTGTTATGTGACTGTATGATTCTCGGGAATATTTCAACGGACAACTGTATTGTGATGACAACGGGCTGAATGAGTAGACACACTGTATGTTCTAACATACGCGAAACAATAATAAGGATTCTAATGGTTTACAAAACAATGTATTGTTAGATCTCAACAAAAACTCGGTGGCCTAGCGCCTGTGGTATAACCGCCCTTCGGCGTAACACACCAGCCTCTGTATCTGTATATAGCCCGCGACTGGTGACATGGATATGCTGTGTTACTCTGAACATACTAAGGTGTGCTGTATACCACTGTACTTTTTTTTCTAACATCTTTACATTACATAAACCTAATAGACAGAATATTTTGGTGCACCCAGAGACAAAAATTGGGTGCACAGCTCCAAACCTGTGAAGCACTAAGGTGCACATGCACCTAATGGCATTATTTCGAGCCTTGCTAAACATTGTTTAGTCATGATCAGCTATCTATTATTAATGACAATGCCCCTACTGTACTTCGTGACAGCGAGTTCCACTCTGCAATAGTTCTATAGGAAAGAATGAATTTTTGAACACCTCAATCCAATAAAGATTTTAAAATTTTTTTTATACAGAGCCAGAGATTTTTCATGTCTTCGAGTGTCTGTCTTCAAAGGTGAAGCGGACCCAGTGGAAACCAATTGCCCGAAGCCTACTCAACGACAAGGAGATGGAGACTTTACATGTATGCACAGATGCCAATGCAGTGTGATAATCTTTTAACCCTTGTCCTGCTGGCAATTTTTGCACAATATTTTCAAATAATTTGAAGTCTTAATCAGGTCACAGACCCTTGACTTTTTTTGCCCCGCGTTGGCGTAGTTACTTCCGCATTCTTTGCATTTCACTACGGTGTGATGCGTTGCACAAGAAATGCCCCAAATTATACATATACAGTTTGCTATTATATATAGATGGTACTGTATGTGCAACCCATATAAAATATTATATATATATATATATTGGTCCCGCAGGACAAGGGTTTAATTTTGAATCTGAATTGCCCAGTATTTATAATTGCCATTTGATGTAACATACTTGCAAATTGTTGAATGTGTAATATTATTATAGTAATAATTATTCTAGTAATTCAAAATATACCACATGACTTGTAACCAACTCCTTGGTAATAGTTAGATACCTTGCTCAGAATAATTGTGTGTAGTACATGCAATAAACAAGAGTTCCACGATCTCATACCATCGCCAAATGATGTTAACCCTTCTGGTTGATGAATTATACAATGCAATGATATCTTAATAATTGATTTCGCAAATAAGAGCCTCATTTGCATGGTTTATATTAGTTGATCATGTTCTCCACCCAATGACAGTGATGTTCGTCCATCGTCCAATGACAGTATCTTAACAAAAAAGGCTATTCTAGCACTTCCTCACAAATTATGCAAATGAGGTAATTTGAAATTTCCAGCAGTTACAACTGTGAAATTATAACAATTTCCCATTAATTATGCAACTTAGGTCTTCATTAATTTTACATAATCTATATCCTCAGATGTTTTTCTCGTTCTCAATTACATGTTCTAGACGTAAGTACATGTCACATGTGTTTCATAGTCCTATCATCGAATGAAGCAGATTTATAGAATTTCCTCATTAATTATGCAAATTAGCTCCTGATTTGCATACATGTCAACCTGATTGAGTTATCCTCTTTCGAAAATTTTTCAAGTAATGCTCCTGCAGTTCCAGAACAAGCCACAAGGGGGGGGGGGGCAAACTCATGTCAGTTCTTTCCTAACCCAAGACCTATCTACCACCCAAAATTCGTGACCATAGCATGTTCAGTACACAAGATATCAAAACCGGAAGTTCTGCTGCAGTACCAACAAAAGCCACCACGGGGCCCAAAATTTAATCATTAATAGGTCTCATGTAGACCTACCCACCTACCAAGTTCCATGACAATGCATAATAAATCTTCTTGAGTTATGCTGTTCACAGACAAACTGACAAATGCTGCTGAAAACATAACCTTCTTGGGGAAGGTAATAATAACATTATCACATAAACCACTCTTCATATTATATATTATATGAAGAGTGGTAACCTAGTAGAGGGATAAATCTCTCTGAGTACTCTAGCGGACAATTGAGTACTCTGCAGTTCTCTTTGGATTAGGCATTCTACCAAATACTATCTCAGATCTCTTGCAGTCTCTTACAAGTTTCTTTTTTACGACTGTTTTCCCAAAACGTAAATTTCCCATTGTTTGAAAAGTCTCTTTAAAAATTACCTGTGAAGGTAAAAACATGGCTGCCAAGTTGTTGTTTTTATGTCATTGTTAGGGTTAGACGCTTATCCCCATTTAATTATCTATTGTTCAAAAACAATTGATGGTATCTGAGGGGGTCCAGCCTTAGGTGTCAAGAAGGAATCTACAGCAGTCCTCTTTGGAGTCTCTTCTAATGGGGACAGACCTCTCCCAGCTCTCTTTTGGTCTTGTCCTTTGTGATGAGATCTCAATTGTTCGCTTGAGTACTCAAAGAGATTTATCCCTCTACTAGTATATGGAAAGAGCTGCTAAAACGTGATTTCAATTGGAACTTTGTCATCTGTTATTCAGACTTCCGCCCCAGACAACATTCCTGACCAGGTGTACCAGACCCTGGTGCATTGGAAAGAGAAGGCAGGTGAGGCGGCCACACTTCCCGCCCTGGAGCAGCACCTGAGAGAACTGGGCTTTGACCAGCTGGCCGAGCACCTGGCATGGATACCCAGGGTAGGATGATATAAATTAAGTTGGCATCTTGCCTCCTGACAGACAAGTGCGGCCAGTTCAGACTTTCCAGCATTTATGTAATGCTGGTTGTCTGTCTATAGTCGTTGACTGTCATAGAAGCTGCTCTGCATTGTACCCCCGCTAGCACCTGGGCCCGGTACTTGTAGTGTGGGAATCCCACACTGTTGCAAGTGTATTTAAGGTGAGGCCATACTAGTGCTTTGTAACATGTAGCCTTGACCTTCACTGGGCAGTGAGGCAGGTTAGTACTCCTATAGTAACACCCAATCTGTCTGTGTTAGTAATGTATATTATAATATTTATTGATGTGTGTATCCCACCGCATGTCATTCAGGCTGAAAGATGCACCCCAAGATAGGCTTACTCCTTGAAGGAGGTCTTCCGGGTAGTTGGTTTTCCATGTTTGCAGGTAAAACACATGGTTCCCTTTGTTTAATCAGCATGTAATTTTATATGCCGTCTGTGGGCATACCTGTGATGATGCACGCATTTGTATTTTTGCCGTAGCCCTTTTTGTGGTCAATGTTAATATTTCAGAAGCACCCCTACATTTATCAGGCTTTTTGGACTGGCCGCAAATTGTTTTTAATAGCGGGGGGGGGGGGGGTGGGAGAAACCTTCAGGTAGACATGTGGTTGGGAACCAGATGTTTCGTCCCCATGTTTAACGTATGGGTGCATGTTTGCAGCAAAAACTCATTGTTCTCTACATAATATGTGTTATTAGGCATGTGGTGTGCCATTATGTCCATGATGATGCATGATATTTTATTTTCACCATAGCAGTTTTGATATATAATTGCATTTTGTAAATGCATATTTTTTAAACATCCCTATAATGTTGTTGAATTGTTTTTGCCCGGCCATTGGGTGATAGCCCTACATGTAGCGTGCGGACCCGGAACACTTACAGGGACGTAGCATGCAGCGTGCAAGTGGAGCAGGGCATGCTCAGGGGGATACTGACGAGTCGCTGAATATCGCAGAGTGCTTGTAGGATTTTTGTGAGAGTTGAGGGACACCCATGGGCCCCCTGCAGTACTAGTACTTTCATGGGAGGCTAGTAGCCACTTTTCCTGGTGCGAGACCTTGATAATCAGGCCAGTATGTTGAAATGAAGTATACTTCCGCAGACTTGTCTGCACATGCGAGAAGACAGTCCTCTGTGATGCAAGCGCCTCCAGGCCCACACCAAGACCCTAGAGCAACTCATCCGGGAGCTACTCTTTGCTGACGATGCTGCTCTTGTAGCCCACACCAAGTTCGCCATGCAGCGTGTAACATCTTGCTTTGCAGAGGCATCCGAACTCTTCGGTCTCGAAGTTAGCCTGAAGAAGACTGAGGTTCTTCACCAGCCTGCCCCCCGAAAGAAGTACCGCCCACCCTGCATCAAGATTGGTGAGAAACCACTGAAGGCTGTACATCAGTTCACTTACCTGGGGAGCACCATCACATCTGACGCAAAGATTGACAAGGGAGTTGACAACAGACTCGCAAAGGCAAACAGAGCCTTTGGAAGACTTCCCAGCCGAGTCTGGAAGAGCAGGCATCTGAAAAAAGACACCAAAGTCACTGTCTACAAAGCCATGGTACTGACTACCCTTCTGTATGGTTCTGAGTCGTGGGTTACCAGTCCTACAGACACCACCTACGTCTTCTAGAACGTTTCCACCAGCGTTGTCTCTGTTCCATCCTCTACATCCACTGGAGTGATTACGTCACAAATGTTGAGGTGCTGGAGCGAGCGGGGATCCTCAGCATCGAGGCCATGTTGCTGAAGACACAGTTGCGCTGGGCAGGGCACGTCTCTAGAATGGAGGACCATCATTTGCCCAAGATTGTCCTCTACGGCGAAGTCTCTACCGGGCACCGGAACAGAGGAGCACCAAGAGATTTAAGGGCAGTCTAAAGAAATCTCTGTCTTCGTGCAACATCCAGCACCGTCAGTGGTCAGCTCTTGCCACTGACCGAGCTGCCTAGCGACATACAGTTCATGACTCAGTCTCTGCCTTCGAGAGGAGACGCAGAACTGCCCTCGAAGAGAAACGCAGTAAGGGGAAGAACCGCACCGTCACAGCTCCTACACCGGACCCGTCATTTACCTGCAGCCACTGTGGCCGAGTATGCCGGTCACGCATCGGACTTGTCAGCCACCAGCGGGCGTGCAGCAGGAGGGAGAAGGGCCCCTGAAATCTTTGGAAACGAAGCCTAGCCAAGAGTCTAACATTATGTACGGAGCTGGCAAGAAATTGGTGAGACCAGCAGCACGTCTGTCTCCAAGCGAAGATGGCAAGTGGCACTAAACGCCTGCTGATAGACTGACCGTGCAACTAAACAACGAAAGTTTGGACGTCTTAAGATGGATTGAGTGGCCGAAGGCTGACCTGGGAACGCAAGCTGTTGCAATCGGAACAACAGAAGCATTGTGTACCCCCCTCCCCACCTTTCTACACAAAGGCAATGTCGTAGGTCAACCATCTCAGAGGTCCATGTGCCCAACTTTCAAATTGGCTGCAATAAAAGCCAACAGAAAGCTTACGTCACTGCTAACAACCCATCTGACAACAGTTACTCAACACTTCATGAAGTGCGAGCCTTCCACCATGTACAGCAACTCTTACACATTTTAAAAACATTTGCCGAGATCCACAACCGCGGAACAGGCCATCAGTACATACTGCACGTCCAGCACAACCTGCATGATAGGCATCCTCCTCATGTCAACCTCCAGTATTTCCTGACAGCAAACCCCAGCCTCGAGGTAAGAAGCTCAGCAGCAGCCTTTCAAGGAAATCACAAAGTCATGATAGAGTATGTCAATGAAGGTTAGACATCCAGGTAATACGATACGCCAAAAAGCAGTTACTCAAGGAGTCACTCTTTCAAACTCGAGTCCACGGATATCTTAGACCGCGAAACACGCTGGTGGGAACGGGGTGTTAAAGAGGCAATATATGAAAGAATGTACAACCCCACCCTCAACAGGGAAGGGGGGCTACGAGTCGATCTTTCCGGCACTTGGGATTTGGCACTCCCAGCCCCGAGGACAGACAACACTTAAGCTCCTGTTCTGTATAACAGGAGCATTCTTACTAATTTGCATTATCTTGTCTTGACTTGTCTGACTTTTGTTCCATTTTCGACTTCCAAAAATTTGTCTTCACTTTATTTGCATATCAATCAATAGGTTGTGCTTATAAACCTGCATTTCCCCTCTGGTCTCTCAGTCACTGACGAAAGCTAGTGGATGCTAGCTGAAACGTCTGACGTTTTCAAAATCATACCCAGTTGCTTGAGTAACTGCTTTTTGGCGTATCATGATAGAGTAATCCGAGAAGTGGGCTGGCCACATTTTTACTTGTATTTTCCACGACTACAGCCATCACCCATGACACCTTGACTTTGGATGAGTTAGTATAGCAGGGAAAATGGCCATTATTCACTGTCTCCCACACATGAGGCACATGGAGAGCGTGAATAGCGGGCACATTTCAGAGGGGCCTTATGCTGGACCAGACCTTCCACATATGCCTTTGACGACAATTAGTCCTTGACTTTGTCTTGATATGGATTCATGTGGAACATGGCTTGGTTACCATAGGCAAGCAGATACTACCATGATCTTGAAAGTCCACAAATTCAAGGAGAACAATCTTTGATGACGCCCTGCAACATCAGCGCCAACAAGATTGCAACAGAGTACGATCAAGTCACCCACCAAAAGAGACAGCGGAGATCCAAGAAGCACCTACTGTTACTTACAGGTTCCAGTATACTCCATGTGCACGCCTGTAAGCTTTGTGCTTAAGACACAGACTAGAAGTGGATGCCAGCCACCCTGCCAAGTTGTGTTCCTATAAGTTTAGTATAACAGAGACTGCAGAAGATGGGGAGATCCGGAGCAACTTGGGGATGCCAGACAACCTTTCCTTTCCTGACTAGGCGCAGCTTGTAGTGTAGGATTGATTAACCTGGTAATGACCTTGTCTAACAACTGGATTATTACCAGCACGTACTACCAGCCCCCCTAAAGGGGAGAAAGGTTTATGCCAATGCATCTGATTCAGTAATTTTCCCATGGTTGGGCTGGTTCCTCAGGCGATATGAAATACACTGTGTTGTATTCTATATGTATCTGTGTGTACAATGTATCACAGTGCATGTTCTTACATGGGTTAAACTTCTGAAATTCACTGTTTCCATGTGTTCCATCCTGCCAAAAATGTGTGCGCCATTGGGAACTATGTTATGCTCATAATGTTTCACAATCCAAATTTAACCTCCATCTGCAGACCGTCAACAGTCGCCTTAAACTTGACCTGAGTAACCGGGGTCTGACGTCCATCCCGGAGGAGGTGTTTGACATCACTGACCTGGAGGTTCTAGACGTGTCCAACAACGAACTCACCAGCATCCCGGAAGCGATCGACCGTCTGCAGAAACTTTACCGATTGGATGCTCACGGCAACAAGCTGACAAGTTTGCCACAGACGATCGGGTCCTTGCAGAAATTGACACACCTGTATATTTATGATAATCAGCTGAAAGAGGTTCCAGCAGAGGTTTGTTCTCTGTCCAACCTTGAGGTGTTGAGTATCAAAAGCAACAAGCTTTCCACCTTACCTCCTGGTGTGGAAAAGCTGCAGAAATTGAGAGTACTGAACATTAATGGTAATCAGCTTAAAGAGGTTCCACCAGGGGTTTGTTCTCTGTCCAACCTTGAGGTGTTGGATGTCAGAAACAACAGACTTTCCACCTTACCTCCTGGTGTGGAAAACCTGCAGGAATTGAGAGAACTGGGCATTGATGATAATCAGCTGACAGAGGTTCCAGCAGAGGTTTGTTCTCTCTCCGACCTTGAGGTGTTGGATGTCAGTAACAACAAACTTTCCACCCTACCTGATGGTGTGGAAAAGCTGCAGAAATTGAGAGAACTGTACATTCATGGTAATCAGCTGACAAAGGTTCCACTAGGGGTTTGTTCTCTGTCCAACCTTGAGGTGTTAGTTGTCAGTCGGAACCCCATTCAAAGTCTCCCCGATGACATCACACGACTCAACAGGCTGAAGACTTTTAGTGCTAACGATTGTCAGTTTGAAGAGTTCCCCAGACAGGTGCTGCAGCTGAAGACACTGGAGGAACTGTATGCTGGACAACACGGCAGACGCAAGTTCGACACTGTCCCGGATGAAGTGGGAACCTTACAGCACCTGTGGTTGTTTTCATTGGAAAATAACCTCCTCAGAAACCTGCCGAGCACCATTAAAAACCAGCACAGCCTGAGTGTGGTCCAACTCCGGAACAATAAGTTCGACACATTCCCAGAAGTCCTGTGTGAACTGCCTGCCTTGGAGAAACTGGACATAAGTAATAACAACATCACCAGGCTCCCAACCGCCCTTCACCGAGCAGATAAGCTGAAGTACTTGGATGTTTCTGGAAACCCCCTGAAATACCCTCCACAGGACGTGTGTAAACAAGGGACTGGTGCCATCATGGACTTCCTGAAGGAGGAGGCTGAGAAAGGTCAGTGAGTCATGATTGGTAGACCATTATTTGGTTGGGAACTGGCTTTTTTCTTTTCTTTTTTTTTGTCGCTTTGGGTTTATGGAGAAACCTGGATGCCTGTCAGGCCTTGTTGCCTTGCCTGTCTACCTGGCCTGGCTAGCACGTCAGACTACCTTGACATTGGTATCCTCACGAAAGTTAAGACATCCAAACAGCTGCACCCTATAGCAGAATGCATAGAAATTACAGCCATTACACTTCTACATATGGGTAATCCTTACAGTCACACAGCAAGAAATCTACAGGGAAAGTAGATCTGAAATAACTGATCTAGACTAGAGTATATGTAGATATTAATTTTGAAGTTTTGATTAGACAAGGATAATAAACAGTAACAGTGAAGCTTTGGTCCCAATTGGAAAAAGGGACTCTGGCGAGTACTTCTCAGGTTGTTTTTTTGGCACTTTTGGGCGTGACCCCTACGTGGCCCCGTGGGACGCCCTGTGGCTACTGGGCTATTTTTTGGCCCGTCCTGAATTCGATTAAGAATAATATTTGACTCTGACTTAAATTCTACTCGGGCCCCGCTGATAAAGACGCCATCAGAACACCAAGAGTTACCTCCTGCAGCTGTGGTCAACAGTCTACCGGGACTACATGTAATTTGTTACTTGTCTTAAGTTCTGCATCTTCTGTGTGGGTGATTGTTGTCTGTAAGACATGTGCAGTCCTTTCAGAGAAAGTACTAACTAAAATGAGTATAAATGATCTGAGCAGCAAATTTGTATACCCAAAATATGAGGAGTGCCCCCCAGCCCGGGGGTTCTGAACGCGTACGGCCCGGGGCTTCCAAATGTTCCAAAGAAAGATTCGAATGCGTTTCGCCCTAACCGCTTGCACCGCTTTTGAAAATTCGAATACAAAATTCGGACGTTGGAATTGACGTTGTTGCATTTTGGGGGTTTAGGGACATCAAATTTTTGCTCATTTCGCATTGAAAGGCGTGTTTTCTTGGGTGGGTATGACATAAATAAAATACAACACGGTGTATTCCGCATCACCCTCGGTCCCAGCCCTCCCGCGGATCGGATCTCCCTCCGACGTGCGGTCGGGCTGGTACCTCGGGCGATACGGAATGTATGTGTTGTATTCTATATATATTATTTATTTACATGTATATGACCCACCTCTTCATTTTGACATGGGATCTGTTCCTTGTATGGAGAATAGTCATACAACGTTTAACCAACAGAAATCTTTCTGTAATTTTTATGTAATTTTTTGTCCCAATACAAAGAAAATTTTTGGTGATTAAGAAATAGATGTTTAAGAAATTATTATTTTGTATTCTATAGACGGTATTTGTCACTGATGTATTCTTCAATGACTTGTGCATTTCCGATTCACATTTAGATGTTATGTGAGGTCAAGGTAACCCCAAGGTGACTCACTTCGAGTGCACTTCACAAAATTTAATGTAATATCATGAAAATCGAATGTCAGTTTGAGCATAGAAGGTACAATTTTTGAGGCCACTGACAGCCAAATGGTCACCATATTCTGATGAAAGGGACACACTTTGGCCTGTGCGCACTCTTAGATGCCATTCACATTTTAAAAAATGGATCGGGATTGGACGTGAGTGCGAGTGTGAACGCAAAGTGGATTGGCTTCCAACTTGGATTCAAGATGTACCACAAAGACCACAACCGATCGGGTTTAATGTGCATTAAATTACATGTATCATCATTAGACAAGGACCTTGTGTGATAATGGATATATTGCCAATCAAGTTTGAATAGGAAACACACAGTGTTTTCCCCCAAGTTACTAACGTTACTCACAAGTGGAATAGCCAGTGGAATCCCAGTCTTTTTAGTGAATGTTACAACCCGCAAAATATCAGCCTTCACACAACAGAAACTGTCTTGACCACCCAAACAATTGTTCAAAGAGGTGTTCTCTATATTTCCACTAAGATTCCAAACTTCCTGAGTTCCTTTCTTTGGCAAAATTGAAGGCAGAGTTGCAGCGGCTCCAGTGCATTCAAGATGGCGGGCTCTAATCACGGGACACCTCAATCCATTTCTGAGCGCAAAGCACGATACAATCCCGATCGGCCAAAAGCAGTGTGAACGCACAGGTCAATCCGGATTGATGAATTTATGATCCCCGTCAATCCAGATACATTTTTTGAATGTGAACGGGGTCTTAGTTCCCTGTTACTGTTATTTATCTATTTATTAGTTTGGCTGTTCAACCCTCACAGCAAGGGCAGCCTAACTAACTAGCTAGTTAGTTAGGCTGCCCTTGCTGTGAGGGTTGAACAGCCAAACAAGCCCTGTTGCTGACAAGACATGTCAAAACATTACAGCAACATATACATGTAACATGGCTCACAACCTACTGCCTATTACTGTAACAGTTACTGTTTAATAACCTGGGGCTCAGAAACAAATATTTTGATCAGTTTATTTCTACTTTCCCTGTAGATTTCTTAATGTGTGTAATGGATACCCGTATATACCAGTGTATTGGCCTTAATTTCCATGCATTCTGCTAGAGGGCGAAGCTGCTTGGATGTCCTATCTTTCATGAGGATATGAGTGGGGGCCAAGCCAGGTAGCCAGGCCTGGCAGGCTATTCCACAAACCCTTGTCACTTTCTATAGCAAGGGCGTAAGATTATTATTTTTTCTTTGGGCTGAATATCATTGCACTGCCATCTGTTGACTTGTAACTATATTTTGGTCTACTTTTAACTAGGGGGGGATTTGGCTATCAGATCAGGGTCTATCATGGCATCCTGCAATGTTACATAATTCTTACTAAATGTTTATTTCAGTCCATCATACATTGTATTATATGATACCATAGCAGGGTATGGACTGAAATATTTTTTTCCTCATTATGTTTCTCCTATTTACTGTCCTCTGTCATCCATGACAGGAAATTGAGGAGACAGTACATGGTGTCACGAGAAGGATGAACTGAACTTTTTCTTCTTCTCCTAAGGCCACAGCAAGTAATTTCTATGGATGACATCAATGTGCGCATTAGTTTTCGGAAAAGAGAACATTCTTTCCCTCTGACAGTCACAGATCAACATGCCGTAAATGGGCAAAGATGTCTGTTGCCATGACAGAACATGGATGGCAGATAAATATAAAGAGACACAACAAGGCTCTGATGTTTTTCCTTTTGCTTTGATGCAGTGATGTATTTCATTCCTTTTATAGAAGCATTTATTCAGAGAAAATGCCATTAATTTGCATATGTGGGACCCTTCCACACAGGCACTGTCAGTACTGAAAGTAGGAAAATTTTAAACTTGACCCACCCAAGTGCAACAGACTGCCATATGTTGATTGATGGAACAGCCGACTAGAAATTTTGTGAAGATCGTGACATGAACATTGCCACAAAAACTTTAATAATTTTATTTCCATCTGAACAGACAGGATTGCACAATGACTTCTTTGCTTTTAGTGAAGGTAATCTTGATCTAGTTTTAGCTCATTGAAGAGCTTAGAAATCTTCTAACTAGTTGAGACAAAGAAGACAGACACTATGTACAGTATTTACAGGACTGGTTCATTGTACCGGGGAAATTACCAGGCCTAGACTAATTTTGACAAGCACAATGAACACAGTGGACCACAGCTAATGTCCCATCCTAGTCCAGTGGCAGGAACGCTAACCACTGGACTTTATACACTACTTACTATAGTGTAACCCGTAACTTATATATTGGATAAATAAACATTGAACAAACCCCGATAACGCTATATTTTCCTTGTTCAGATGAGAAAATTCTTCAGGCTTTTAACCGTCTGTCCGTGAAGGTGACGCAAACCCAGTGGAAACCGCTTGCCCGGAGCCTAGGGCTCAGCAAAAGGGCCATAGACGCCATCAAGGTGAGATCAGGGGTCATTTCGTAACTAAGAACTGGAGAGGAATTAGAATCTAACCCTAGTTTTTTTTTAGCTTTAGGCTCATTCTCATTAAAATTGTACAGAGTGGTGATTTTTAGGATGACGGTCGTAAAATTGATGAACTGTTTTAATTTTTAGGACAAAGCTAATTAATGATTGCCAAAAAATGACATGTTAATTGTCATAGGAAGTTACCGAAATTTTATGGACTTTAATATTATATTAAAAAAAAACTTTGCTCCACCTCTTTGGAGTATTAATGATGATGAATATATTAAAACTGCATTTTTGTGCAGCAAAACACTGGAACATCAGAATGAGCTGGATGTATGATAAAGCTTGTATTCATGACCTCAAAAGTCATTAGTTTAGGCATCAGTATCAGATGGAAGTACTTCTGTACGCCCACCATATAATGTCACATACATTGTACAGTCACACATATCAAACACGTGAAGATGTGTAGTTAACTTTGGAAGCAAAATCTCAAAGATGAGTAGTAAGAACATTTGAGTCTGATGATGACATTGAGGGTTATTTTCCTTTCGATGCATATATCAACTTTCTTTTCATTAATTATGTTTATGGTGCACAGGAAAAGGAAATTTGATTCCTTGGTAGGTCTTTTCCGCCACAGGTGTAACTTCTGTTACTGGCAACGGTCAGGTTACAGAATGGACTTTTTTCTTTTTTTTTTCTTTGAAAAGATCTACGCTAACTGTATTTAGCTTCATCTTTTAGGAGCAAAGGAGCATAGTACGGGCATTTAAAAACTAGTTAACTTTTATATACCAGGTGAAGAAACTAACATTGATGGTAATAAACAACGGTTACGTAACAGACTGAGGTTACAGTCATTATTGTATATTATCATATAGCCAAGTGACGTTGACCAATCAGAAGGCTCCATTCCACATTCCTTATGACGCCGTAATGTCACAAATAGAGTCAAAATCGGGTATTTATTCATCCCAATCCATACATTAAACAACCCAATAATCACCCGCATATGACCTCAAGTGACCCAATAGAACACGGCTCTAGTTCTAAAAAATCCAAAAATAACAAGTTGTGTTCCAATGACCTCGGGTGACTCCCATAAGAACACCAGGTTCCCTGCCTGTGACCCAGATACATGTAGAACTGAATCAGATAGAACGTGAACTCTACCCAGTGACCTCAGGTGACTCCAGATGGAAATATGTTCTATTCAGCATGTGCAACGGTTAAATTTTACATTGTGTCATTTACAGTAACTGCATCAGTTTGGATAGGCTATCGTGTAAGCTATATGATAATAGCGTTAATGGCCTGTCCTTTCTCGGTGAATATGGTGTGATAAAGCCTTGTCAGTACTGTTGCTATAACTACCGAATAAAGCCACCTCGTTCGCTGCGCTCACTTGGTTGCTTCATTCTTTGGTTATAGCAACTGACAAGGCTTTATCACACCATATTCATCTCGGTGCGGGTCATTAACCCTTAATTAAACATTTTGTTCAGCGATTAGATTTGTACATTTTTCGTGAAACATGGTAGGTGTAGTGGGAAAGTGAAGAAAGAAATAATGTCCGTAATTTGGCTCATATCTAGTTATAAAGAGTGGCGACAGCATTTTGTACATTTGAATGAGAATGAGTGTTAAACAGGGCTGGAAATACTGGGTGCACGTGCACCTTAGTGCACTCAAAATTGGAGCTGTGCACCCAATTATTTTCTGTGGGTGCACTTGTGCACCTAAATACTTTGGTACTAGGTATTTTTGTACATATTAAATAATAGTATGCAGGATATACTTGGCATCTAAGCGTCAGAAAAATAGTCTTTGTTGTAGTTCTTGTGTAACATAACAGTTATTAAGGATTCAATTTTTGGAAATATGATATTTGACAACTTGTTCTGGCAGGCTTCTGCTCCAGACGACGTTCATGAGCAGGTGTACCAGACCCTGGTGCGGTGGAGAGAGAAGGAAGATGAGGAGGCCACACTTCCCGCCCTGCAGCAGCACCTGAGAGAACTGGACTTTCACCATCTGGCAGAGCAGCTTGTACCAACACCCAGGGTGGGTTTGTGTTTATATGATTGATTTTTTTCCCAGCCAAAGGCTGTGTATAGAGACCAGTTACAAAACATGAAAACACAACTTGGCACGTTGGTTGGAATGGTAGGCATTATGCCATTTGGTACATTGATTCAGAACCAATTCAGAAACCATTCATACGTCATGTGATCACGGTGATGCAATTCCAGGCCATGCCATGCAATGCATGGACTGGCATGGCCAGGTCAGGCAAGAACAGGCTAGAAGCCAATGCCATCACATCAAAATTCTATATCAGCTCTTAACAAATGAAGGAAAAATATTGTTTTCCTGCATCTGCATAAATTATGTATACTGTATCAGCTAATTAACGCAAGGCCCAGTACTGTTTACAGTCAGTAAGAGACACGCCCACACTTCGAGGTGTACCATGAAAAAAAATTCTGTTGAATAGTACTCCCCATTGATGCTTTTACCCCTACGTAGATATTCAATCATTACTCCCTTACTGTCCCAGAAAACAGATGAAACTCGCTAAAACTTCTTGGGGGGCCGGGAAACTTCCTTCATCCATTGTTTGCTCTGCTGTTTTGATTCAGGGTGAAAGTGGTGAACCCAGCTCATCTTGGGTGACAAATGTTTTGAGGTAATTGCAAGGATTGGACTGAATTCGTTCCTTGAAATGTCCAGCCTGTTTAACTTCTGGTGTTCAGAAAACATTCTATACACCCACTTTGCAGACAGTTTGCTCATCCCCAGGATGTCCTACAAAACATGTTGGACAGTCTCACATCTGTCATTCACTACCATGTGATGAATGACCTCAACTGGATTGTCCGTGGTGCTGATTTTAGTGCTTATACTGACCTGTGTCCATCTTCCGTGCTCTCCTTGCCACGCTTGTAGCTAGTAACCCACTTCTTTATAGTTGAATAAGAAGGGGAGTCATTACCAAGTGTCTTCACCATGTCTTCATTGACCTCCTTAGGAGACATCCCTTTATCTCGATATACTTGATCAGAGCACACGCTTCTGTTGCAGCCATTTTGTGATTTTGCCCTCACCTGTCCCATTTTCACGGGGCGTCATGTGTTAATTAATGAAATTAAAGATTTTTGTGCTCAGTATGGTTAAGACCATTTCAAGACCCCCAGCGAAGTGGGCGTTGTCCCCCTTAGCAACACATGGATACAACCTTTGACCCTGAATTTTCCAGATGTTCCCTATTGTTTCATAATTGCCCCCTCTCCACCTAGTGTGAAAACTTTTCAGGAGGGGAGCCACAGGGCCAAGTGAGGTGCTACCTGGCACCCTGTGGACTATGAATGGTGTTCAGACATGGCTGTCTGGAACACAAATGCTGTATGTGTATTGCAGTGATTCTCCAAATCCCGTGTCAAGGAAATAATTTGTAACTTGATTTACAACCAAGGAATAACATAAAGTTTGGTAGATCCACTTTTTTCAATCACACGCCGGAAGGGTTGTGGAGATTTTTTTTAAATATTTAGACTTATAGGCTAACTCAAGGCCATTACTATCACAGAATAGTGTTGTTAAACTTCCACGAGATTACAAAAACTTACTTTCGCAAATCAGGCAGAAGTGTACTGGACGTAAATGTTATAACGCTTATAATAATAGCATCCAAATGTAACATTTTCCCTACCAAAGCCCTGTCAAGCTGGTATAAATGATTTTTCACAGAACGGCTTGAAAAGCCGTACTATTGTGTAAAAAAAAAACAGGCTAGGGAGACAATCTCAAATTGATACCCTTCCTGTTTTTGTTGTTCCAAGGTCCTTGGTTGTTCTTAAAATTAATGTACAGTGATAATCTGGATTATGAATCTTACTAAGGAGAAATATTGTGTAATGTATGTTCAGCCGGCCATTTGGAGCCTATATAGTGCTTTAAAAACATTCTAATGCCAATTCAAAAGGACATTTATTATTTGTAAACCCCAAGCCAAGCCGTCTGGCACACACCAGGTAGGCCAGGTAGAGGTGTGAACAAGCTGTGAACTGCCTATTGTTTCCTCTGGTAGTCTGCTCCCCTGCAATCAAGGTGCTATGAAAACAAGTTGATTAGCTGTATTGTTCACTTATCCCAACAAAGTGATCAGATTTCTTGTTTAGTGAAGGCAAAAGTTACATTTTTGGCATCTTATTTTGTCCTAAGTTGTGGGCCCTCATTTTGTGCTCTTTTGGGTCAATAAATACCTCTTTGGAAAGTATACAAAATTTACAGGAAGATAGCAGTGTGGCCTTTGTGATAAAGGTTTGCAGTATTAAGCTATGTGTTCATGAATATCCAGACCCTGTCATTTTTGTCAAAATTTTGAAGATATTAATAAAAATCTTTGTTGCTACAATAGTTGTACCAGAGGCCACACTGCAGTGTTGTAGAGTTATCACTGCTGAATATATAGATACCAAATTTGTATCCAAAAAGTGTACTTTAAAGGCCCACAGGGCGTCTAAAGGTGACAAAATTTAGAAGTGCTTATTACATTAATATTTTAATATCTGTACGCTTTGTGCGAAACCCGTATGGGTTGGACATATCTACTTGATGTGGAGCTTCACATTTTGTTAAAATTTTTGGGAAATAACCACCCAGAAATCTTGTATAAGAGATGAAAGTCAGTGGATCAGTTAATTAGGCAAAAAGGCTGAAAACGGTCTTAACCATACTGAGTGTGCAGTGATATAATACGTCATAGTATACAGTTATACCAAAGAATAGGAGTTTGACCTTTATTTTCCAGGTGAGGCCAAGAACGTTTTGAACACCCCTCATATTATATATATATATATATAGATATGAGGGTATAGGAGGCCAAAATGTACATTTTTTTGTTTGAAAATAGCAAAAAAAGGTCCCATTTTACACAATTTTAGGTGGTGTTTGCCAAAGATGTCCAAGGCTCCCCCATACCAAATTTCCAGTCAATAATATCATGGCACAGGAGCCAAAAATGTATGTTTTTTGTCCGAAAATAGCAAAGCGTATACTTTATACATGTACTTAATGATGTTCTGTGGACAGATGTTCTGTGTACTTAATGATGTTCTGTTTCCATGTGATTCCATCTAGAAAAAAATGTGCCATTGGAAACCATCTCATGCTCATTGTTTCACTACACAGAATGAAGACCCCAGCATGGCGACAGGTCTAAAGCTCCAGCCTCAACAGAACGCACACGGTCGCCTCACACTTGACCTGAGTAACCGGGGTCTGACGTCCATCCCGGAGGAGGTGTTTGACATCACTGACCTGGAGATTCTAGACGTGTCCAACAACAAACTCACCAGCATCCCGGAAGCGATCGACCGTCTGCAGAAACTTTACCATTTGGACGCTTACGGCAACAAGTTGACAAGTTTGCCACAGAGGATAGGGTCTTTGCAGAGATTGACACACCTGTACATTTATGATAATCAGCTGACAGAGGTTCCACCAGAGGTTTGTTCTCTGTCCAACCTTGAGGTGTTGAGTATCAAAAGCAACAAGCTTTCCACCTTACCTCCTGGTGTGGAAAAGCTGCAGAAATTGAGAGAACTGTTCATTCAAGATAATCAGCTGACAGAGGTTTCAGCAGGGGTTTGTTCTCTGTCCAACCTTGAGGTGTTGAATGCCAAAAACAACAATCTTTCCACCTTACCTCCGGGTGTGGAAAAGCTGCAGAATTTGAGAGAACTGTACCTTCTAGGTAATAAGCTGACAGAGGTTCCAGCAGGAGTTTGTTCTCTGTCCAACCTTGAGGTGTTAAGTGTCGGTCAGAACAATATCCAACATCTCCCTGATGACGTCAGACGACTCACCAGGCTGAAGACTCTCGGAGTCACAAACTGTAAGTTTAAAGAGTTCCCCAGTCAAGTGCTGCAGCTGAAGACACTGGAGAAACTGTATGCTGATGACTGCAAGTTCAACACTGTCCCAGATGAATGGGGAGAATTACAAAACCTGTGGCTCTTGTCATTGGAACATAACCTCCTCGGAACCCTGCCGAGCACCATGAGTCAACTGCACAAGCTACGGGAGGTCTACCTAAGGAACAACAAGTACGACACATTCCCAGAAGTCCTGTGTGAACTACCTGCCATGGAGAAACTGGACATAAGGAACAACAACATCACCAGGCTCCCAACCGCCCTTCACCGAGCAGACAAGCTGCGTCCGGAGGGCTTGGGTGTTTCTGACAACCCCCTGACATACCCTCCAAGGGATGTATGTGAAAAAGGGACCGTTGACATCATGGACTTCCTGAAACTGGAAGTTGAGAAAAAAGGTGAGTCGTGTTCGCCTTTGTCAGAAGGCTAAGAGATTGTTACCTTTGCCAAGAAGGTGTTTTTGGCAGCGTGTTTGTGTGTGTATGTTTGACTGTAAGTCGAGAAGGCTTAGAATTTAAGTTAGACTAGAAAGGCAGACATTTGCTTGGGAGCAAATACAGCATATTTCAGTCCATAATAGGATGGTCGGCATATTCCATCGTCATGATTGTAGATGACGTAATGATCTTAGGCACATAAAATTGAATGAGTGGGTCATTTCGCACGACTTACGTGCAACGTGACCCCAGGTAACCTGCAATGTGTTCGATGGCCAACGGCAGATGGAACTGGCCATTCTATAGATAGAACGTGGAATGGGTATAGCACTTTTGACCCTTTTTTGGCTGAAAAGAGCCATTAAAGTCCCCTAAATGAGTCATTTGGAAGTGGTGTATGCCAAATATGTGACTGCTATTCTGTAGACACACGTTCAAAGTACCCTTATACCGAATTTCAGATCATTTGGTTGTAATACCAGGGCTCAGGATCCAAAAATCCATTTTTTTGTCGAAAAATGATCCAAAAAACCGTCATAAATATTTTTCAAAGGCATATATAAAAAAAATGAAAAAAAAAAACGACCTGGGGGTATTTGCCCACTCTACCTCCATGCCAAATTTCAGGTCATTTGGCTGAATGATGGCGGAGTTGAATCCCTCTGACCGATTGGCAGGAGGAGGAGAAACATGAGAGAACACAATATATTTCATCCATACCATATGGTATGGACTGAAATATAATGAATAGTCTTCAACTGTAACAGTTGATATTTGGTATGTTGGTACTGGTCTTCATACACAACACCCTCACAGTGATACAGGAAGATGGTTCACTACAGATAAGGATCTGCCAGTACAGTAGCCGACAGACATACCCTGATCAGTACTTGAACTTTGATGTTAACCATCCACTCAACTACAAACAAGGTGTGATTAGAATTTTTTACACAGAGCCAACACCATTATTACGATCATACAGGACATAGAGACGGAGAAAGGGGACCTGACCCAAGCACTTACAATAAACTACATGTACTAATAATATATGCCTCAGTGGACTATCAACAAATGCCACACTTCCCAAAACACCTAACACCAATCCTTCAACAGGATGGACCTACAAGGGGTTGATTGACCTCCAATACTCTACGTCAAGAATCATTTCATGTCAAGTTTTTTTTATACAGCTCGGATCCTCTCGTACGCGTCTTTCAAGCATCTGTCCCAGAAGTTTAAGCAACCCCAGTGGAGACCGTTTGCCAGCAGGCTAGGGCTGAGCACCTCAGAGATAAATGAAATCAGGGTGAGACCATGGGTCCTCTCTCTAATCAATATTTGACTGTACATACTGGTATACTGGTTAAGTTTTGTATTTTACATTCAGCTTTATTTATCTCTATTAAAAGACTTGGTAAAATATACAATTATAAATGAATTATGATAATTATGAGTCATTATCAATACTAACTAGTATATTATAATTATTAATTATGTTATACTACACCTTCTTGTTGTCAATGATAGAGAGAGACACTGGTATCGCAGGGACTGCATTAGTGTCTGCCATGAGGGACAGGACATACTGGTCCAGGAGTAACTTTATCATTAGTGTACAATACCTCACTGGATTAGATAATCCGGAGGCATGATGATGATGATGATTATTCTTATTTCTTCAACAAAGGCACTTTAAGTTAATGAAAACTGTTTCTTTCCCTTGTCACCTTCACCTTTCCCTTGTAAAAGAGACAAATATCTGATGAAGCCAAAATGTAAATGATTATAAAGACAAATTCAATGTACATGTAGTTACTACAGTATCATATACCTACATGATGTTCTGACCATTTGGTAATTAGAAGCCCCCATTTCATGTATGTATATATATACATAATGAACGGGATAGATTTGACCTGCCAAGATTGCAATGTTATGTATTGATAATTTCAGTTGAAATGTTGGTAACAAAATTAATATGTAATCCTCTTTGTACTAAAACTAAATTTTCAAAATTTAATGTTTCTCAAAAAGTGGGCAAAATATGTTGAGTATACATGATTGTATCATTTACCAATGAAAGGATCTATTCATCATACAGGAATTTTGTATCATTTTCCAACATGCCTTGTTTTACCAGACTTCCGCCCCAGACGACGTTCCTGACCAGGTGTACCAGACCCTGGTGCATTGGAAACTGAAGGCAGGTGAGGCGGCCACACTTTCCGCCTTGGAGCAGCACCTGATAGAACTGGGCTTTGACCAGCTGGCAGAGCTGCTGGAACAGACACCCAGGGTGGGTACTTAAAAATTAATTATTCGATATTTATTTGTCTGCTTTATACTTTTTTGATCTATACTTTATGATTTGAATTCCATGAATTTGGCTTTTTAGTTAAAATACTCAGTCTGGTACTTTCACAGTGTAAAAATACTAGTAGTGTTGCCATTTGTTTTTACAATCTTTAGTAAGTACAACAGGACACTAAAAGTAGTGTTAAGACTTGTAGTATGTATAAAAAAACGTATTATTGTAGTTTATTTTTAACAATTTATTTGAAAATACAACACAACGAAAAGGATATAAATAAAATTTAAACAGAAAATTGCCACCTCTACTAAAACTGGTATTGCTCCAATGTCACGTGGTCACCACTATTTTTTCTGTCAATAATTACGCTGTCTTGTTTCACATAACATAGAATGCAATAGTTTTTTCGGCGACGGACAGCGAAGTACCTCAGGTCCACTTACATGTAGAAGAGATATCGCAGGCAGATCTGGAGACGTTTCAGTTGGATAGGCTATATGATAATAACGTTAATGCCCCACCTTATCCTTGGTGTATATGGTGAAATAATCCCTGTTCAGGTGCAATAAACACCTCATAAACCATGTCATTCGCTACGCTCACTTGGTGGTTTATTCGATAGTTATTGCACCTGATGACCATGCAGGGATTATCTCACCAAATATACACCTCAGGGCGGGGCATTAACCCTTTAATAAAATAATACAAAAAAGATTTAATGCGCATGATTAAGGAGGAACTTCAGAATTTTAGTTCCAGTTTTTAACAAACTACAATCATGTATGTTTTACTTCATCCCAAACAACTGCCCCTACTCTAACCCTAACTCTAAATCATACAAACCCTAATTCTAAATCTAACCCTCTAATGTCTGCTAACACAATCAGCGATTTTATTGGGAGAATTACCGATCAGAGTTTGCTAATTTTTCTACACATGTGGATATTCGCTTAAAAGACAGAACTTCCATTAATGTCACTTACAGGTATGATCCATAATTTTGATTGATAGACTTAAAGTTTATAAATGGGAGACGGGTAACACATTTCTCTCATCCCGTATGTGTGTGTGTGTGTGAGTGTACAATCATGAAATTTTCGCCAAGTCTTCCCTAAATTTTCCCTCATCGAATCTTTTGAAGATTCTTGTAGATATGTATTTCGGCGGTGGTCTTGGCGCCTTAAGTCCATGATAAGTGAACACAAGGTGATGGTCGCTTAGTGAACCCTTGTAGACACCACTGTTAGAATGTTTGCCTGGGTTTGACGTTAGAATGACGTCAATAAGGGTAGAAGATCCTTCCGTCACTCTAGTTGGTTCAGTGATGACGTTACTGAGGTCATAAGCGTCACACAGGAACTTGAGATCCTCCGTCGGCCCCTTGTCTTTCAGAAGGTCGCAGTTTAGGTCACCCATGATTGTCATTTCCATATTCGTATCAGATGCCTTATCAAGTGACTCTCTGAATCGATCAAAGAAAATTTCATCTTTAGGTGGTCTGTACGCACAGCAGATGAGTTTGTGTTTGGACTTTGGTGGGGTTAACTCAACCCATAAGGCTTCCAGGCCATCAACAGAAAGATCATTTTCTTTCCTTGAAAGATATAGAGTCCTTTATGCATGTACAAAGCTACCCCGCCCCCATGTCCTTCCTGAGAAGAACATAACCCGATAGCTGAATGGTATCGTTTGGGAAATCGTCGTTCAGGTGAGTTTCAGTTAAGCCAACAATGTCCATTCTACTTTTGGCAGCAAGGATTTCAAGATTAGCATGTGCATTTGTATGTATGTGTGTTTGCATGTGTGTGTGTGTTTGCATGTGTGAGTGTGTTTGCATGTGTGAGTGTATGTATGTGTGTGTGTCATGTATGTGTGCGCGTGTGCATGTGTGTGTACATGTGTGTATGTGTGTGACTTGTGTGTATGTGTAATAATATGTACATATATGTATGAGTGCATACATAACTGGTGCAATAGCTCAATTGGTCGCTTTGTAACCAGGAGGTTGTGAGTTCAAACCCCGGCTGGGTCATACCAAAGACTTTAAAAATTACTTCTCAGAAATCTTTCTCTGTTTATCACTTTTTTCTCTGCTTAGCACTCAGCACATATGAGAAAGAGTGTGGGAAGGTCAAACACAGCACTAACAGTGGACTAGCCCCCTGCTGTAGTGCCTTGCACAACTGTGTGTTGCCCAAGGGCTACGGAAATGGATATGGGCACCACCCTACGCTCTGCATAAGATCTTTCTTCCTTTTTTGCATCGGCGCCAAAGCGCTGATGCATTGTGCCGACTTGGATGGACCAAGGTTGGAGGTTCGAGGTTCGTGGTTCGATGTTGACAAACACGCTTGCATTGACCATGCTTGCATTGTTCAAGCTTACAGTGTGGTTTTGACCTTCCACATCATAATCACGTTATTCTTATAACAGAAATCTGTCAAAAAGAAAAACTGATTTCTGTTTAAAAAATTTTTTTATTTTGTTGTATGTCCGAAATACTGTAGCAAAATATATCTATATTTCCAGTAATTGAATTTTTAAATCGGTTGCATAAATTATGTTGACGATGGACCAGTAGGACGTTGACTCCATGTGAGACGCAGATACTCTGGGAACGAGAATATTTTAGACATGCGTACTGGGAGTTCTCTCGCTGTCTGAATATATATTCGAGAACGGAGCTTCCAGCGCAAATTTGGGGTGAGTTATGAATTTTTGACAATTAAACCAGGTCATTAAGTGATTTTGAGGACCTTGAGGAGGTCATGGTGTATGTACTCCTTTATTTACTGCAGAATTTTTCCTGGAAATAGCTGACTTATTTTCGCCGTAGTTATCCGTATCGCCCCCCTCCCCTCCGTCACAGAAACTCCATATTTTATTTCAGACCTGGGCCGTGATATTGATTGATTGTACGGCCTGGGGTTTTATTTCGCTCTGAGTTGCATATGCACTTTAAACACACAATTTTCCCGCCAATATGGCAACAATGACACTCTGAATGTATGAAATTTTGAAGATTTGCCATGTGCTTTTACCAAAGAGTGTTGGGTATGCCTAAATACCACCGTTACCACAACCGACCACAACCAACCACTACGGACCACAACCGAGTCTAATATGGGCAGAAACCTTGTGTCAGTACTCACGCTCCGGATACATTAACTATGCATTTATGAACACAACACAAGCCAGTTTTTAAGAGTTTTTTCCGCTCGTTCGAAAGATTGCGGGGACTTCTGGCCGCCCTACTGTAACGTCACTGTTAGGGTCCGCATGGGGGATTTCTTCATCCCTGTTTTTTATTTAACTTTAATGCTTGTATTTGGGGCTGAAAAACACTTTTTGCACTATCATTATGAGTAGATTACGATAGAAATGTCCTACACTATAACTAACAGCCTTATCGTGATGTCGTCAAAAGTTAGATAAAAAAACAGGAATGAAGAAATCCCCAATGCAGGCCCTAACAATGACGTTTAAATATGGCGGCCAGAAATCCCTACGACCTTTCGAACGAGCGGAAAAACTCTTAAAAACTGGTAAATACTTAAGACTTGCGGCGGCTCGTTTGTGTTCATAAATGCATAGTTAATGTATCCGGAGCGTGAGTACTGACACAAGGTCTCTGCCCATGTACACTGCATATTAGACTCGGTTGTGGTCAGTTGTGGTTGGTTGTAGTCAGTTGTGTGGTATTTAGGCATACCGAGAGTGTTCGATATGTACTAGTATATACCAACCTACTTACAAGAAATTATTTTTGTGTTCTCTTTCAGATATACAACTCAAGACTCAAGACAAGACACACAAGACACCACACTTGAAGTCAAGCTATCATATATTCAATAAAGTCTGGTTTTGCACACCACCAAGAAATTTGCACTCAATATCAATTAAACCACTGCCACTGTGCACTGTGCTCTTGCACTCAATATCAATCTAACCACTGTACTTCATTAAACACTCATTGTATGTTACATTTCTCAATACTATTGTTTTTTTTGAGTACCTTGGTTTCCCTCCTGCAAAAATTATGTCCACACACAGTTCCATTTCACCTCTCCTTCTAGAAGCCAAGGCCATATTTCAAAGCACTTCTTTGTTCTCTTTCAGATATACAACTCAAGACTTACATAATTCACTTAAGGCTACTCATAGTAACTAACTAGCACTTTTCTGTATATGCTCCTTGCATATGTAACATTTTTGAATAGTTTCGTCTTTCTTTATTGTACCATGATTTGTCTCCTGAGAAAAATTATGTCCAAACAGTTATATTTCACTTATCATCACAGAAGCCGATGCCAGCTTTTTCATTTATTAAGCACTTGTATTCTATGATTGCACTATGTATGTGTGTGTGTGTACATCTGTGTATGTGTGTGTGTGTGTGCATCTGTGTGTGTATGTGTGTTTGCATGTGTGTGTGTGTGTGTGTTTGTGTGCGTGTGTGCATTTGTGTGTGTACATTTGTGTGTATGTGTGTGTGTGTTTGCATTTGTGTCTGCATGTGTGTGTGTATGTGTGCGTGTGTGCAGTTGTGTGTATGTGTGTGTGTGTTGTTCTTTTCTGGGCTTGTGAATGTTTCCATGTGCTTCTGTCTAGAAAAAAATGTGACTGTGCCATTGGAAACCATCTCATGCTTATTGTTTCACTACACAGAATGAAGACCCCAGCATGGCGGCAGGTCAAAACCTCCAGGTTAAGCGGACCGATGACAGTCACCTTGTACTTGACCTGAGTAACCGGGGTCTGACGTCCATCCCGGAGGAGGTGTTTAATATGCCTTACCTTGAGGTTCTAGACGTGTCCAACAACGAACTCACCAGCATCCCGGAAGCGATCGGCCGTCTGCAGAAACTTTACCGTTTGGATGCTCACGGCAACAAGCTGACAAGTTTGCCACAGACGATCGGGTCCTTGCAGAAATTGACACACCTGTACATTTATGATAATCAGCTGACAGAGGTTCCAGCAGAGGTTTGTTCTCTGTCCAACCTTGAGGTGTTGAGTATCAAAAGCAACAAGCTTTCCACCTTACCTCCTGGTGTGGAAAAGCTGCAGAAATTGAGAGAACTGTTCATTCAAGGTAATCAGCTGACAAAGGTTCCACCGGGGGTTTGTTCTCTGTCCCACCTTAACATATTAAATGCCAGAAACAACAATCTTTCCACCTTACCTTCGGGTGTGGAAAAGCTGCAGAATTTGAGAGAACTGTACCTTCTAGGTAATAAGCTGACAGAGGTTCCAGCAGGAGTTTGTTCTCTGTCCAACCTTGAGGTGTTAAGTGTCGGTCAGAACAATATCCAACATCTCCCTGATGACGTCAGACGACTCACCAGGCTGAAGACTCTCGGAGTCACAAACTGTAAGTTTAAAGAGTTCCCCAGTCAAGTGCTGCAGCTGAAGACACTGGAGAAACTGTATGCTGATGACTGCAAGTTCAACACTGTCCCAGATGAATGGGGAGAATTACAAAACCTGTGGCTCTTGTCATTGGAAGATAACCTCCTGAGAACCCTGCCGAGCACCATGAGTCGCCTGCACAACCTACGGGAGGTCTACCTAAGGAACAACAGGTTCAACACATTCCCAGACGTTCTGTGTGAACTGCCTGCCATGGAGAAACTGGACATGAGGAGAAACAGAATCACCAGGCTCCCAACCGCCCTTCACCGAGCAGACAAGCTGCGTCCGGGGGGCTTGGGTGTTTCTGAAAACCCCCTGAAATACCCTCCACAGGATGTGTGTGAACAAGGGACTGGTGCCATCATGGACTTCTTGAAAGTTGAGGCTGAGAAAGGTTAGATTTGTTCATAAACTTGGTGAATAATGTTACTTTTTTTGCAGATATCCATATTACCTGTTTAAAAAGTACAAAGAAAATAATCAACTTAATAAAGATGTGGCAATTCTGTCAATTTGGATTTTTTTTGTATGACATAAACTGATATGTTTGTTATGCAGCAAGTTTAAACTGTAATTTCCAACAAGGAATTATTGGACTCACCCAAATTTTCGACTGTACAACTCCAGTCTTTGTCAAGGAATGAGCAATCCACCGCTTCCGTGACGTCCAAGGGCTCATGTAAGGAAACATATATAATTATTGGAGAGACTGAAAAGACTGAAAGATCCCGCAAGGCTAGGTTCACACACGACCTAGCTCGACTACTTCGGAGGTCTCATAGAATCGCCTGGTCATTCAGTCTCACTGGACAAAGTAAGAATCCTGGACTTCTCTGCACGAGGGATTATAGAGGCCATCTACATCAGGGCATTACAACCATCCCTCAACAGAGACGGGGGGGCGCCACAGAGTTTCTGCTCACGGAGTCACGTGTGTTATCTGTGTGACGTCACGAAAGCGGTGGATTGCTCATTCCTTGACAAATTAAAGACTGGAGTTGTACATTCGAAAATTTGGGTCCAATTTGTTGTGTTGGAAATTACAGTTTAAACTTGCTGCATAATGACTTCTACCAACACAAATGAACTTTCAAGATATGATATATCTGTGTTCCCTTGAACTATTATACAGTTGTCTTTTGACTTTTAATGAATTTTTTGCATTGTGAAATGTACTACTTTCAAATCATGCTTGTCGCTGTATGCATACGTACCAGGACAAATATAGAATACTACACGGTGTATTCCGTATTGCCCAAGGTACCAGCCCGACCGCGCGTCCGATCGCCCGAAGGTCGGAGGGTGATTCGACTTGCGGGAGGGCTGGGACCAAGGGTGATGCAAAATACACCGTGTTGTATTTTATTTATGTCATACCAACCCAAGAAAACAGACATTTCAATGCGAAATTTGCCAAAATTTGGTGTATTTAAACAAAAAGTGTAACAGTGTCAATTCCAGCATCCAAATTTGGTGTTCAAAGTTTTGAATTTATTCAAAATTATTTTAGTAGTACAACCAATTCTTTCAATCTCAAATTGAATAATGTCATGTAGTTCCACAGACATCCTAGACTGCAAAACCCATTGATTTGAAGGAGGTTATTGGTTACATAGAGAGGCATTAGAGAATGTACAATTCCACCCTAAACAGGAAAGAAGGTCTATTCGTAGAGCTCTCTGGCACCTGACCCAGCCCTGCAAGACAACATTAAAACATATCCAACTCGAGGAATGTGCCTTCAAAAAGATCCATTTTACATTGCAGTAACATTGCAGGCCTAGCAATAAAGGGTACCTGACATTTTCCATCACCTACAGCTAGCACATTGTTACCAGGGGCACTCTTTCAATCCCAAATCCACAGACATCCAGACCTAGACCGAGAAACCTGCTGTTTTGAACAAGGAGTTAGAGAAAATGTACAGTCCCACCCTATAAACAGGAAAGGAAGCCTACATGTCAAAGCTTAGGTGTCGAACTTTCCGGCACTTGCCTCAGAAGTGGATAGCCAAGTTTATAGTTTGTTGCTATTCAAGCAATGTCTCTAACTTACATGACCATTGGTTTTCTTAAATACCGTCTTTACTTTTGTTTTCCTAAAGGTGCCCGTAAGAGACCAGTAATCTTGTTGATCAACGACGAGTATGGGACTTCCAAGGGGGGAGTTTCTACCATCAACTACCATGCGAGCCAAACCGTAGGCCTGACGGGCAAGGCAGACGTGTACTGCACAGTCCTACAGCTGAATGTGCCTGAAGAAGACCAGAAGGCAGCGGACAGAGACGGTGTCACGCTGATAAAGCCAGATCCACGAGGTAAGAAAACAAAGCCATCACTAGACTGGCTGACCGACTACCACAGCGTACACTTCCCAAACCTCCCCAAGGATGTCACCTGTATCATCGGCCATGCTGACATCACAGATACGGCGGCACGAAACATCAAGGATCAACGGTATCCACAAGCAGACCTCATGATGTTTACCCACGTCATACGCGAGGATACAGAGTTGTACAAGGGAGGTGAGAGCGCCATGGAAGCACGGAAGAAAGAGAATGATATGCTTGATAAAGTTGACAACGCAAAGGCAGCTTTCTCGGTGGGCAAGCGGATCTTTGACCACTTTGAAAACAAGTACAGAGGGGAGAAGAGACCAAAGAAGCACTTCATCTTTCTCCCGAAGCCATCTCAGATGTTTCTGGCCACCACAGTGAGACCTGGGGGAGGGCAGAAGGTTGTCCTGTCCGTCGGCAGGGTGAGGAAGGTGGAGAAGCTGAAAGGTCATGACCTGACTGGACAGTCCATGAGGGAGGTGGTGAAGGTGATCAGGAATGCCCGGTGGTGTGTCCGCGGCATCAGCGAGGATGATTGGCAGAACAGCCTGAAGATCCTGGAAGACGCCCTGAACAGTCCCGACCTGAACCCCACCCTGCTGCCGTACGGGACCCAGGAGGAAATCAGGCACGACATGATGGAGGCTCACCTGGTCCTGATGCCGTCCCGCTCCGAGCCGTTCGGGCTGGTCGGCCTGGAGGCCATCGCCGCTGGCATCCCCGTCCTCATCTCCGACAAGACCGGCCTGGCAATGATGATCACCGACCTGATTGCTGAGGGGAAACTCAGCGCAGAGTACAGAAACGTCATCGTGGAGACCAGCGTGAACGACCGGGATCGTGCCAGCAATGTAAAGAGGTGGGCAGCCAAAATCGTGGACGTCCTCAAGCACAGCGACTACGAGTTCGAGAAAGCCGCCAGGTTCAAGCAGGAGCTCGTGGAGTCCAAGTACTGGGAGAAATCCCACAATGACTTCCTGCAGGCCTGCGGCATCCCAGCTGCAGCAGCAGATCAGTAGCGGTCAAGGGGCAACAGTGGGCACCACCAATGGAGACAGAACGAACAATCTTGATTAATTTTTGATATTTGTGAATGATGAGTGATGAATGAGGTTTGTCAGGACCAGCTTGAGTCAGCTGTTGGCATCCCATTCACAATTTGAAATGGCAAATGTCCAGACAAGATTGTTTGCAAATTGCTTTTTTACTAGTCACACTAGTGGTGGTCAATTTGATAATTCTCAATTTCTTGGCTGGGTTAGGAAGGAAGAGGTGGCAAGTCAGTCTTGTAGTTAGGGTGGTTTACTTAGAATCTGGAGATTCTGAGTTCTGAATCCCAGCCACTGTAACAGTTGTGTCTTTGGGAAATGCTCTTCCCACTAGACTTGGGTGAAAATAAGTACCTTGCTTATGTTTGGGACGTCCTCTCAGATAGGAATTAAGTTGGAGGTCCCATGTTTGACAAAAGCAATAACCTAAAGCATGTTAAAGATTCCAATACGCATTATTGAAATGTATACGTAGGGGTCCTTTCCTGTGTAATTCAAACTCACACATGACTGTGCAGTCTGGTTGCTAGGTTGACATCCTGAAAACAGTGATAGTCAACTGTCATGTCTGCCCTGATGGCTTGAAGATAAAATAGTAAAAGTCATGGTCTTCCAGAACATGGGAGAAGTAGTGAGGAAAATTAGTAACGGTGGTGAACCACGATATCTGTAATGACAAATTTCCTCTTTAATTTCTGAGACTAGGACCAAAACTTTCACTATCAGAGAAGTTTGGTTGTGTGGCATAACAAGTGTTTGGCTCAGACCAAAAGGTCCCGGTTTTGAATCCTGCCCGATCTTGTGCCCTTGGGAAAGGCACTTTGCACGACTTTCCTCACTTTATGAGTTCATAGCTTCAGTTAGGGACGTCCAGATAGGAGGCCCCACGTTTTGGGAAAGCCACACCCCACGCACGTTAAAGAACCCACCACACTTATCAAAAAGAGTAGGGGACCTTACTGGTGTGAGTGGTTCAAAGCTTACAGTTGGGACTTATGCAACTTGTACTTACATGTGCATGTACAATAAAACTGGTGTGTTACGCGGTATACCTATAAAGGCGGTTTACAGGTTATGCGAAACAAACAATCAAGAGTTGGGGAATTTGATTTGAACTTTAATTATTCTTTTGATTAATCCATAATTGATCATTATGTTCCCTGAACCCACTTTCTATATAACCATGATAATATTACAACAATGTAGATAATCAATATCTAGCATAATAGACAAGGATACTTTGATATTCAGTTAACCTGTGAAAGTTGCCCAATATTTGGTATCATCATGATAACAGAGTTTTGGGGCATCAGAGCCACCTGGAGGAAGGACTGCTTACTTTCTGTTGAGCTTAACCATATAATAATCTCTAGAATTGGCTTTAAGGTAATTCATTCGGAAAACAAAGTATAAAGGATTGAGCTACTTGTATATCATACGTGTATAAGGCCACACCAATCTAATTTTTTGGTTCTTGGATTATTTCAGGAAAAATATGAAGTGACGGCAAAAAATCATCATCATCATCGGTCGACTGCAGCGAAAAAAAAAGAAAAGAAATAAAAGCAGGTCTGGGCATCCTATTGTAGCCTCAAATGCTATGATAGGAGCCATGATGTCAACACAAAAGGCCATGTCAATGTTTTAACAATGAATTTTGAACTTAAATCAAACCACTGAATTGATAGAACTTAAAACTGTAACAACTAGGAAGAAAAGGACTTTCCTCAAATGTTGAGGGCAAAATCTCAGCATTTTTTAGTTGATTCAGAACCAGAATCTTTTTTGGGGGGGATGGGGGCAAGATCAGAAAAAAAAATGACAGCACAAGTAATAGGTGGCAAATCCAGTACAGAAGAGAGAGCCTGGTTGTCTTTCAGCATTCCAGTTAACATCATCTCCTCCAAAAATTGTATTGGTGTTGTGGTGTTGGTCACGGCTGAATAAAAGTTCTAAACGGGAACTATGCGGCTCCAGGTGTCTTACTGAGGGACGACTGTGTGTGCGAGATGTCGGCTAGCTTGAGGAATGAATCCCTTCTATATTCCTTATTCTCTATTGTATTGGTTACTTCATTAGACTTGGACAGGTTTTAACTTTAAAACATCTCATCAATTAAAGGTGCATCATGTAACATCAGTACAAAATGGAACTTTTCTGGTCATTACTTTACAAGGCAAGTTTAATCAACCCTATTCCATTGCAAAAAAGTGGAAGTGGAGGTGATGCCTTAATATGATGCACTATGAATGTGTTTAAAACTTGGAAACACAGCAGTTAGCCAGGTTTGTTTACATTCTGGTAGTTTGTGGTGGCACCACAAACTGAGTGTACCTTGTTTGGGCTGTTTTAACACCAACTATGAATATCAGAAGTGATATAATTGCACAAATATGTTGAAAAGTGGAATTAAGTTGCAATCACACAATTTTTTCAATAAAAATATTTTAATTTTTGATGCAAAATGTAACATAATGCCCCTTTAAGGTAGTTTACAACATGAAACAGTAACACAAAAAGGTGCGCATTTACTTAAATCAGTAGATTAAGTCTCATTCTTAATGAGCAGTTTTCTGTCACTAATCAGTTGCAGACAATTGATCATAATCTCATATATTCTTTCTTCGTCCACGTAATTATGGAATTTTGGAACTCTAGTTATAGATTAGCTAATTTCGACACACAAGCGCACCCAGCTCTAGTAGGTAAAACTTACACAGGCTTCACTAGCCTGGTATCCAAACCTATCAATGATATGTGCTAGGTTTTGCCAGTGTGCCAAGAAATGAACATTTGCCACTATAAAATACCATAGAGCCAGATACCTTTGACCACATTTAAATGTGATATGGACAACATAGCAGCTTTTTTGAGGGGGGGACTAGAGGATCCAATTTCATTTCAGAATTTGAAAGGTTATAGCTCCAGAAGTGGTTTACAGATTGTCCTGATTTTTGGACCTTATTTCAATTATCAATGAGAAGTTACCTCTGTTAACACGTTTGAATGAGCATTGTAACTGCTCCTATTGTATCCAGTTACCAGGGCTAGCCCTTAATAATAGCCTCCGGCTAGTTGGGCAGTCCCGGCTGTAAGTCAATTTATACAGCCTGAAAAATCAAATCAAAAACCTTTATAGAAGGTTTATTGCAAATACTTGCCCGAGGGCTAATTGCAGTTACAAACAACATAGAAAGAAAATACAGTGGTATGTGAGACTATATCTACTTCTAACATTATACTATATTCTACAACATGACATGACACTAGTTTTACTGGGTTTGACTTCTTCTTTTTAGGCAATGGAAATTTCTTTTTATAAATGTTCAGATCATCTGGTATGAAGTTGTCAAACTCTCAAACTTATAATTACAACTTCTCAATCAAAAGAAGTTTGTTTGTAAAGCTAACTTACGATAGGAAAGGTCCGAAAACACCTGTTGGAAGCACTTCCGGGTCTGACACCTGTTGGATTCCCCTGCAAGGTTTAACAACCTCGATAGGTGTCGCCTCTGCGAGGTGTGTCTGACTGTCAGTCACCGCCGCGGCTTCCTCTGAAGTCGCCAAAGTGGGCGTGGCCACGTGACCAGGGTAAACAATCCCCGGGGTAACCCGAGCGTCCCCGTCGTCATGACGACCAAACAACAGGGCCCGCATCCGCCCGAGTCGAGTTTCGCGCGAGTCTATCGCTACACACACCCGGCGGGAATGTTTTGATGGCAACTTTTCGCCAGATTGCCACTTTTCACTAACTTCGGGAGGCATTCCGTGGCGAGAACTCGCCACAACAGGACCCGGTTTGGCCACTTCTGTAGCAAAGTTGTCGCAGGAAAGTTTCCGGAACTGATTTGGCGTCCGGCTTGAAGCCGTCAGCTGAAACACTAGCCCGAGGTGAGTTTGCTACTCTACTCGCCACTTGTTGCACACTTGTTGCACAGGGAATGGGGAAAGTTGCGACTTCATGGGACATTTGTAGCAATTTGTAGACAGAACTTTGCAACAGCCAGTCTGGGATTGTAGTGACAAAACACGGGATGTACGTGACCAGTTCAGATCTGTGTTTATTACAACAACATGGCAACAATGTGGGATTCCAAGACAACTCGGCCCCTGAGACAACTCGGCCCCTGGCCATTCAGGACAACTCGGCACCAACCCCAGGACAAGTCGGCCCCATAATTTCTCAGCAAATAATATGAATTTTGGGTCAAAAAATTGTAACTGTTATCGATCTAGAAGCCTCCTGACTCTGATTTTTACTTTTTTTCTGAGTCTTAGTGACATACAGTAGTATTTCTTATGGCGACAACGGACTTGGCCTGCGCCGCTAGCGTAACGCCCCTGGCGCTAGCGGCGCTATGTCGGCGCGGCCCGTCCGAGTAATCTAAAGCGTGCCGATCCAAGAAACGGCTAGACTTACAATTTATATTGATAAAGAGACTTCATGGAATCGTGAAACATGTAGTGGTAAATGTTCAACGTTCTTTTATAATTGTATCCTCGTATGTTTTCGGCGGGCGGGCATGAAAATACTTATACATAGTATGACCCCGTGAGTTTACTCGTAATTTAACTCTTTGAGTGGCGCGGTCAAGTCCGTCATCACATAAGGAATAACATGTCTCAGAAAAGAATGAAGTTAAGATTATTGTCAGGAGGCTACTAATTCTCGGAGCCCAAAATATTGATGATTTGTTGAGAAATAATTTATGGGGCCGACTTGTCCTGGGGTTGGTGCCGAGTTGTCTCAAATGGCCAGGGGCCGAGTTGTCCCAGGTGCCGAGTTGTCCTGACACCCAATGTGGCACTTCTGGTGGCCAACATTCAGCCACAGGATTCGCCACAGTTCTGTGTACTAGCCATTTAGTCAACCTCCAGCTCACAGACGGTAGTTCTGCAGTCATGTAGCGAACATGTAGCGACAGAAATGTGGCGGTTTGTCGGCGGTAAAGTCAGCCACATCGCCACAAGCCCAGTCACGGAAGTACGTCGCTAGGAGAACACTTCGGCATGTGGCCAAATTGTCGCCAAGCACTCTAAAATTGCCACAAGAGGACGGCTAGAAACGTTTCTGTAATAGTCTGTATTCATCTTGCCACAATTAAAATGTGTCAGACTTTAAAAAAACTGTACCATACGTAAAATACAGGAGTGGTAACCCCCAATGTATAGATAATAGAATATAAATAATGGTTAGTTATGTTTATGTTACAAACATTCTGTATACAGGTTGAAAGCAACGTTTATGTATACATGTATCTTGTTACATGTAGAGTCAGGGTGAATTTTACTTGACAATTTTTCAAACTTTTTAGTCACCCACTTAAAAACAGCTGGTAGCCAAGTTATCATAAAGTATTAGCCAATTTATAGTGTCATAATTCAGTCAGAAGAACACACTATAGCACAAAAATAAATAGCAATATATAAATGGTATTGGTCAGAATTTAAAGTTTTGTGAGAAAAGAAGTTATTCAACTTATTCTATGAGAACATCTACAGCACGCTACAAGTTTTTATTTTTGCAACATTGTAGCCATTCAGTATTGTAGTAGTCTCTACCAGACTAAATACGCTGGCTATACATGTATATAGGGGAATATTTGCCAGGGGAGTTTGGCCGCCTTGTAGGTTTGACTGGCCGCGCAGGGAGGGATCCCGGAAAGAAACTACCTCCCGGCGGCCGGACTCCCTTGGCCAATTTAGTCTCCTTTTTGCCGAATTCTACGATCCGTATTCCCGTAGAAAGGCCTGGTGGAGGCTAATAATGTGGCACCCCCAGACCCTATTGTCAGTTAAAGCTGGTGTGATAGTCGCCACTTCATACCTTAATCCTTAAACCTGCTTCTTAAGGGTCCTTAAGCTGCTGCGGTGAGACGACACAATTTAATGCTTGGTTTGAGACATCTTGTAGCGAAGCAGCTGTCGTTCGCCACAGTGTGACTAACGAGTTTTGTTGTGACTAAATGTAATTATCGTTAACGTTGCCATGTGGAACTAACGAAGCCTATTATCACGGGCGGGCATCACAAAGTTTGTTTCACGGATCACAGCATACAAGTTTCATCTCTACTAGCCTCTACCAGGCTTTGGGAGGCGGCTGGAAAGAGTAGAAATTGGTAGCCTTTACCAGGCTTTGGGAGGCAGCTGGAAAGAGTAGAAATTGGTAGCCTCTACCAGGCTTTGGGAGGCAGCTGGAAAGAGTAGAAATTGGTAGCCTCTACCAGGCTTTGGGAGGTGGCTGGAAAGAGTAGAAATTGGTAGCCTCTACCAGGCTTTGGGAGGCGGCTGGAAAGAGTAGAAATT